AACAACACCATCATCTGCAAGTTCTGCCCTCCGGTATGGGTCCTGCCAACACCAGCATCACCACCCTCTGATTTCCACACTTCATCATTTTCCTCGCTTCCTCTTCAGCAACCCCAATCGTCCCCCTCACCCCCCTGCCGAGATCAACCCCCTCACACCCCTCCCCCCCATGCGCCTCTCTTGCTCTCTGCCTTCTGGTTTCTGTCCTCCTTTTGTGCTCCTCCTTCCTCTGATCTCCAGTGCTTGATTTGTACTTCTTGTCTTTCCCTCCCTCCATCTCCCCCTCCCTCCCTCCCTCCCTCCCTCCCTCCCTCCCTCCCTCCCTCCCTCCCTCCCTCCCTCCCTCCCTCCCTCCCTCCCTCCCTCCCTCCCCCCTGCTCCCCCCCTCCCTCCCTCCCCCCCTCCCTCCCTCCCTCCCTCCCTCCATCCCTCTCTCCCCCCATCCCTCTCTCCCCCCCTCCCTCCCTCCTTCCCTCCCTCCCTCTCTCCTTCCCTCCCCCCCTCCCTCCCTCTCTCCTTCCCTCCCTCCCTCCTTCTCCCCCTCCTTCCCTCCCCCCTTCCCCTCCCTGCACTCCCCACCAGGGCACAGCCAAGGCCATAGACAACACAACACAGGACGAGATCTGTGAGCCATGCGAGCCGGGCTTCGTGGCAGTCAAGGAGTTCTCCCTCGCGCACCTCACCAACCCCACCCCAGCCTCCCCCTCCTCCTTCTTCACCCCGCCCTCCTTCCTCGGCCTCCCGGCCAACTTCACCTCGGGCTGCACGGGCGACTGCGGATCCCCGTCGTGGCGCATGGTGGGGGGGGTGCTGGACTCGGGGCTGGGTCACGGGGCGACGGTGCGAGTGTGGCTGGCGCTGAATGTGACTCTGGAGGTGGACGGGCAGGTCATGGCGAATTACACCGTGGATATTCCTGAGGGCTCGCAGGAGCAGCGGGCACTTAAGTTCTTTATTGATGGCATGGAGGTGGAGACTATCCAGGTGTGTGTGTGTTAGGGGCATGCGGGGGGGGAGTTGATTGGGTTGAGTTGATGGGGGGGAGTTGATGGGAGGGAGTTGGTGGGGGGGAGGGATTGGTGAGGGAAAGGTGGCGGGTGGACGGGGGGAAGTTGTGGTGTTTTGACTAGCAAAACGCTGATGCGTTTCTGTGTTCTTATTCCTTCTGCTTCGGTGTCCCAAACGTTTCCCTGTTCTTTATGTCGGTTTGCATGAGCGCGCTTGTGCGTCTTTGTGTGCGCATGAGTGCATGTGCATGCATGTGCATGCGTGTGTGTGCATGTGTGCATGTGCATGCGTGTGTGTGCATGTATGCATGTGCACGCGTGTGCCTATAAGCAGATAGCGCTGAAGCCCACGGAGATGCAGACGGTGATGTGGGACATGGATGCGGGGCAGCACCAGCTCATGTGGATGTGGGAGAAGCTCAAGGCCACCACGCATGCAGACAGGGACTCAGCCGTCATCCACAACCTCACAGTGCGTTGCTCTCCCTTGCCTTGGTTTGCCCTCCCTTCCCTTCCCTTCCCCTCTCTTCCCTTCCCTTCTCTTTCCTCCCCTCCCCTCCCCTCCCATCCCCTCCCCTCCCATCCCCTCCCACCCCCTTCCCTCCCCTCCCCTCCCCTCCCCTTCCCCCCTTCCCCTTCCCTCTCCTCCACACCCCCCCTGACGCATCTCCCAGCAAATTACAATCCTACCCTGCTCGTCGTGCTCTCATCCCCCCTCCTTCCCCACCCGTTCCCCCGCTTAACACCCGTTCGTACCAGGTGATTGGAGTGGCGCAGGGGGGCGCGTCCAGCTGTCAGGAGGTGCCAGAGGGCGCACACCTGGCGCCGTCAGGGCTGTGGTGGGAGCCGTGCCCGCCTGGCACATACGGCAAGGGCAGAACCAACAACTGCACCAAGTGCCCTGCCAACACCTTCAATGAGGCCTCCTATGTGCGTGCGCGTTGGGGGCATGAGTGGTGGGAGGGAGGGATCCCCGGGGTGCTTGCTGTGCCTTGGTGTCCCAGCCATGCAGAGCTCTGCTGTTCATCCGGGCAGTGCAGCTGCGAGCTCTGTAGTGTGTGCCATGTCGGTTGTGCCCCTCCCAATCCCTCTTATTTCCCCACACCCTGTACATCTCCCCCATCGCACATCACGCGTCACATGACACACGCCCATCACACGTCCCCCGTATGACATGGCAGGGCACGGAGGATTCATGTGAGCCATGCGGTGAAGGGACATCGTCAGCAGAGGGCAGCAGCGAGTGCACCGTGGGAGACGTCTACATCCCCACCTCCTTCTGCCACTACACACCGCCTCCCACCGCATTCAACTCCTCGCGCCTCACGGTCTTTGACCTCTCCCCTCTCGCGCGCCTGCACCCGGACCAAATGTTTGGGCCGATATATGACGACCCTACGGCTCCGGATAGGGAGCAGCGGTCGCTGTACTATGTGAGCGTGTGCACTCGGGACATGACCAATGCCACCTGCTACGCCCCCCGAGGCGGCTCCCTTAATACTTATGCCTGCCGGGTAAGTGTGGCAAATGGAGGGAAAGGAAGGTAGGGTGGGGTTGTGATACATGTCGTTTGCTGAAATGGACGGTGGAGTGGGGCTGGGTGAGTGGGTTTTTTACTTGTGATGGCCTCTCCCGCCTCCCTCTCTCCGACTCTCTCAGCTGCCTTGAGCCACTTTCCCCCAGTCCCCCTCCCCTATTTCCCTCCTCCCGCCTTCCTTCTTCCAGAACCCCCTCCTCCCCTTCCCCCCCTCCTCTCCCCACCCACCGAACCCCCCCATCCCTCTCCAAGGCATCCCCGCCCCTCCCCATTTTCGCTGATCTCCTCCTCCCCCTCCCCCTCCCCCTCCCCCTCCCCCTCCCCTTTCCAGGTCAACCCCAGGTCACCCCTGGAGGGCCCTAGGCGCAGGGCGGTGAGTCTGGGCGACAGCATATCGCTGCACCCGCTGGGGGCGCACCCGGCGCTGGAGCGCAGGGGCTTTGTGATGTCCCTGGAGGGGTCGCTGTGCGCCAGCAACAGCATGCTGCGCGCCACCAACGTCTCCTTCATCTGCGACCCTGACGCTGGTGGGTGCTGTGCGGGGGGTGCCATGCTGGTGTTGAAATCACTTTTGAGTATTCTCAACAGCATGCTGCGCGCCACCAACGTCTACTTCACCTCTTCTCTGTCAACTCCTTCCGCCCCTCCCATCTCCTCTCTCCCCTCTGTCCTCTCCCCTCTCCCCTCCCTCTCCCGGCCCACACAGGTTACGGCGCCCCCGAGGCGTGGACGGACAAGGGCAAGGCGGCAGCAGTGGATCCGAACGTCTCCTTCCCCAGCTGGGTGGTGCGCGGGGGCGTGGTCCTCCCCATCGGCGACGAGAGTGCGTGTGTGATGGAGATGGTGTGGTACACGGCTCATGCGTGCCCCATGTGCACCATGGATGACTATGAGCTCGTGGAGGTGTCGGGCTGTGTGGACAACAAGTACGCCACGTACAAGTACAAGCTGCCCAAGGTGCGTGCTCCATCACACAGTCCTCTCACTCACTCCTGTCACTCATCTTCTTGGGCTTCACTCTTTTGTTTGTTTCCCTGTTTTTTACTCTGATTTCGCTACATCCTCTCCCGCCCCTCCACGCGCCCCCCTACCCGTTATCGTTTTTCGCTCCTTGGTGTTTCAACGTTCAGCTACTGTTGAGTCCCTGGACCTACAATGCACGCGTTTTCGCTGCTCTTCCTCTCGCCTCATCTTCCATTCCCTCCTTCCCACTCTCCTCCTTTCTCCCATCTGCCCTCCCTGTCCCTCCCCTCCCATCCCTCCCCCCGTCCCCACTCTCCCCGCCCACCACCATGTGCCACCACAACTACCAGACATGCCAGGCGAACGCGCAGCTGCCACTGCCACAGGACATCCCATGCCAGCCGTGCACGGAGGCAGACTACGAGGCCATTCAGGACTCGTGCACGGACGCGCAGGGCCGCCACAACTCCTCGCACCGCTGGCGCCACCCCAAGCGCTGCAACGACGCTCTCCCCGGCGCCGCCAAGCTGCCTGCGCCCGTCGCTGCGGGCCCTTGCGAGCAGACGATTTTCGTTATCTCTGCGGATATGCTGAGCTGGCAGTATGTGTTTCTGATGGCGCTCGGTGGCGTGCTGATTGTGGTGCTGTCGGTGGTGTGGGTGGTGACGTGGATCAAGCAGAGGCGGATTTATAGTTTGTATCAGAAGATGGTGGAGCAGGAGCAGGGGGATGATGAGGACCCTGGGGAAGAGGAGGGGAGGGGAGAGGCGGAAATGGCTAACCTGCACCGGCACAACAGTGGCAATTAACAGCTTAGAGGGGAGGGGAAGGAAAACAGGTGGTGGTAAGGGTGGGGTGGGGTGGGGTGGGGTGGGGTGGGACGTGTTGTTGCTTTGTGACTCCTTTTGTTGCAGGCAGGAAGTGCACCCCAGTGCAGCCTTGCGGTAACTGGGTAATTAGTGGCACGGGGTGATGTTGCAGAGAGGTGGTGATGGTGGTGTGGTGGGGTGGTGGTGGTTCTCCTTCCCATCCACACAGCAGTGATTCTAGGTTCTTGCAGTGACCTGATCTGATCTGATCTGATTTGTGGCATGGCTTGCCTCACCACACCACCACCACCCCTGCTAAACCCAGCCTGACCTGATATTTGCCTGACGAGAAAGTCTCTTTTCTTTGTGCTATCTCTATGCGGGCAGTAGGAGCTACCCTACGTTGAGCCCATGCAACTACCGTATTTTGAGACATCTGCAGTGGTGCTTGAGGTCACCCTATGCAGTAGTACCCTGGGTGAAGTACACAACCCACCCACCAAGCTGGCCAACAAGTCCAGAAGCTCATGGGGAGAAATCTTGATACGGTAGTAAACCAGCAATACCGTAGATAGATAATCCATGCAACGAAATGCTAGTATTGTGTGCAGAAGGATATCCGAATGGGACTAATATAACCCTTAACCATGTGCTATGATGGCATCATAAACATGATACTAGTAGTTACTGTTGTTGATGATGATGTAGTGCGCCTGCTGCTGACCCATCGTTTTCACCTCCCTCTGAACGTACCACCAGCAGTGCCCGCTGCACGCCCCCCTGCCCCTGCCCCTGCCTATCCACCCCAGCCTGCACGACCACCCCTAGCCCCTCATCCCCCTCGTCCTCCTCCTCCTCACGATGCCCCCCGCTAACCCCTGCTCCCACCCCTCTCTGTTCCGTACCAACCTCTGCCCCTCCCGTCTGTTCCACCTCCCTGCTTGCTGCAGTGCCATCTGTCTCGCGCCCCTCTGCTTCCCTCTCGCCATTGTACCCCATCCTGTGACCTGCATCCTCCTGCTCCCTCTGCATCTGCTGCTCGTAGAACGATTGTGCAGGGTTCTCAGTCTCCCTTACACTGCCACTCCCTCCCCCTCCCCCACCTCTCCCCAACCCCTCGTCTTCTCCCCTGCTTCCAGCCCCCCGGCCCTCAAAGCCCTCCTGCATGTGACCCTCCTCCCTTCCGCTCTCCCTGCTATCCCTCTGCTCCACCCTGCTTGAAGATAGACCCATCGCATAGGCCCGCTCCCTGTCACTTCCCCTCAGCTCCTCCTCCTGCGGCCGCTCTGTCTCATCCCCCCCACTTCCCTCACCAGCAGCACTGTTTGCTCTGCCCATCCCTGTTCTCTCTGTCCCCTCTGTTCTCTCTGTCCCCACTGTTCCCCCTGCTCCCCCAGTTCCTCCTGCCCTTTCTCTAATCCCCTCGTCAACCTGTTCGGTCCTACCTGCAGAAACCACTGCATCTGCACTCCCTATCCCGTCTTGCATTCCTTCCCCACCTCCTCTGGCTAACCTCGATCGATCCTCCCCTCTGCTGTCTCCTCCTTCCCCACCTCTCTCTCCTTCCATTCTTTCCCCAAAGCCTGTTCGCCCCTCCCCTTCTGCCCCATACCCTGCTGCGCCCTCGCCTCTTCTACCCTCTCCCGATCCCCCGTCCACTGCTGCCCCCCAGTTTCCACCACCCTCTCCCAAGCGACCCACACTCTTCCCACCCCCCATTTCCTGCGCCTCCCTATCCGCCCCTTCCCCTGCTCCCGCTTCCCCTACACCCCCTCCACCTCCCTCCTCATCCCCACTCACCTGCTGCCTGCTGTCCCCCACTCTCTCACCCCCCCCGTCCCCCGCCCCCTCTCTGCCTCCACCCTCTTCTCGCCCGTGATCATTCCCTTGTGAGTCAAGGCCACCGCTGCTGCTGCTGCTGCTGTCACCGGAAGCTGCAACATGCGCAGCAGCAGCACCACCACCAGAAGCACCTGCAGCCGCAGCAGCGGAATCACCACCATCGTCATCCTCATCATCATCATCCCCGTCCCCATCATTATCAGCAGCAGCACCTGTAGCAGCACCACCACTGCTGCTGCTCCTGCCACCAGCCCTTTCCCCACTAACGTCAGTCGAAGCTGTACCAGAACCCAATGTGCCAGAACCAGCAGAGTCACCAACACTACCGCCACCACCAACACCATCAGCAGCACTAATCGCATCAGCCTCGCGTGCAGCACTAACACCATGCAGCACCGCTGTACCACCCTCCTCCCCGCCTGCCATCCCCATGCCCTCCAGCAGCGAATCCAGCTCGTGCTTCCCCTTTTCCCCCACCGCCCCTTCCCCCTCAACCTGCTCCCGCTGCCCCTGCCCCTGCCGGCGCCCCTTCACCTGCTCCCCCGCAAGCCCTGCCTCTGCGCCTCGCCCGTCCACCGATCTTGCTCCGGTCGTTTTCCCAAAAGCCTGGTCCTCATCATCTGCCCTCTCAACTGCCTCTGCCTCTGTGCCCTTCCCTCCCCCACCTGCCCCACGCCCTCCTCTCCGTGCCTTGCTCCCCTTTCCTTGCTCTATGTCCCCAGTACCGTGCTGCATCCTCTCATCCCCATCTCCACCTTCACTCTCTCCCTCCCCCTCATCCTCCTCCTCCTCCTCGTCCTCCCCCTCTTCTCCCTTCCCCTTCCTCCTCCCCTTCCCCTTCACCTTCCCCTTCTCCTTCTCCTCTTCCTCCGCCTCTTCCCCCTCTATCTCACTCGCCCGTCGGACGGATCCCTTCCCCCTCCGCGCCTGGCGCTCACTCTTCCCCACCTCCCCTCCACGCCCCCCTTTCCCCCTCGCCTTGCGCTTCCTCGCCTTCTCCTCCAGCACCTTCAAGATCGCATCCAGACCGTCCACGTCAGTATCTGAGTCAGAACGTTCTTTCTCTTCCTCCTCCTCCTCTGCTCCTCTCCTTGCACTGATCCGTGCACCCTTCCCCTCCTTGTCTCGCCCTCTCTTCCCCTCCCTCCGCGTTTTCCTTCCCCCCACATCCCCCTCCTCCTCCTCTTCATCTTCCCCCTCCCCATGCACCATAGCGCGGGCCTTACCGCGCTTCCCCCCACGAACCTCCCCCTCCTCCGCTTCCTCCTCCTCCGCCTCTTCCCCCTCCTCATCCCCCTCCCCCCCATCATCCACATACCGCCTGCTTACCTTCCGCCGAATGTCCACGTCATCTTCCCCCCTCCCCACGCTGCGCCTGCCTCTTCTCCCCTTCCCCTTCCCCTTCCCCTTCCCCCTCCGCCTCCCCCCCTCGCTATTATATCCCCTCCCCTTCCGTACACCCGCACCACCACTGGCGCTGCTGACCTCGTTACTATCACGCCCGGCAACACTGACAGCATCATCCTCGTTAATGTCACCTTCCTCTCTTCCCCCCTCTCCCCCCGCATGCGCCTCCCCCGCATCTCCTTCCGCGGCTTCCGCCTCAATCGCAACCACTCCCCCCCCTCCACGCCTCTCCTTATTTCCCTCATCCTCCTCCTTCTCCTCCTCCTCCTCATTATCATCATCGTCAGTCCCGCCTCTCGCTGTCTTACCACCAGCGGCCCTTCCGCTTCCGCTTCCCCGCTTCCACTCCCCCCCTGATGCCCGCGCAGATGCGCCCCCCCGAGTACCCCCACCTCCGCGGTGCTCCCCCAAATGCATTCCCTTTTCCACCTCATCTAGCTCTTCCGCCTCTTCCGCCTCCTCCGCCACTCCCTCCGCATCCGCGCGGACTCCCTCCCCGCGCTGTTGCCAACCACCGCGTTTTCCGCCCGTCCGATCGAATGTCCGCTTAGCAAACCCATCGTAACCGTCATCCAACCCCGCCCGCCGCTGCTGCTTCCCCATTGCCGCGACCTTCCCCATCTTTCCCCCCTGGATCTGGTTCCGCCGCTGCGCCCGCTCCTTGCGCGCGCTCCCCAACTCCCCGATAATTCCGCCCCCCGACGCCCACACGCTCTCGTCCGGAGATAAATCCACGCCCACAACCGCGGAGCGCAGCCGCGACGCAATGCCCCCTGCGCCAACCGATGCTCCGCGCAAGAGCTGCGCCTGCCGCGCGTGGCGGTGGACGGCGCGGGGCTGCTGGTGCAGGCGCAAGTTCGACGGCAGGCGCGGGTGCGCGTATGCAAGCAGCAGCGTGAGGAGAATAACGGCCGATGCGACCAGCATGCACGTGCAGCATAGTAACGAGCAGATCGAGCACCGAGGAGACGACGATCCGCCGCCGATGCCGCCGCTACCTGCGCTGCCCTTGCGCCCCACGGGGCCTCCCCCAGACTGGCCTCCGCCGCGGGAGGAGAAGATTCCGCCCACGCTCCCCCCGCTGTTGCTGCCGCCGCCGCTGATGGCGCCGCTGGCGGCCGCCGAGGCGGCTCGGAGCGTGTGGCGGTCCGGCAGCGTCCATTCGAAGCCCTCGAAGCCGTCGGGGCGCGCTCCGAGGCGCCTCTCTCGCGTTGGTCCCGCGCGCATTGAACTCGTGGAGGAATGGAGGAATGGAGGAACGGAGGAGTGAAGGAGTGAAGGAGTGAAGGAGTGAAGGAGTGAAGGAGTGGATGAGTGGAGGAATGGAGGAATGAAGAAGGATCTATCTAGCGATACGCTGACAGGTACGCGCAATAGGTACGCACTGACTCACCCGCGCCGCAGCCCCCTGGATCAAGGATCAAGACACGCAGACAGCCGTCAATGGAGCAGGTGGGAGTGATTCGGCCGATAGCGCGGCGAGGTGATGCGCGTCGGGTCGGAGTTGGGACGAAACAGCTAAGGAGTGGGCGTTGGTTGGTTGGTTGGTTGAAATATTGGTGGTGGGTCGTAGGGTGGTGGTTGGTGGATAGGCTGGGGCGCGGACGGAGATATCGAGGGCGCGGAGTGGATCGCGCTCGATGGCGCAACAACCGTGGGTGCGGGGAAGGGCGCGCAACAACCGCTGTTATTGAGGGTGGAATTGGAGGGGCTGGGCGGAAGTAAAGGGGGGAGGCAAGCAAAGCGGGGAAGCAGGGCTGCAATGTGGGAGGGAAATCTGGTGGCTAGTGGCTGTTTTGGGTGATATGTTTTATGACAAATCTATGCAGGAAGTGTAGCTCGTAACAGTATGTCGAGTGTAATTTCGTGGAACCCTGTTTCGCGCACGGGTAAATGGGCCCAAATCGCTCTCGATCACTTCAACTGATAAATCGAGACCATCCGATTCGACGATCATTCACGAGACTCGCATACCAGATTCGGTTGTCTAAACAAAGCAGGTCTGCTGAAATCTGTCAGCTTTTGACTCTCAACTGTCCTCGAATCCCTGCCCGTAGCGTGTCACCCGCTTGGTCTGCCCGCGAGTGGTCTCCAACCCGCCACGTGCCCGTCGCAGCGCACGTCCTGGCCAGCGACGATCCTGTAGGTCGCCGCCAAGAGAAACAGCGCAGGATATTCGCGAATCAGGACCCGCTTGGTCAACCCGCCGACACGCGTACGGTCAAAGCCACGTGATCAGAGCCACGTGCGGTGAGAGCAGCGCAGCAGGCGGCGGCGATGGAGGAGCAGGGCGTGGTGGTGCGGCGCGTGATGGACGCCGACAACAGCTGCCTCTTCAACGCCGTCGGGTGAGCAGAGCACGCCGCGCCACATCGCCGCCGCGCACACCGGCCGTCTGTATCACGCGCGTCGTCTCGCGAACGCACTGACGTTCCGTCCCTCCGTCTCTACGTCTCTGCACCCTGCCTGGTAGTTGTTGGCTCATCTGTCAACTCATCTCTGTACCTTGTTCTGTTGGTTCTCGTCATCCACTATCGCTTCATCCACTAACGCATCTCTGGCACCTGTGTGGGGTGCTGGGTCGTGCGCGCAGGTATGTGACGGAGCGCAGTCGAGACAAGGGCGCGCAGCTGCGGCAGGTATGGCGTGGCCCCCACGCTCCTTGTGTGGTGGCGTGGCAGAAGGGAAGTGGGGAAGAAAGGAAATGATGAAGCGGCGATTTGAGAAACGGGGAAAGGGGAAACGGGGGAGAGGGGAAGAGGAGGGTTACTTGTCCAGCAGCTTCACCTCATGTGCCATGGCACATGCCCGTGCACTTGAATATGCATGCATGGCACCCACTGCTCACCACTGTGTTGCCGCTGCTGCATGTTCATATGTGCTTGTCCATGTGCCGGGCTGCACATGCATGTGCTAATCAGTCCTACCCTGCGCGCTGTTTCTCCTCCCCATTAGGTGATAGCGCGCGTGGTGGCGGGGGACGAGCAGCGCTTCACAGAGGCCGTGCTGGACAAGCCGAACGCCGCCTACTGCCAGTGGATCGCCCGCGCTGACTCCTGGGGCGGTGCGTGCCTCCATGGGTTCGAGAGAAACGGGGAGGGGGAGTTGGGGTTTAGGGGAGGAAGGGGAACGAGGCGGGGAGGAGTTGAAAGAGGTTTGCAAGGGCTTGCAAGCCCAACGCCGCCTACTGCCAGTGGATCACCCGCGCTGACTCCTGGGGAGGTGCGTGCTGCGCTGCTGGGTTGCCAGAGGGGGGACGCAGGGGTGGGAGTGAGATGTGGAGGCGAGAGAGGGTGGTTTGGTGTACGAGGAGTGGGTTGGGGAGGGGGGCCGGAGAGCCGTAAGAGCTGTGCACCTTATCTTGCCGCATGTCGTTGCCTGTTTCTGACCATACCCGACAGCTTGTTCAACTTGTTCTGATTCGTCCTTGTCCCCGTCCCGTCCCACATGTGCACGTGTGCGCGGCAACAACAGGTGGCATTGAGCTAGCGATCTTGTCCGATCATTTTGCCAAGAAGATTGCTGCTTTTGACATCCAAACGAAGCGATGCGACGTGTACGGGCAGGTGAGTGGTGAGCGACACGTGCCTGTCCTCATGAGATGTCTTATACGATACGTCTATGGCACATAAATAAGTCTCACTTCTTTAGGCGTCTGAGATGTCTCTTTCCAGCCTCTGCTGCCTCGTATACTCCTGCTTCTTGCTTCTTCCATCCCCTCTTCTCCCTGCTGTTTACCACCTTCACCATCCCTTCTCTGTGTTTTACCCCCTCTCTGCTCCACACACCACACGGCGCTCACCGTCCTCTGCCTGTCTACAACGACCGACCTGTCGTGTGGCACCAGGACAAGCCGTACAGCGAGACCATCATGCTCATATACGACGGCATTCACTACGATGCCCTCGCGGTACGCTGCTGTGCTGCTGTGGTGCTGTCATGCTTGTCTTGCAACATGCTATGCACACTCATGCTTCTTGGCTCTGCCGTCCATGGTGGAAAAGAGAGTGCTACATCTCTTCAAAACAGCATTCCGCCCCTCCTACATCGCTGCACCATCTACCGCATTGCACTCCTCTTCCCGCGTCCATCTCCCCTCCATGCCATCCATCCCCCAACCACCCTCCCGGCAGCTCTCCCCATGTGAAGGGGCCCCGGAGGACTTTGACCAGACCATCTTCCCGGCCACTGCAGCGCATCCCCTCCCTCCCGCTGTGCGCCGCAGTGCAGAGGTCTTAGTGGAGGCTGCTCACAAGTAAGCCAGCACTTGGGGGTACCCGGTACTGCACATTGTCGTTGGGAGAGCTCCTAGAGTTGGCTTTCACTCAGCAACCGGTTCCTCCCTCCTAACTCCATCGATCCCCTCCGTTATCTGCGCCTGTCCCTGGCTCTTTCTCTCTCTCTGTCTCTGTGCCTGTCTTCGTGTCTGTCTCTGACTCTGTCTCTCTGTCGCTGCACTGTCTGTGTCTCTGGCCGTATCTGGGTCGGTCTGTGCATGTGTGCAGGGCCAAGAGCTTTACAGACACAGCACGCTTTGCACTGCGCTGTGTGGTGTGCCAGCAAGGGCTGATGGGGCAGAAGGTGAGGGTAATCGCCCAGTGCCAACTGTGCACAGCGCATAGGTCAGCGAGATACGTGCAGGTTCACCACATCGCTTGCTGTGTTGGGTGCATCTGTGTTGGGTGAATCATCCACGCGTTGATTTTCATTCGACTACGTGCTGTGTGCTGAAATATGACCCTATGTTGATGCCCTGCCTTTTGTTGTTCATGCAGGAAGCAGTGCAACATGCACAAGCAACAGGCCATGCTAACTTCCAAGAATATGCCTGAAACCATGCTTGCTCGTGTTTTTTTCCTGAGAGCCTGCCACAATTCTGTAACACTACATTACACCAAACGAGTGCAATTTTACTAGCCTTGTGCTCATCTCCCTTTTGTAGGCTTAGCTGCAGCGAATCATTGGCAACAAGGATGGCATGGTACTGTACCAATGATGACCATGGAATACTCTTACAGCGCAAGCAACAGACTATAGGCAAAACTCACTTAGGAAGTGGAGCTACACTACCTGTGTGGTATTGCACTACATACATAATACAATGTGAACCCAACCTGAACCTATACTGAAATCACCAGGCCTCCCACATCCAACACCAAGACTAGAAGCCGGAGTAATGGTTTACCATACACCACCATTTCACGAGGTTTTGAGGAACGAAGGGAACCACTTTTTGGATTTGGAACGGCTGGTTTGCTGTTGCAACTGCTGGTCGTCCGATCCAGAAAACGACGACCCTGGCCGGCCGTTCACAGAAGGGGACGCAGCATTGGGATTGCTGGGGTCGGCAGCAGGGCCTGCTCCCATGTTGGCAGCAGTGAACATCTCCATAGTGGCAAACCGCATGGATAACAGATCATCTACTTCCTCCTTCTCCGTGTTGTACTGTGTTACCACTTCCACGTATTTCGCCACAGCCTGCATAGAGGAAGAGGAGGGCACGTGCTTTGAGTTGGGTGGAGCGTGGGAGGGAGAAGAAAAGCCATCGCTTGCCCTGATGGGCTGATAGGAAAGATGAGAGGATTTGAATGCCAAGCATGATGCTGCAGAGGGGCGTTTCACACCTCCCTCTCTCCCGCCCCTCCTTCCCCAACTCCCCTTTACACCCACCCGCCCTCTCCTCACAACCCCAACCCACCACTTTTCTCCCTCCCACCCCTGTCGTGCACTCCCCCAACCCCCACCCCCCCCTGCGGCACGGACATCACGGAACTCCTTTTCAAACTTGCGCACGCGCTCCTTCTTGCCCACCAGCTCCGCCTCCACGCGCCGCAGCTCCGCCACTGCCGGCGAGTCCGCCTGCACCGGCACCGCCTCTATCGTGTACGACGTGCCCTTGAGGAAATTGTCACCTGCGCAGGTGGGCACGATAGGGGGGAAAGGAAGAGGCCTTATGGGGCGCCTCAAAAGGCAGCTCCGCCACTGCAGGCGAGTCCGCCTGCACTGGCACCGCCTCTATCGTGTACGACGTGCCCTTCAGGAAGTTGTCACCTGCGCAGGTGGGCAGGATCGGGGGAATGGGAAGGTACAGAGAGTGGGGGCCGGGGGGGTTGGGGAGGCGGGGAGGGCAAAGGGCGTGGAGAGAGGATGAGGGGTATTAGAGGAGTTGGACCTCCCCAGCCATAGCTCTAGTGGCACTAGTGGCTTTTCTGTGTAGGAAGAAAGGGGAATGAGGGAGAAAAAGGGAGGAACAGTTGAAGCCAAGGAAGGAGGTGCAGGTGGTGTGAGACACATATGATATAGAAAGAAGAGGAGTGCTGCACCGCGCAGGAATAAAGCAACTGAGAAGAGAGGGGCGTTTTGACTTCCAGACACGGCACGCACCGTAGACGGCAAAGACATGTGTGCCGTCCTTGAGCTCATTCACCTCGCACTTGGACAGACCGTCCAGGCGGTAGAATAGAGATGTCTCGGGGTCTCGGGCCATCTCCAGCTGCAGGGACAAGGGAAGGGGATCGTGAGAGCAGAGATGAAGGGAGGGGTATTGTGGGAGTGGTATCGTGTGAGCAAGGATTTGGGGGAAGTGGGGCAGGAGCAAGGGTAGGGGTCGATCGAGAACGGAGTAGTGTGAGAATGGAAGGAATGCGAGGGGGAGGGGCGGAAGAACGGGTGGCAGAGAGACAAAGAGAGAGCCTGGTTTACGAATCTGTGTGCATATACTGTACATGCTCAACCGTACATGCATGAAACGAAAGTTATGGTCTAACAAGTGGAGTGTGGAAAGGCGAGGCAGGAGGCGGCGCGTACGGCACTGGCAGTGGGGTCGTAGCGGTAGCACTGGAAGCCGAGGAAGAAGAGGCATGCTTGCGACGACTTGCCGTACTTGATGCTGCTCTCCTGCACGCATGGCCAGTATGGGCCGGTGAATGGAGTGATGGTACGGGAGGAAATGGGGAGGGGGAGGTTGTTGGATGTCGAATGTGGCAGAATGCAGAGGGGGTTTGGTGCATGGGCATTTGCGAGAGCATGGATGGAGTGAGTAAAATTCTGGGGTGATGGGGGAGAGAGAAGAGGGTACGGGGGACAGTGATGGACTGGGAAGGGAAGGGGAGGGAAGGGAAGCGAAGGCGACTAGCGAAGGTTAGCACAATCTTAGCACTTGCCATATAACGCAGTCTCACCTGCATGGATAGGTCCAGCCCCCCTGTCTCTGAGCGCCAGTCGAAGTATAGCAGCTGAGGAAGGCAACAAGAGACATGGATGCAACGAGGAGATGACGATGATGGTGGTACAGAGGAGGGGAGGCATGAGATGAGAAGCATGATGTGCAGCATTAACGGCAGCACAGCGAGGACGATCGCATAACACCATGGCATGGCATGCGCAGGCACAGCATATCATGGCCTATCACGGCACATAATCGGCATACCATGGCATCTCACGAGAATCTCATAGCACACCACCATGGTGTGCGCTGCACTCATGCTGACCTTGAATTTGCCTGATGCGGACGACGTGGCTCTGACAGCAAGGCCACTCTTGGCCTGCTCTTCCGTCAGCGTCACACTGTAGAAATGCGCCTTCTGCTTCTCCACCTGCACTCCAGATCACTCGAGGGAGAGACGAGAGAGAAGTTTCAAGGAGTATGGGGCCCAAAGGTGGAAGAGGGGAGTGGGAAAAGTGGCGATAGTCATGAAACGAGAGGCGAGTGTGAGAGAAGAGATGAGTGGAGAGAGGAGAGGCGGGGAACGGCAGAGGAGAGCATGAAGAGGGTGGCAGAATGGAGAACACTAAACCCGGATAAATTGGGTTGTATCTGTCAGGGGATTAACAGAACGAGATAGCAGCAGCAGCTCACCCTGTCACTAATCGATCCGCCCAGAGGCAGCGTGCGTGGAGTGACAGTCCCGCTTAATGCCTCCTCCAGCACGACCTGCGACACGGACGTCTTTATTGGCACGCCTAACTTGCTGGAGGTGTGGGAGGGAGGGGAAATCGGGATGATGGTAATAAAAATAAAACAGCTCGTTCATAAACGCGGGATGGGAAAGTATGGAAAGCGGTGAGCGGAGGGTGACGAAAAGGAGAGAATATGGGTTGGACTTAAATCGACATTCAACCTACATGTAACTTCCTTAATCTGTAATACAGAACCTCGACCTAGAAAACCTAAATTAGACTGCAATGTGAGCTGTTATCGTGAATCGGCGCACCTGAAGAGAGCGACCATGGCTGTGTTGAAGGTGCTTAGTCCCGACAGGTCAAGCGAGTCGTCCATGTCCTCCATGTTCACCGCCTGGCACCCACCAGACACACGCAGCAGTCGCACGGACGACACCATGCGACGGAGAATGGTGTGCGATGAACAGCAGATGCGCATGACACCGAGATACGCACAAAGGGGCAGAATAAGGCAGTGAGAGGGAGTGGCAAGAAGAAGAAGGCTTGAACGTGAATGCGGTCACGTGATGGCCATGCGTCGAAGAGGGGAGAGTGACGGGTAAGCAGGAGCAACGAAATTACATGGAGAGGGAAGGAACGGGTGCAATGCATTCCCTCGTACATGAACCACAAGGATGCTTCGATGTGACCCGATCCAGCACGCATGACAATAACTCGTTCTATGAAACAGAGCGAACCAACTGTGCGTACGTCGAAGCCTCTGATCGTGTACTGGTGACGCTTGTCAGGGTCGGATAGAATGCTGTAGGCGAAAGCGACCTCTTTAAACTTGTCTGTCGCTTCCGGATCATTGGCGTTCTTGTCAGGATGGAACCTGTGTCGTAAGCAACAAGCGGGAGTGACGTGCACGAGCCAAATGCTTAACTTGGAGCCTTTCGACCGGATTTAGGCTTCGACTGTCAAAACGACATCGGAAAGAGACGAAGCTGAGGAGTAAACTGAATGCTGTCAAAGGCAACCACAGCGTCTAATCTCTTATGATGGCGCGGGCTTATGCTAGTAAATACTCGAAGGACCCTATTCTGAGCGTATCTGGCCGTACCTGAGGGCGAGCTTCTTATACGCGCTCTTTATCTCGTCGTCCGTCGCCTCTCGTGCTACCCCCAGCACTTCATAGAGATCGCGACGCGTTGCCGCCTGTGGCTCCTCGCTTTCTGCCGTGCTAGCCATGAATCCTGGAGGCTCCCTTTACACTTCTGCTTCTTGGCAGCGTACTTGGCGAGATATTCACCGAACCAAAGGAAGAACCCGCAATAGGATCAGACACGGAGGCCTCACGGATCAACCTAAAGGGTGTATGGCGAAGTCATACGCCTCCTAGGTACAAGCGTTGTTTAGAAACTCGAGTGATGATAGGATTATTTTGTGGAGAGGTGAGTGGCACACAGACTGTGTTGAACTCATGCAGAAATGGTTCTACTGGATTCCGACTGACGATGATCCCGAGGCTCCATCCAACTGCCTGTGTCCTGACCTGAACACCTGCCCAAACCGAACCAGCACCGATCTGAACCAAGTTGTAAAGAGATTCCGAAGCTACCTGCTTGCCTATGATGAATGAATTCCACATCAACACCCAGATCTCGTCGGACTTTCATCGCATGTGCTCCCTCTCGCTTCACTGGGAATGGCTTGAGCTACATCGGACGGATGGTGTTGACCGAAATGGTTGTGGAACATTCGTGCGACGCGCCCCTAAGCTCCGTGGTTCGGGTGTGTATGTCACCCGTCAAATGTTTCAACGCGTACGTACTGTACACATGTTTCGACTGCAGTGTTGTGGAAACCCAGAACACATTACATGCATGAGATCTCTGAGGCCCTTCACTAACCTATGTTGGCTTTGATTAGTAGCAACGAAAAATAGCGCCTATTTGAAGCACCAGAACAGCAACGGATGAATTTACTTGTGCATCAAGCACATCGAGCCTCTGACGGCTAGGTCGTTCATGGAAATCGTCCTTTACGCGAATCCAATTTCACAGCCCAGTCGGGCTGTCATCATTTTTTTTCGGTATGTCCGTTACCCCAATCCACCTCAGTCGCCCAGTACCATTGACGATTGATTCATTGTCGTCACTGTTTTCGGTCTGCCGTGTGGTGACAGACTCAATGGCATCGAGCATGAAACAAGAGTGCTTAACCTGATAAAGGGAGAGCACAGAACGCCGTCCTTCAAAGGTAGTTGAAGTTGAGTCAGAGACAGTTCCCTGTTTTCGCTTTGTCGGAGTTTGAATGGTAAGGTACGATAGAATTTCAGGGTTGCCAGGTGCCGCTGGCCCTGGAGAAAATCACTTGATGCATGTCCTGTGTTCTTTCGTGAAAATTGCAGAGGTCAACCCATTTGGACTTGTTCCTGCTATCACAGACAATGGATTCAATCTATATGAAAGGTGACGGGTAGGATTTTTGCACTCTTCATCCACTTTTTGTTTTACAGCGGAAGCGGCTTCGCTCACATTATTGTGACGTGCATGCATCACGTTTCGGTTGGCACGAAACTATTGTGCCTCCTTCATGCATATGTTATATGCACCTCATGCGTACAGCCATGCCATCATGAAGTACGTAGCAGCAACTCGTCTTTGCAACGAAGCTTGGTATCCACATGATGTGCAGAGGAGGGCACGAGTTGACGCTCTTTTGGACTGGCACCATAATAATACTCGCAGACACACTGGTAAGGTGACAGCCATTTCCCTTGGGCTTGCCCCTCACTCTTCTAAATGTTGTACTGCTCTCTTGACGCATATGTTTTGTTGACTTGCAGTTGGAATTGTGTGGAATGAAGTAATATGCAGCATGTTTGGGCTCTCATCAGATACGCATATTGCAGCCGTATCTCGCCATGAGCTGCAATCATCTCTCTGTGCCATGGAGCGGGTGATGCTGGCACAAGCAGACCCGTCCAAGCCTGGTTCACCACAGTTCCTTGATGCCAACATCCATCCCTCGGTTGCTGATCTCAGCATCGCATGCGAGCTGATGCAGCTCGAGGTGAGCTTGCATGCAAGCTTCTATAAAAGCACTACTCGCCTTTTCGTTTGGCATGAAACGTCCGCTGAGCACTCTCAACTGAAGCATTCCATTCTACACCCATTCCCATCCCAGTTGTTGGGTGCTGCAGGCAAGGAAGCTGTGCTGGGAAACCACAAGAAGGTGCAGGCATGGTTGGAGGCAGTGAGGGCGACATGTAACCCAGTCTTTGATCAAGTGCATGAGGCTCTGTACAGACTAGCCTCACGGGCTGAGCAAGCAAAGAAACAAGCTAGGACTCAGGGTATTCCTCAAGACGGTCCTAATGCTGTTGGTTTCAGGCGCCCTGGTGAGAAGATCCGTTCGTCTTTGTAAATTACATCCGTTCTGTATCGTACGTACATTTACCGGTATAGGGGTTGGTCATTGGTCAACATTGGTCGCCCCCTCTCGTTGTACCGTACAATCAGTTGATGTGTACATTTGCTGCTGGTCATCATTAGCTTGAACCAAATTTAGCAGACATGTGGCTAGATAGGTGGTGTATGGAAGTTTGTTCGGGTGTACAGCATTGGAAGCATTTGTATTGGGTTGGTTGTACGGTACACGAAGGCACCGAAAGAAAGTTCCATTTCTCATTGGCGCCCTCATCCGTTACAGCACCGTGGTTGCCGATGTCCAGCAAGGATGATTTTGGATCCGAAAGATTTGGATGAGCGAATGATGACGTACTGTGCTACCCATGCCACGTACACGGTCTTCACATTTCGGGCCTAACTCAGTCCACGTGTCCCCAAGATACAATTCGTTCTAAAAAGAGCGATTTTGACCCGAGTCGAGGAGCTTATGTAAGTGGCTGATATTGGACTGCCAAGTCTCCGACCCTCTCTCCTTGATTCCGGATCCTTGCACCACTGTGATCACAAACCGGTCTGCGTTCACGTTGCACCCTTGAACTGACACTCCAGGTCCATCCTGTCCAACTGAAGTGTAGCTCTTTCTAAACAGGACCTAGGTCTCTCTCCAAGCCAACCAACCAACCTCGGGTATTGCTCACCTTGTGCTTTGCTGGCCTCCATCGACCCAGGGAAGCTCCAATCAACCTGACCAGATTTCTCCTTAGCATTCGTCGACCCACAAAACGAGGACAATCCACTTCAGTGTCAGTCAGTGATTTCCTGGTTCATCTGCTGAAGGCTGAACCTTCGGTGCTGCCATTCCCCACACACTGCACGACCATCATGTCTTCTCAGATCCTACTTGGATCAACCAGGGTCTCCACCAGTGCATCGTCTCTCTCCCACATTCACTCCGCAGCGTTGTTAAGCAAGGCTTCTGAGGCCTCTCTATCCACCTCCTTCCTTCCGTCGACTCGCAAAGCATCGTTCTCTGCTGCCGGCTCTGCTGCGAGACTGCGTGTGAAGGGAGCAACCAGATCGCGCGTGGTGGTGACCGCCATGGCCGACAGCCAGGGGAAGCGAACTGTCCTTGTCACTGGCGCTGGAGGCAGAACAGGTTGAGCATTCCGCTGTGTCTCTTAGGTTCATCGTCTTGTGTCTGTGTGTGTGCTTTTTTTTTTCGGCAATTTATCCTTTTTATCTATTTTGTTCGACAGGGGCACATCTGATGTTGCTCATTCGGTTTGCATTCGTGCACGGTCATAACCGCCTTCGATGCACCACGTATACGGTTCGCATTTCCCTTCCACTTCGCCGTATCTCCACGTCATCCCTGTCATGGCATCCTCAGGCCGGTTGGTGCTGGAGAAGCTTCAGAGCCGGCCGGAGTTTAACGCGAGAGGCATGGTGCGGTCGGACGCGAGCAAGGAGACGCTCGCACAGGTCGTTCCTGGCGCCGACATCGTCGTTGCCGATATCGTTCGCCCCACGGACAAGGCCTTCGCCTCTGCGTTCGACGGCGCCGAGGCGGTCATCATTGTTACCAGCGCCGTGCCAAAAATGAAACCCGGTTTTGACCCTTCTTCTGGTCAGCGGCCTGAGTTCTATTTTGAAGAGGGAGGGGAACCTGAGAAGGTAAGCCGTAGGTCGAACACTGCGAATAGAACGAAGCGTTGAACAGGAATGCACAAGATTTTTTGGATTGGCCAAGTGTTGAGACCGTGGAACAGCGAGGGTGGAGTCTGAACCCAAACCTATGTCCCATAAGTGAAACCGCCGCTGTGGTGGTTGTGCCGTTATATGCACATTTTGAACTTCTCCGTCTTTACTAATGGTCGTATTTACTTTGTTTCAGGTTGATTGGCTCGGCCAGAAAGCACAGATTGATGCCGGTAATTCCACTAGCCTTCTTGGTTCACTGCTAGCTTTCATGTCCATGATGCCGCTTCATTTGTCCTGCTGTTTTTTTTGTCGTCGCGTTGGCTTTAGCACGCGGCAGGCTGCTGGACTCTAGAGCTCAACTGAGCTTATTTTTCAGCCTTGCCCTAAACCCTCTTACATTCGGACCTCCTTTTTGTTATTTCTTCCTACTATTTTGCAGCTAGGCGGGCAGGAGTGAAGCAGGTGGTGATAGTGGGGTCTGCAGGTGGTACAAACGAAAAGCACCCCCTTAACTCTTTGGGCAACGGAAACATCCTGGTCAGTTCACTCGCATGAACTCACCGTGGGTATGCATCATTACTTCAGCTGTGTTTCTGAGTGGCTTCTTGTTTTCCATCTTCTGTTTCTTCAGTCGCGACATATTTCATTGTCTGACCGCTTTTGTCTTGGAACCACTGCAGGTTTGGAAGCGCAAGGCAGAGCAGTATCTTGTTGACTCGGGCATTCCGTACACCATTGTCAGGTGAGAAGAGTAGGGTCAATGAGTACCGTATAAGCTGCCTTTCCTCTCTGATGTCCGTGGTCTACCGTCAGTTGAAGAGACGTACCACCCTCAACCCCCCTACTCATGCTTAATTCTTTTGGTTCACTGTTGTACATTCGCAGAGCTGGCGGACTTTTGGATAAGGATGGTGGAAAGCGCGAATTGCTGGTGGGCAAGGATGACGAGTTTCTCTCCAGCAACACTCGCACCGTGCCTCGTGCAGACGTTGCTGAAGTCTGCGTGCAGGTATGCAACAGAAACATCCTGCTTTCATGTTTCAAAATTTTTACTGATTTGCATTTCCATGTGTGACTCTTCATTTCTAGCTCAGACTTGTTCTTGCTCGTGCGGAAAGAATAACATGTACACATTCAAGGTGCATCGAGGATGGAGTATAGGAAAGCATGGAGCGCACGTTTTGGTGAACCCTGTGCTCAACCGAACCTTCATTGTGCCACGTCATAGTCAACCTTATCTCCTCCCTCCATTGTGGCCATTTGCGAACTTCTTTTCTGTTCACAGGCTCTTCTCTTCAATGAGGCAAAGAGCAAGGCTCTTGATCTTGTGTCACGTGAGGAGGGAGATGGATCTGTCACCACTGACTTCAAAGCTCTTTTTGCACGAACAACGCCCGGGATGTGAACCACCTTCCGCCAGCCTGCAGTGCAATCCCAGTTTTGTGCTCCGAATGTTTTCTGGTGCAATGGTCAGGCATTGGAAGGCACACATACACGTGTTGCGGTAATTCTTGCTTTGAGTGTCTAGATTTGTGCTGGAACTTCTTATATCAACTTATATCCACCCAGCTTATGGGGCTCCAACTTCCAAGGCCGAGAGCCACACTCCAACGAGTGCTTGAACAAGCTCACCTGGCCTGGAAGCAGTCAAAGTAGCTGTGCCTCTTATCACTGTTCAGATTTAGTTTCTGCTCTTGTCTAGCCAGCCATCCCTTTCATCGCAGTGTCAGAGTAGACAATGATGAATAGTACGAATTTCACTCAAAAATAAATCTGTCTGAAGGTGAACCCACCGTATTATCCTAAAACCATTGTTTGCGTGTCTGACACCCTACGGAAATTGGTAGCAACCTGAATGCACCCAAATTGGTTCAACCTTCCTAACTTCCAGTGGTTCAACCTTCATAACTCCCACACACGGTCAAAACCCAGACTGTGATTCAGACATCCAAAACCTTGGCCAATCGCGTCATTAGCCCCAACCAACCTTCCTAACCGCGGGTTTGAACTAAAATACTGGTATATTCAGTGCGCGGTCGCAGTCATTACACGATATACAGATTTCGGAAGCGTTTCCGTTCAAAACAATTTACATGTGAGGACTATGCACAACGGAAAACAAGAATGGGTAACGAAAGAGACCTATACGGTCCAAGTGGCCAGAACTAGTATTTAGACGAACTCCGCACTGTGATGCGAGCCTGAGCCGGCCGTCCTTTACCGGAGCCTCCACAGCTGCTGCACTGCATCCGCCCAGACCCGTGGCATGTACCGCAACCCACATCTCCGTCCGACCATCTGTAGGGGAAAAACATGAATCTGTGAAAGTTAGCAATCTGGGATCCGAACCATCCAGCAAATCTAAGTCGTGATTCATACGGATGATGCGAAACTTACTTGTTGCACATGCACGGGATCTTCCTCGTGCCGTGGCAAGTTGCGCAAGGGTTCATTGGAGGAGCCATGGAAGCCTCGTTATCCATCATAGACTTCACGGCTATCGCACCCGCAGCGAGGCCGATACACTGAGCTATCAATGCCTGGGAAGCTATAATTGCAGGGGCCATAGTATTGAGAGACTTCCGGAAGGGTTTTAGTCTGGCAGAAATGGACGATAGGGCTCGCAAGTATATCAGAAGCACGTTTTACAACAGGAGGTCTCCAACTCGAGCTCGAACTCTACCTAACTGTGGCTCAAAACTTCCGGTGGCTTATACGGAACAAACAGACTGACAAGCTGGGGAAGAAGAACGCAGGTAACAATGGAGAACACTTGCTGCAGACACTGGATGGTTCACGAACGAACACAATCAGGGGTGGGTGGGATATGTAGGAATAACACGCGGCAACCCGTCAGCGGTAAGCCAAACAGGAACCGTAAACTCTGTTGCTCATGGACCGACCGTGTCTCTCGTTCGTGCAACAGGCCAGACTGTGTTCGCCGTTAATTCGCCAGGTAGTTAGTGGTGGAAGGCACACCAGCTCAGCCATTGGCGCAGTGAAGGCGGGCTTGACACGGATTGCAGGGCTCTCGTGGCGCGAGTATGCTTCACTCCCTTGGCTGTCACGTGTCACTGCGAGCGTCCCGATTCGCGCAAAAAGCTGACGCACAAGTACGACGTGGTTACCTGTGAATACGCCACGTTTGACAATGATATTTTGTGCCAACTCGAACCTGACAGCAAATCACGTTACAAAACGATTTTATTGGGCCTACTTCGGCAGCTTGCGCGAATAGGGTAGGCTCCCGCTACTTCGGACCTATGGAAACAGTCTCGAGCGTGATCCCGCCTAGACTAGCTCGCTTCCGAGCCTGGCCCACGCGCCCTGTCAAAACCCAAGCCCATCCAAGGTTGTTAGTTGCGTATATCCATGTTCTGCTATTGCGTAGTACCGGTACCGCAGTGTACCAAACATAACACTAACACCCCTGTTTACTAGTTCAGTTTTTAGTGTTGGCGTTTGTAAATGTGAACTTCTGAAATGTGCAAGTACGTACGGTTTGCTTTGAGAATTGACTACCACCAACTGTCACATCTACATCTGATGTACCGCAGTTGTTTGCCAAGAATGCATGGAGGAGCTCGAATTCGAAGCAGTATTGCAGGACATACACAGGTGTGCATAATGGATAGCGAATAATGGATGCATAGTGCATAATGCATAAGAGACCTTATAAACCTAGCACTATCATCGAGAGCACCACTACAGGTATTACAATGTAACGTGAGTTGTCACCCGGTCAGCACCATAGAACTGCAGGGAGACGGGGAAGACAATGTGCAGTAAGAAACGATGCACAAGCGAAACGCCAAACAGGCCTTGTTGCGTCAAGAAGAAAGCATGAAATATGACTGAGAGAAGCAAAGACTCAGTGGTTCAATGGCACCAAGGGCGCATGCAGTGTAGTTGCAACCGTGGCGCATCTCGATCGCTGCAGTGGCTCTTGCTCACCGCAGTGCCTCTTGCTCACCGCAATGATTATTGCTCACGTAAGTGCCTCTTGCTCACCTCGGTGCCCTTGGGGTTGACGAAGGTCTCTGTGAAAAGCTCCTTGGGGTCAGGGAAGGGCGACGCCTGGCAATGATAGCATGTAGCACAAGGCAGAAATGCAGGAGGAGCAGACGGGTTCAACAAGCGACAGTGTGGAGGGAAAGCACAAGCAAAGATCTAAGACTTCGGCACCTACAAACAACCACGTGTCCCGAAAGGCATCAGGGCATGCGTTGGTGGAAAATGCAGCATGTCCGGTAAATCAAGCAGCCCAATACAGGTGGTGTGAGACAGGGTGCAACACTCTAAGCGAGTGGGTGGCGGCCTGGCTGGTCTGACCTTGGCCTTCTCAATGTCTGCCTCCACGAGTGCCTTGGCCTCCTTCTCCAAAGACTGCAGCACAGGACGGAGACACATGGGGGGAGGGTTGAGGGAGGGAGGAAAGGACAGAGACGAGAGAGGAGGATGAGGAGGAGGGGCGGACAGAGAAAGGAGCAAGGGGGCAAGAAAATATGTGGCTGAAGAAGAAAAAGAACAACACACACACTGTCCTTGCTGGAGCAACGCAGTAGCAACCAGAGGGAAGCGGAGCCCGTCGCCGGCATCGGCACGAGCACGAGCACGAGAAACGACAAGCCCACATGGTACCTTGAGCTCGGCGGTGGTGACGACCTCCTTGGCGAGCAGCAGCTTGCGGATGCGCTCGATGGGGTCGCGCTCCTGCCGCACGCCCGAGATCTCCTCACGCGTGCGGTACGTGCTGCCCGGGTCCGACATGGAGTGCCCGTGGTACCGGTACGTGTCCATCTCCAGCACCTGGAGGGGGCGAGGTGGGAGAGGGAAGGGAGCGGAGGGGGTGGGGAGGGAAGGGAGCGGGGGAGGGGGAGACGGGAGGGGGGAGGGAGGGAGGGTGACAGGGAAGGGGGAAATGCGCACACGGTGAAGGATTGTCAGGCAGACCAAGAGCGGGTGGATGACAGGCGGGGTGTTGATAGAGGGCATGTTCTTAGTTAACTCAATGAATGAGAGCGTGCGTGCCTAAATCCAGGACACCGGTAGCGGCTCAAAGCGACGGGAAGTGTCTGTTTAAAAAAGGAGGGCAGCGGGACAATGAAAGTGCGGTAAGCACTCGATAGGGACATGCAATGCAAAAGGTAGTTGTTCGTGCATTTTTGCGTGCGTGAGGGCGGAGGCAGGTGAGAGTGACTCACGACGGGCCCGTTCTTGAGCGCGTGTGCCTTGGCGTACGACACGGCTTGCTTCACGGCGAGCGCGTCCATGCCGTCCACCTGCGCGCCGCCATCCACGCACGACACGGGACACACACGCAATGACGGCTGAGGGCAATGCAGCACACGCGATACACCAGCGGTACGTGCCCCTGCCGCAACCTATGATCAGCTACTCGGGCGTGCGGACGCTACAATTATCCTCAGCCAGATCCGCCGCAGCCAGGTCACGAATGACGCCCGCCTTTCATCTGTAACTTGGGCGATCATCAAGGTAATCGCGCGGCGCTACGGGTACCCTCAAGTCAAGCTCGCTGCCAATGCGAGTACTGGGGATCCTTATGCTGACGACGGTCAACGCTGTTCGCTGCTGCCCGTGATCGTAGCTTCTTGAATCTCTACGTTTATTCCAAACCGAACAGCAGACGACAGGTGCGGCAATGCCCTGGGATCTCGCAACCCTAGCCACCCACCCTATCAGCCCACCCTAGCGTCCAATACTCGCATTCCACCTCAGCATTGCGCCCTCCCAAGCTCAACCGTCCCCATCCCCCAGCACTCTCGCGTTGCAGGCTGCGCGGCTGACCTTAAGGCCGGGGACGTAGTCGCCGCGGCAGTAGAACTCGGGGCTCTTGGCGGCGCGCCACTCCGCAGTACCCATGCCGTCTGCCGGGACAGGGGAGGGCGGCGGGCGGGGCGGCAAGCGGAGGGCGGAGAGCGCGCAAGGAGAATATTAGATGGTGCTGATGCGATGAGGCAGAATGAGTGGTACAACCAGCTAGCAAGATCCGGACTTGACGGGCTGGACCGCGGGCAACTACGCAAGACTGCGCGTCGCGCGGCGCGTCGACTCACGACTCACAGTGGTTGTTCTCGCAGACGAAGATCACGGGCAGGTCCCACAGCGCCGCGATGTTCATGGCCTCGAACAGCTGGCCCTGGTTCGCGGCGCCGTCACCGTACAAGGACAGAGTCACGCCCGGCACGTTGCTGTACTTCTGCCCGAACGCCAGCCCCGCTCCCAGCGGCGTCTGCGCGCCGACGATACCGTTCCCGCCGTAGAAATTATTCGCCTTGTTGTACATGTGCATGGAGCCGCCCTTGCCCTTGCTGCACCCCGCGACGCGCCCCATGAGCTCCGCGATCACCTCCAGCACGGTGCCGCCGCGGCCGATGTGCGTGCAGTGATCGCGATAGCTCGTGATGATGCAATCGTCGTATGTGAGGCCTGCCTCCATGCCCACGCACACCGCCTCCTGCCCGTCGTACAGGTGGCAGAACCCGCGGATCAGCTTCGCCTTGTACAGTGAATCCGAGGAGATCTCGAGGCGCCGCATGAGGAACATGTCGAAGAAGAACTTAATCAGCTCCTTAGGCGTCGTCGTCACGGCCGTGGAGGGCGGCTCGATGCGGTGGCCCTTGAACGGCACTGCGATGTCGACCGGGATGGGGGTCTCGTCCGACGCCGCGGGGATGGAGGCGGCGGCGACGGACGTGATGTTGCGCGCGGGTGCGGTGGCGGCGGCGGCGGCGGCGTGGATGGCGGGCGAGAGGCGGGGCTGGGCGCGGGAGCCGAGAAGTAGGCTCGCGCCCTTGAGAGCGGCGGATCGCAGCGCAGATGTCCTGGACGCCATGGTGTGCGGTAGGGCCGCGAGTTAACAAATGGGCGAAGGCGGATCTGCTGGACTACGTTCTGGTCGACTCTCAGGTGGAGCTGCTGGGAGTGTGGCGAGATCCAGCAGCAATGGATGCAGCTCGAACGGAGCAGCAGGTGAACACAACCAGACAGGCGGCAGGGAGCAGCAAGCAATGGAGGTGAATGCCGCGAGGGGGAGGCGGGTGGGGTAAGGGCCTCAAGCTTGCCTTGGGCGTGCCAGAGATCTCGGTTTGCGCAAGACAAAACCAAGGTTGGGGAACTGTCGCATGGAGGGAAGATGACGCCGATCTTGTTACCCAGGACTGCATCCAACGGTATGTATTGCCTCAATGTCATGTCAGCCGCCATCGTACGGCAAAGCTGCTGCCATCTGAAGTGGCGGGCTTGCATTGGATATGAGACCAGCACCTACCGTCATTCGCCAGACAACATGGAGATATTTTCTTGGTCGTAACTCTAGCCAGCTCCGTTCTGCAACCCTTCGAAGTGATTGATGGAACAAGCATTTGTACGGTACACGATTGTTCACACTAGCCACTGATTCACTTCACATAAGCTATGAAATAAGATTGGGATCTTCCTCCTAAGTTAGAAGGTTGCATTCACCACCTCATTCCGGCAAGCAAACATTTCTTTGGGTTACAGTTGATATACGCTAGGTAAGAAAAATACAATGAGCAAGCCTGGTGCGCACGCGATTGTACTCCATACCATACGGTAACACCGCATTTGCGGATGCAACCTACGTAACATGTACACAACAATCCAACATGATCTTCAAGCAACTGCTGTACCCACCTTTTCCAAATCACTAGTTAGTAGGAGCCAAACTCTGCGTGCCAACGCTCATGCCGCTCAATGTCCCCAGAGGCAACACTAGGTTGGATTTTCCTGAGTGCAACCTCGAAGTCAGCCATGGTCACCGGCTCATTCATGTCCTCCCGTGTCATGCTACGAATCTCCTCTGGTGTCTTGCCTGCTATCTTCCGCCTCATTCCGTTCATTGATGCATCCCTGCATATGTTGGTGATGTCGTCGCCACTGTAGCCATCCGTACGCTTTGCCAGCTCATCCACGTCCACATCCGAAGCCAGCTGAAATATCAATAAGGCGGCAAGGGAAGCTGTCTTATCAAGAAATTGCACAATACGATGAAAGTATGCTGTACAACGAAGCACACTGACAACCAACCGCATGCACAAGTCAAAAGAACGGGACCAAAGCAGACAAAGGCCAGCCAATCACAATAGGAAAGACACAGCACATCACAGAAAGCATGAGCACGAGTGGGGCCGCACCTCAAGGGAGCGCAGGTTGATGTTCATAAGGGCAGCTCGACTGTCATGCGGTGGCAGAGGGATGTAGATTCGCTTCTCCAGCCGACGGCTGCATGCGAAAGGCAAGGGAGGGAATGAACACAACAGATTATCAGACCTTCCCTCATGGCATTGTCCTTCTGCCAAATGAAAGATTCAAAAGGCTCTCCACTTTGCTCAACTCCACAAGCCACCTCAACCCCCTCTCCATACCTCCCCCCCTCCCCCCCCCCCCCCCCCCCCCCTCCCTGCCCCCTCAACCCTTCGCCGCTCCCCCTTCTCCTATTCCGTTCCCTCTCCTGCCCTTCCTCCTTCCTCCACTGCGCCCCAATGCTCACCGCAGCGCCTCATCGAGGTCCCATGGGAAGTTGGTGGCGGCGAGCACCATGACAATCTTGCGCTCGCCATCCGGTGATGCGGCATTGTTCATGCCGTCAATCTGCACCAGCAGCTCTGACTTCACCCGCCGAGACGACTCATGCTCGCCCGCCGCACTGCCAGCATTCCATGCGAGGGGGATGATGTGAAAATGGAGTGACAGGACGGAGGGGATGACAGGGAGGGAGAGGGGAAGCGGGGGGCAAGTGGGAAAGTCGGGTCTGGGCCAATAAACAACCTTGCAGTTTGCAAGAAGGTAGAAGTGCAGAGGCTGCCAGAAGAAGCACCTACCAAGGACATGCCTACCTACATCAACGAAGATAGAAGGGCAGGGTAGCATGCACTTACCCTCGTGACGTGCAGAGCGAATCAATCTCATCAATGAACACTGTGGAGGGGGCGTAAGCGCGGGCCATCTCAAAGAGGCAGCGCACCATGCGCTCGCTCTCGCCCCTCCACTTGGACGCGAGCGTGGCGGAGGAGACGTTGAAGAAGGTGGTGCCACACTCTGTCGCCACCGCCTTGGCCAGCAGTGTCTTGCCCGTGCCTGGCGGGCCAAACATCAGCACCCCCTTCCACGGCCTCCGAATGCCCTGCAGTAAGAACACGCAGCACGAAACGGACCTGTGAGCACGACATCATTGCTTCCATTACTCTCAGATGCTAAACAAATGCAGGAAAACAAAAAAAACAGCGACGAGTAGCTAGAATGTGGAGGGTTTGTCAGGGAAGGGCAGCAGCGGGAATAAGTAGAGCACGGCGTGGGCTCCCCTACACTGCAATCTAGCGCACCTGGAAGTAGTCGGGCATGAGCAGCGGCAGCACAACAGCCTCTTCCAGCAGTCGCTTGGCTTCAGTCAGGCCGGCAATGTCCCCCCAGCGCACGCCAGGCGACGACTCCAGCACGTCCCTCTCCAGCATGGCCACCAGCTCGGGGTCCGACCCCTCAAACCGTGGCTTGCGCGGTATCACCTCCTTGCCCTCCTCCTCCTGCCATTCATGGTCACCAGTGGGATCGCCCAGCGTACGATGCAGCAATGAATGCACACATAAATACGAGCCAGATGCAGAAATCGAGGGACCAACAACAAAGAGGGAGACAAATGACAAGAGAAAGTGAAAGGACTCGAAAAAGCGCAGGGATTCGATGTATGTAGAACACAGGAACAATGATTCCGCAACGGAAAATCCAGTAAGCAACACTGTGATGGCGTTGAGAAGCGGAGGTCGTACCGACGGTGGGTCGCTGGGCGGGCCTTTATGTTCCCTGGGCTTGCCAACAGCGCTGTTGATCACAGCTCCCACGGACACTCGCCTGTTCCGCGCGTCGGCCCCTCGCTCCGACCTCTCCGCCCCTGCTCGCTTCGACGCTTGTGAATCCGAACCTATGCTATTACGCGACCCCGCTCCCCCTATGCGTGATCGCACACCAGCTACTCCGCCAGGCGTCGTTTTACTCGCACTGCCACCTCCCTGCATCCCAGGCGACCGGCCAAACGACCCAGGAGAGGTTCCTCGGCTGCTCTGTCTGCTGCCGCTGTCGAAACCGCCGCCTGCTCTCCCGCCTACGCGGCCGACAGCGGACGCACGGCGGTTATTGGTGGGGGAAGTGAGATCCCTGGACGGTGCTGGCCTCCACACATCTGGATCCTGAGAGCCAAACGGCGCGTCGAAGGAGTCGTCGTGGTGCCTGCCGGAAGAAACGGGAGAGTGGCCGTTGGTGTAGCGAGGGTTGCACGAGAACGCTGCGGACCCCGCCGGCTCCTTGAAGACCTGACGGTCGCATTCGAGACTCTTGGTGAGGTCGAGCTCGTCCTGTACTTGCTTCTTGCAGCTCATCCAGTTGGACCGAGTGTACGGGTCGTCCACGGTCTGGAGGTGCCTGTTGTGGTGATATAACGACAAATCAGAAGCACGGGAAAACAGGGAGGACAGAGAACCATTTGAGGTAATAATCTTCCTGGTAGTCAGAGGCTATGGTGACAACGGAATAGTGAAGAAACCTGGAAGAAAGGCTGGTAGCTGAATTACTGAGACTCAAAACTACAGAACTTCCAGGGGATAGGACACGTGTAGACTTAACTTCCTGCGTGGAAAATACTTCTGTTCAAACTACTCGCGTGCACATCCTCACTTGTTTATTTGCGAAATGACCCCATCGTAATATATCAACGCGCTGTCGTAGTTCCCAAGCGTGGCGTGCTCCCTTGCAACCGTCAGCTGATCAACAACCCCTTTTAACGCCATCGAGTCCACCGTCGCTAAGAACAGCGATATAGAGCATGAGACGACGAGCCTACCCTGCCATAACAGACGTGCCTGTCAATGGATCTACTAAAAATAAAAACCTACCGGAAAATACGATGTCCTAAGCCTAGCAAACGAACTAAGGGAAAGAACGTAGTAGGAATGTTGTTGCGATCTCGAGGTTGTCTTGAGATGGCTCAGAACAGACACTCCCTAGAACCAACATGACCAGAAGAGCATGTGGGATGATGATGAACGACGAACTCGAAATTCCCTCCCACTCTGTGAAGGCGAAGCCAGGGTTGGCTCAGGGAATGAAAATCGAACCCCACTGACAAACTGCCGTGTCGCATCAGCCCTGACACAAGGTACAAGACAAGAACCTCCCTGCTGTGTGATTCGCTATGGAGAGGTACACTCCGTAGCGAAGAATATAATGCGACGAAGTGTACTTTTCGAGGAAGTCCCGTTGGGTTCAAGAGATTTTTGTGAAGATTTGGGGATAACGGCACTTGATGCGTGAGCGACACGGATTTTGCGACTCCCAGTGTCGCGTAAGGGGGTGATTGGCGATATGCGACTCCCATGTGCCACATGCTGGCAGTGATGGGTGAACGGACCATTTTGATTGGTGCGTTTATCAAAACTCGTCACAAGCAACTAGGGCGTTCGGCGACATGCATGCAGCAAGTGCCGGTATAAAGCCCGAGTGGCTCCCTCATCAGTCCCCTTCCTCTTCCATTTTCTCTTTCACACCTCCTCCAACCCTCAGTTTCTCCACTAGAATTCCAGAATTCCTGCAGGGCCGCCTTCTCTGCTCTGAGAGCACTGCAAACCCTATTTCTTCAGACATTCAAGCTCATCCCAGCGCCCCCTGCCACCACCATGGTTTGTCCTCTATCGCTGCAGAAAGCTCGTCGGTGTCAATCGTTGGTTCCGTTTCGTAGACTTTTACAGGATTTTGATGTTTTGCGTCATCGGATCCTAATGGGATATTATGAAGCTTTTCTTCCATTTCCTTGGATGTGTTTAGTGCCTAATGAATATTAGTTATATTGGCGTGTTCTTGGAACACAGGGGCACACAGTTAGCAGCCGCCGATTCCGCAGTAGGCACGATGTAGGGCCGCCTGAGCAGCCTCTTTCAGTGCTGCAGCAAACATTTGCAGAACTAAAAACCGGCGAAATTAGTCTGCCGTGATCGAAGTCCAGGGTTAATGCGCTTCTGGGCCTGTGCGTCTCTCTCTCACATGAATGCACCATGTTTACCTTCTTGTGCGTGCAGGTGCTATCTAACGACATCGATCTGCTTCACCCTCCAGTGGAACTGGAGCAGCGCAAGCACAAGATGAAGCGACTGGTGCCCACGCCCAACAGCTTCTTCATGGTCAGTCGCTGTCCGAGTAGTGTGTGCTGAGAGGTTGTGCAGTCTCTGGAACTCTTTGGAACGATTTCATTGGGTCCTACGGCCTGTTTAGCACCTGCTATGTTGGTCGATTTTCTTGTGCACCTGCTCATCGGGTCCAGCAAACCGCAATATTGTTCTACTCCTCTTCCCTCCCCATTTGCCCGTGTATCGCAGGACGTCAAGTGTCAAGGCTGTTTTAACATGTAAGTCTCGGTCCCTGCATTTGCTCGTGATTCTACCCCTTCCCCGCATCTCCACCATGTGAGTTTCTGCATGTTCGTGTCATCTTACCCCTATATTTTCTCCATTGTTGTCCGTGTGTTCCCGTCTTGCAGCACGACTGTGTTCAGCCACTCGCAGACGGTGGTGCTGTGTGGCAGCTGCTCCACTGTGCTGTGTCAGCCCACCGGTGGCAAGGCCCGCCTTACAGAAGGCTGCTCCTTCCGCAGAAAGGGCGATTGAATAGCTTCTTCTCAAGTCTCCCTGTCCATACACACCGCGGGTTGTTTTTGAAGGACTAATGTGTAAATCTGATGGCTTAGTTTACGGAAAGTTGCAGTTATAGCTTTGTCACTGTTGTACATCTTGTGGCAGTAGTAGAATGGCTTGTCTTGGGCTCTTGGCTGAGCCAACCAATTCAAGTCTGACTTCTTTGGACAACGCCTTTAAAGTAAACTCAATGTATGCAGTCTTTCACATTACCGTACTACTTGTATCATACGGTGCTGTATGACAATGGCATATACCAATACTTATTTGCTTATAGTAACAGAACTAGCACTCTCATAACATAACTACCCGTCCCCACCCTTATCTCCTACTCCACGATGGCATCCTACGGCTGGAAATGCTCATAGCATGGCTGGCAATGATATTCCCTGCACTGCCATCCCCATAATTGAGAGCCCTAGGGCTCGACGCCGTAACGCGTGATGCTGCAGCCGAGGGGCTTGTCCCTCTAGCAGTGGGGCTGTGCCCGTAGTACGAGGGAGCAGTGGGGCTCTGACCATACACTGACACGGCTCTAGGGCTCTGTCCGTAGTAGCCTGTTGCTCTGGGACTCTGCCCGTACACCCCTCCCGCCCCTGCTGCTCCCATGCCTCCATACATTCCCCCAACTGCCATCCCCCCACCCAAACCTCCCCCGGCTGCATAACCACCACTCCCTGGTGCACCAGCGCTGGCGCCGCCCCCTGCGCTGCCTGCCCCAACGCCTGCAAGAAAAGCCGCTGCTCGAGGGCTCTGGCCAAAGCGCGGAGGGCTCTGCCCATACGCCCCTGCTGCTGATGCAGGGCTGCCCGACTGCAGCCCGTACGGTGGGGGGCTCTGCCCATACCCCCCTGCTGCTGCCATGGCTGCCGCTCCTGCTGCAGACCCGTGTGAGTGCGCGTGGTGGTGGTGGTGGTTGTACGGGGACGTGCTGGGGTGGTGCCCTGCTGCTGTGTGGAAGGGCGAGGAGGAGGAGGAGCCGTGGGAGGGAGCAGTGGGGCTGTGGCCTGCAGCAGCAGCAGCAGCCGCAGCAGCAGCCGCAGCAGCAGCACTGTGTGTGGGAGTGACCATGCCCATGTTGCCCATGTTGTTCCCAGCGTGGTGGGGGCTGTTGCCACGCAGAGCAGCACTCGTGATCATGCTGCCGATGTCAGCGGCCTTGGGGCTGGCAGCTGTGGGGGAGAAGCCACTGCGGGGACTCGCATTGCGGTAGGAAGCAGACCCGGAAGGAGCGACAAGACCACCACCATACGCACTGCCAGCACCGGTGGCTGCAGCGCCGGTCAGGGGCGATGTGGGGTCGATGTGGCGCGGGGAGGAGAGGGCGAAGCGCGGGCTGGTGCGCGCTGCTGAGTCGGTGAAAGCTCGTGCAGCGGACCATGAGGGGCTTGTGTCGCGCACCGCACGGGGGGTGACTGATGGCCGCCTTGCCACCCAGTCCTCCCTCTGCATGGGAGAAAGGGCGGAGATGGGAGAAAGTAAGTCATAAATATATAGCTGGCAATATTAATGAAGCCACTGTAGAGAATTCTCACTCATCGCATCACATGGCATGGCATGACATGGCATGGCACAGCATGGCATCCCATCACCCCACATGCACGTACCAGGCAGGGGTCCTCGCTTTCGAGCATGTGCACGACTTGCTTCATCTTGGGGCGCTTGAGTGCGTTGGGCTCCAGGCAGCGCAGCGCCACGCCCACCACGTACGTGGCGTCCTCGATCGCCACGGGCACCGCTGCCGTGCCGCCCATGTCCGGCGCACACAGGCGCGGGTCCACCATGTCTAAGAACCGCCCCTCGCCCGCCATCTGCTTCGCCCACTTCACCAGGTTCGACTGGGGGGTGGAGGCGAGGGGCGAGGAGGGTGGGAAAGAGAGCATTCAGATGGGCGTGGTGTAGAGTGAGAGGAGGGGTGGTGATGAGGAGGAGGGATCGAGAAAGGACTGCCAGGAAGAGGTGGGAAGGGGGGGTTTGGGGGGATTGAGGGCTGATCCGCTGGTGATAATGTTGAGTAAGATGCATGGCATGGTGGCAGTGAGGCAGCGGTGCAGAAGGATGCATTGCGAGGCGGTGGCAGGTCGAGTCGAGAGTGCAGCAGAGATGCAGCGAGTGGCAGCAGCAGCAGCAGCAGTACCTCGTGCGAGGAGCGCTGGCTGTCGATGGGGCGTCGCCCCGTGATGATCTCGAGCAGCAGCACGCCGAAGCTGTACACGTCACTGCGCTCCGTCAGCACGCCCGTGTTCATGTACTCTGGCGCCATGTACCTGCACGCATGATGGGGAGGAGGGTAGTAGGTTCAGCAACTGACACTAAGGAGAGCAGGAAGGCAGGAGTGCAGGGCGAGGGGCGCGAGGAGCAGAGATGGAGCAGCAGCGCACTGACCCGAAGGAGCGCAGAGCGTGGCGCGCGGAGGCGTGCTTGGGGTCGCTGCCCACGATGCGTGCAAAGGCAAAGTCGCAGAGGCGCGCGTCGCAGCGGTGGTCCAGCAGCACGTTGGCTGCTCGCACATCGCTGTGCACCACTCGCACGTCGTGCAGGTACGCCAGACTGGGGGAAAGGGAGGGAGAGGTTGTTGGGGAACAAAGATGCAACGCAGTTGGTGGGCATGTGGTGAGCGAATGCGAACAGAAGAATGGGCAGGAGAACTGAAGAGAAAGGCGGTGCGGTGTGTGAGGAAGGGACGACCAAGCAGGAGGTGAGGCTGCTGTGTGAAAGTGAAGATTCTCACTCAGCGTCCATCCACAACTCCCCCTCGTCACACCTTCCTCTCCCATGTCTAGTCACTCCTGCTTCCCCTCCTGCTCCCCCCCACCCCCTTCCTCCTCTCCCCTTCTCCTCTCCCTCTCCGTTTCGTGCACCATAGCTTATCAACACTCACCCTTTCGCGCATCCCACGGCCACGTGCATCCTCATCGGCCAATCAATGGCCTCCATCTGCGCGCCCGCGTTGGCTGCCAGCGTGGCGTCGTCAGGATGCAGCCACGTGTCCAGATCGCCATTCACCGCGTACTCCGCGACGAGCATGCGCTCCGCGCCCCCCGCGGAACCGCAGTCCGCGGGTTCCGCGCAGCACCCGCCGATGAGCGCAATGAGGTTGGGGTGGCGCAGCGTCGCCAGTGTCTCCACCTCGAAGCGGAACTCGCGGGGGGTCTGGTCGGGACTGGTGGGGGGAGCAGGGGAAAGGGGGCGCAGGAGCCGGGGGAAGGGTGGCGGGGGGGAGAGAGAGTGCAAGGGGGGGTTGGGGAGGGGGTTTGAGGAGGGGGGAATACACCAGTTGCATGTGCTCTGTGAGTGAGCATGTGGTGTGGAGCGGGGCACAGGAACTTAGCCATGGAGGCAGGGAGCAAAAGAATCACGCGCGCACTGAGCGGCCTACTCACTTGTACTGCGTCAATCGTTTCACGGCCGCCGTGCTGCCGTCCGCCAGTCGCGCGCGGTACACCGTGCCGTACCGCCCCGTGCCCACCACGTTGCGCTGCGCGTTGCGCCCGAATTCGTTCGTGGCCATGGCCAGCTCGCTCACAGAGAACCACCGCAACTCTCCCCCCACGCTCACTCCGCTCCCCGCGACACTGCCGTCGTCGGATTGCGTCGCGATGCCATCCGAGCCGTTGATTCTCGCCATCGGGGGCAGCGGCAGGTCTGCGGCATGAGCACCGGCGGCGGAAGCAGCGGAACCACCTGCGCCCATCTCCCCCCTGTCGCCCGCCCGCCTGTCCTCCGCATCCTCCACGTCCGCCGCTCTCAGCGCCCTCCCCGCCGCGCCGTACGCGGGGCGGAGGCCCGCCAACGTCGCCGCTGGCGTCGATGACGGGGTGAGGCCAGGCGGAGGCGGCAGCGGGTCTGCAGCTGCGGCGGCGGCGGAAGGGGGCAGCCGGAGTGTGTCGTCGAGCGGAAGATGCGGCGCTGCTTGCGGCTGCTGCGGCGACGTAGTGGCTGCCCTCGCCCCTGCTGCGCCTGATGCGGACGACACTCGGGGCATGGCGGCGGCAGCGGCGGAGGAGCGCGACGCGGCGGGGAGCGAGCGGAGCGAGGGGAGAGGAACAACGGGCGGGATGATCACGGGAGGATGCTGCATCGGCGACAGCACAGGTGGCACGCCTTGATTGGTCCGCGGAGCTATCACAGGGCTAGCTGGTTCTTGCGCTCCTCCTGCCTGCCCTGCTGCCGCCGTCGCAGAAGCGCCAAGTGCGGTGGCGGTGGCGGCGGCGGGAGCAGCGCCGGTTCTGGCGGCAGCAGCCCACGAGGGCAGGCTCCTGACCCGCTCGCCGCCGCTGCTCTCCGCGGGCTGCTGCGCGCTCTGCTCCGCCGCACTCTCCGCCTCGTCACCTCCTCCCCCGTCCACCTCCTCCCCGCTCTCCTCGCTACTCGAAGCCTCCTCTTCCACATCCTCCTTCCGCTCCGCCCCTTCCGCCGCGCTTCCCGCTCCTTCCTCCCCTTGCGCCTCGTGCGGCAGAGCGTTCGCGTTACCCGCGCCCTGCTGCTCCTTGTGCGACTGCCTCCATCGCCCCAGCAGCCTCGACACAGCGGCGGCAGCGGCGCTGCTGACCGTTGTACCTGAGCTTCTGCTCCTGCTCTGGCTGCTGCTGCTCTCCGCTGCGCCGCTCGTCGGCCCCCCGCCCGCACCTGCACCCGCGCCCGCCTTGCCAATGCTGCTCTCCGCCGCACTACAGTTACCATCGCCGTCTTTCGCGTTGGTCGCACTACCGCGACTGCCTTCGGAAGAAGTTCCGCTCCTCCCGCTGCCGCTGCTGCACTCGCTCCCCTCCTCTTCCTCGCCTTCTGCGCTCGCCACGCCCGCGGCTGCCGCTGCGACGGCGGAGGGGGCGGCGGCGCCCGCGGAGAGCTCCGCCGACGACGATGACGATGGTGACTCCGCGCAGTGGGCTTCACTAGCTGAGGGGACCGCCGCAGCGCTATCAGCGCGCGCAGACGCAGCAGGAGCGGCGGCGGTGATGGCAGCAGTCGTTGCAGCGGCAAGGCTGACCGGCGCAGCACGCAACTCATCGCGCGCGTCGTCGCCACTGCTCTCACCTTCCCCGTTCCGCTCCGCCTCCTCGCTCGCTCTCACACTCTCGCCCTCCGCCGCCCCCTCTTCCGCTTTCCCCCGCTTCTTCCCCCATCCCCCAAACCTCCCCCCAGAGCTCGCTGCCGATGCTGTCACCGCCACTACAGCCGCGTAGCTACCCACCGGCGCTCCGCTTTCGTCCCCGCCACCCGCACTGCTTGCGCTCGGCGTTCCGCTGAGTGCCGTGGAGGGCGGGGGAGGTAACGGCGGCAACGTGGCGGAGGAAAGCCGTGACGACGGCAACGGTCCGACGTCAGATGTCCACGGGGCGGTATCAGGAGCCGTCTTATTGGCTGCAATGGGGATCACGGTCACTGGAGGTGCGGTGAGCGGCTGGTCCTCCCCGTGCTTCGCGGCGTCGATCGCGCCGCCAGATGCGGCTGCTGCTTTACTAGTCTGGAATGGCCCGTCTACTATGTTAAGGCGCACCTCGGCGGCGTCTTTAGGAGGCCGCGAGTACGCAGCGCCGGATTGCGTACGCGCGCCCTTGCGCCGCCCGCACCATCCCATGCGCCACAGCAGCAGCCCGATGGCTACCGCCAGCAGCACCGCCAGCCCCACAAGCACGCCCGCTACTATCACCACCACCGGGCTCGACCCGCCCGACGGTGCCGTCGAATTGCTCGAGGAGTTATCAGCGGGAGATGCGGCGGGAGACGCGGCGGTGGACGATGGATCGCCATTGCCGGCGGCAGCGGGGGGGTCAGAGCCAGTTTTGGGAGTGTTGGCGGGTGGAGGAGTGGCCGGGTTCGACGAGCCGGGATCAGCGGCGGGAGGGGCGGGGGAGGACGGTGCGGCACAGTCGGGGGGCAGGCCCAGCTGCGGGGGACCGCAGAGCGCGCCGCCGGGGCCCTGCGTGAAGTTGAAGGATGCGCCGGTGGCGGAGAGGAAGGCGAGCGAGGGGGAGACCTTGCCCGTGAGCTTGTTGCCGTCCACGTGCAGATCGCGCAGCGTCGTGAGATCGGAGAGCGACTCGGGGAGCGAGCCTTTGAAGCGGTTCGAGTTCAGCTCGAGGTATTTCAGCTGCGTTGGGGGGAGGGGAAACGGGGAAAGCAACGGAAGGATGTGAGGGGTGCGTGGATGGTGGGTGGTTGGTGACAACGGGATGGGGAGACAAATCAGTTGCAGCAAGGACCCTGTTTATTGGAAAGAAGCGTGATAGCCCATGAAATGCAGGGGAGGGGCATGATATCTGTTTCTCGGAAAGAAGCACCATGAGCGCACCTGCGAGAGGTCGGAGATCCAGTCGGGAATGGAGCCCTGCAGCTGGTTGTGCGACACGTCCAGCATGGTCAGCTGCGACAGCGACGACAGCTCGGGCAGCGGCCCGGCGAGCTGGTTAGAGGAAAGGAGAAGCGCCTGGAGATTCGCGAGACTGTTGAGCGACGAGGGCAGCGATCCCGTGAGCGCGTTTCCCTGCAGGTTGACGGTCGTGACGCCGTACAGCTGCACCAGCTGCTCCGGCACCTGCCCGCCCAAGTTGCGGTTCGCTAAATCCACCGCCACCACGTTGTTGCTCGCGTCGCACCGCACGCCCTGCGCGGATGCGCGAGGAACGGGGGGTTCGTGAGGGGGACAGGGAGGGGGGATGGCGGAATGAGGGGATCGGGGAGAGGGGAGATGGTGATTTGGGAGATCAACACGCGTTTTATGGAATTGCACGGGAAATGCGATGGCGAATATTATTTAATATGATTGTGTTAGTGGAGGGAAGGCAACCCAAGGAAATGGAATTAATGAAGGGACTGCAAGAGCAGGGAATGGAGGGATTGGGGGGCGAACCAGGAAGGGAGCGGGTGAGCAGGGATCCTGCTGATTGGTCCAGGTGGTTAGCACAGATCCTGCTGGATCCAGTACGCTCTTCAGGGATTCCCAGTCAGCGGCTGATGCGGGGCTGGCGCACAGCCACAGCACGATGGCTGCCAGCACGACCGCGTGCCGCGCTGCCGGCTCACGGTGTGCCATGGCCTTTCGCGCGCCTCGGAGCGTGATGCGATCTGCTACTAGAAGCCGAACGAGGAGCGTGGTCTTGGAGGGAAGGTAGAGATGAGCTACACGTGTCGATAATTAACCTAGTGTGAGGTAAGTGCGGTTGACTCTAGCAGATGTGGTAAACCTGTGATGCGATCGTGTATGCGCTGACACATAGCGGAATGCAGGACGATTTCAATGTTACTCGTCACGGACTAATGGCGTCGACCTTCCATGTACCAGCGGAGAAGCGTCGTAACGTTTCTTGGAGAAAATCTGCTTCTTTGACAAGGTCGAAGACGAATTCAAGTTTCTGCCTTCACTTTCCACTTCGAAATGAGCAGAGTTCACCAATGCTGTTCGCGAGGAGTGAAGTGACTAGGTTGAGTGGGAAGGAAAAGAGTTCTCTATTCTTGCGAGGCGCAGTCAAAATTGCCCGCCTGGTCCGTATAGACAAGGCAAGTAACACGAACACAATACGGAATGCAAAGAGGAGATGGAGACCAGGACACACCTGCGACTGTAAACCCAATGTCACGTCTCGGGGAGGCTCGCGCGCACGGCGAGTCACAGTAGCGACATTTGCGCCGCGGTCGGTTCGGGCGTGACCTGACGTGCGGCCTGGCGCGCGGCTCGCCCAGCTTGTATGGCTCGTGCTCCCGCAAGAGACGATAACGAGGCTGCCTGACCTCCGCGTCGCGTAGCTCGCTTTGGTTGACGGCGGAACGCATGGTGTGTTTGGTTGGGCGCTTTCGTCTCCAATCAATGTCTACAACGAGGTATGGGCTTCGACGAGCCACAGCGAGACAGATCGAACCTTCACGATGCTGCCTCGGTTGTGACATCCAAGACCACACCCATTGGTGGAGCTCGTGAGAAGCACACAGGCTCGGTGAAAGTCAAGGGTGTGCTGGGCTTCAAAAGGGTGTGACATGATAGGGCGGAATGCTCAGAAAGTGTAATCACAGTACAGTACATAGCGAAGCATAATCGTGCAAGGTTGGGAGAAGTGTGATAAACGCTGACATCAAAACCGGGAAGCTAAATGGATTTATATTAAACAAGAAACTTCAGGTATTATTCTTATTAGGAGAAGTTCAGGGTCACCAACAACCTTTCAACCGGACTGCTAAGCGTCGTGCCTCAGCAATTACTTGACTGAGGTCCAGATTATTTTGCTTGGTGAGACCATGGCAGAGCAGCAGAACCTCATCCAGCCCTTCACATTCCAGAAGAGCTTCCCTTTGCGAACATATAAGCACCACCATCACAAACAAAAGCAGGCTTCCTGTTGGTGGTCCCAACTCCTCTTCCCCTCCATCATCAGAATCGCCATTCTGCTGCTCATCCTGTACTTGCACCTTGTCCGAAAGACATTGGGAGACCACAGGCGCACTGCACTGTGGCCCATTTCCATCCACACAAGAATCACTTGTTGCACATGCCTTTCCCCCATGGATTACGAGAGCTGTGCCCACCCTTTGCTGCCCGCTGCCATACCCACTCCTCCCATCCATGCAAACCGCTGCACTGATGTTCTCCTTATGATCATCACACCTAGGCAACTCATTAATCCACAGCTTCTCATCACTCACCCCTGCCAGGCCCACTAGCTGCTTCCTCTCTTCCTGATATTTATCCGCCTGCTCCTCCGCCTGCTCCTCCACCTGCTCCTCCCCCCCCTCCTCGTGACCCCCTGGCGCCAAGGCAGCAGCGAGGGAGTCAGCCCAGCACACCTCCCAGAGCATGAGCGTCTGCGGCAGGGGCAGGTCCCGCCGCATGCCCACCACCACCATGCGGTACGCAAACAGACAGTCCCCGCCGCCCATGTCCCTCACTTGCCCGTGCAGCTCGGGGTCGGCGAGGCGGAGAATGCGGCCCAGCGCTGCGAGCTGGCGGTGAATGCCTGACTCGTCCAGCAGGAAGTTGAGACGCATGCCGTGCAAGTCAGGGGGGGACGGCCGAGAGGGGGAGGAGGAGAGTGTAGGAGGAGGGAGAGGGCGCACTGGGGTGGTTGTGGAGTGGTGGAGAGAGGTGGCTCGGGGGGGTGGGGTGAGTGGAGAAGGCATGGCGGAGGGACGTGGTGAATGGTGAAGTGCCTCTCCATGCAAGCTCACCCCCCGTCTGCTGCTGTCAGCCTTGCTGTCATGGATGGATCGGCAGTTGAGGCTGCTGCTACCAGTATTGCACACACCCGAACCACCCACTGAACCATTGACCGCGCTCCTATCCCTCCTGTCTGCAATGTACCCAGGTGTGCCCATCCCACCACCGGGAGACCAGTGCACACCGCTATGCTGCTGCTGATGCTGCTGGTGCATACGCTGATGGGGATACAGCTGCTGCTGCAGCTGTCGTTGCTGCTGCTGCTGCTGCAGCTGCTGTTGCTGTTGTTGGTGCTGCTGCTGCAGCTGCTGTTGATGCAACCGCTGGTGGCAGTGGGGCGAGGGCACAATGGCGGCTCCCAACCTGCGCACCCCGCCTTGTGACTTGGGGCTCCATCTCTGTGCGGGGTGTGCGGAGGTGGTGGAGGAGGCGGCGGCCGAGGAGGGGAAGGGAGAGTAGGAGGCGGGCGGACAGCGCGACCCCAGACTTTGGGTGGAGCGGGAGGGGGAGGGGCGTAAGGAAAAGCGGGACGTGGAGAAGGGCGAGGGGATGGAGGAGGGTGGAGTGGGGGAGGCGGGGGACAGCTGGCGGTTCGATGGGCCAGCATGGTTGGTGCTGCAGCTGCCCTCGGTGCTCCACCAGCGGCCATGCATGAACGCAAAGAAGGCTGCAAACGCATCGGCGTTGTCAGCCATAGTGGCGACGAAGGGCGCTGCCACGTCACACATGCCCTGGCAGTACCCCACCTCGGGATCCACGAGGGTGTATGCTTCCAGCAGTGCCACCACCCGTGCCACATGCATCTGCTGTGCTGGGGTGTGACTCACCAGCCCCTCCTCCTCCCCTAACTGCACCTCGTCCAATGCTGCCTCTAGCGCCTCCGCCTCCACCACACTGCAGCACTCTGCACTGCTCGACTTTTCACTGCGTCCGCTGCTGTCACTACCGCCACTGCTGCTGCTGCCACTGCTGCTGCTGCCACTGCTGCTGTCACTGCTCATCCTGATAATGCTGCTACCACTACCACCACTGCTGCGACTTCTCTCAAAAGTTCCAGCGCCATTGCCTGCTGCTGAGTTCACCCCTCCTCCTGCCCCGCTCGGCTCTCTATCTCCCCCTCCGTCCCGCCTCCGCGCCACTCCAACCTCTCCACTGCCGGACCCTCCCTCATCCCCATCGCCGGTGCCCCAGAAGGGGTCCCACTGCGCGCTGAGGCGCATGGCATCGAGGCGGATGGCACGCTGCCATTCACCATAGTCAGAGAGCAGAGCCACGGGATCGTGCAGCACCAAAGGCGCTGCTGCTGGGGAGGGGGCTAGCATGGGGGAGGGGGAAGGGAGGGGCGAGGTGATCCTGGTGGTGGTAGTGGTGGCTCTTGTGGTCGCAGCGGGCGCAGGAGGTGGGGTGCTTGGGCTGCCACTCATGTTGTGGCCTCCATTGCTGCTATCCGCGTTGCTGGCGGTGCTGCTAGAAGCGCAGTTCCCATTGCCATCGCCGCCTGAAGGGTCGCTGCTTGTGCTGCTGCGTTGGTTGCCAGGGCTGGTGATACCTGGCATGTGAGGGCGCGGTCGTGAGGCAGAGCTATGTGCAAGTGACGCGTGTGACGGAGCATGTATGGGGGCATGTGAGGCAGCTTGGGCGGCAGTGAGAGTGGGGCGGGCGGCAGAGACAGTTGTCCAGACATGGGAGACGACGGCGGTGACAGCAGCGCGGTCGGAGGGCGGGTGGCGGTGCAGGTTGGCGAGAATGCGCGCGCACATGCGTAGCTTGTGGTAGCACGCCCCGTGCGCCCTGCGCTGTTGTGCTCGCTCCTCCTCCGTGCTGCTCAATGCATGGCTGCGCGGGACCCAGGGAGAAACACGCACACGCCGTATAGGGAACAAACGCCCATGACAGCAGCACAAGGACTTAGTGAGTGTAAAAGACAGAACAAGACGGGTGCTGGCTTACAATGAATCCCAGTCTGGAAGAAAGTGATGGTGGATGCCTCACACGACACACACATGGTCATGCAGTCAGTCATGCATGCACGCATCATGCCATCAACATGCCATCACGGGCCTTACATGCCCAGCAGCAGTGGCCACACGTCGTTGCGCATGTATGGCGGGCACCCCTGCGGCAGCAACATGACAAGCGAAGGGAGACACGACGAGAAGAGTAAGGCGCGAGCGAGAATCACCAGGCAGGACATGGCAGGGCCGGAACGTAACGAGGCGAAGTAAGGATGGCAAACAATAGATGCAACGAGCTTCAGTGGACCAATACCACGATATTACTATTCTGCAAGCACGCCACCACAATTACTCACCCTTTGCCGTACTCTCCGCAGCAGCGAGCGCCCGCCATCCTCCAGTCGCGCGGGTAACCGCCACGCTCCCTCCGCTTCCAGCTGCTCCGTCCGCTCCGCGCAACCCGCTTTCCGCTCTACTCTCTCCGCGCTATTAATTTTCTCTCCCATTTCTGCGCTCAACGCCCCGCAGTCCCGCCCGTCGTCACCCGGCTTCTCCGCGGCCTCGGCGTCGTCCATTCGCGCGTGCGGCACGGCGGCGGAGTCCTCCGCAAGACACGGCGCGGCGGGCAGCAGGCGGTAGCCGTCAGTCGGGGCGGGCCTAGCGGCAGATGCGGCGGGTCTAGCGCGCGGCGCAGCACAGACGGCGAAGGCGGGAATCCGTCGGTAGGCGGGTTGCGACGAAGGATGGGGAGTAATTTGCGGAAGCTCTTTCCGCGGCGAAGGCGGAAGCCACTTCACCAATGGAACACTCGCGGAAAGCTGCGGTGAACGCGCGGAGACTTGCGCGGAGACTTGCGCGGGCGATGACTGGGGGCATGACGGCAACGAAGCGGGGGGCGGGAGCCAGCCGCGGGTTCTACCGGCACCTGAGTCATTCCGCCCGCGGGTATTGCTCATCGGACCGCTTTCAGCTCGACTGTGCTCCAATCGAGGGCTCCGCTAGTGCGGCGGCGCGTCACCATCGTATTGTGGACGTTGATGAATTGGAGAGGAGTGGTGTACGGGTTTCGTGGAATAGACCGAATGGGACAGGAAACAGGAAGGCCGGAAAGGAAGAATAGGAGGGGGTGGGTTGGGAGTGGATGAGAGGAGGGAAAAAAAGGGGGGGAACAGTGGGGAGAATAGTGATGAGTGAATACGAAGAGGTGGTGTGTGCGGACTCAGGATCAAGGAGTGACTGAGCAATAGTATGAGTACCTAAGTACCTGAACGAGGAGAGCTGGTAGGCAGCGACTGCCATGCATCCCCGCATTCGCTCCGCGAGTGCAGCCAAGGGTTGGACTGCGACGGTCCCGCAACCATTCTGATGGGGAAACTACAAAGATGGCGCGATGCGACTGTGTCGAAAGGAGCTGCTACCTAGTCGTAGCCGTCATGGACATTCGAATCTGCAGTGGTCACCTACTCGTGAGTTTCTGGTTTCGCGAATGCAAACGCGCATGCGTCCTCGGAATGAGGTTCCTTATAGGATTTGCATTATTAGGCAGCTGCACTTATGCGCCACAAGAACATGTTGGTGGTGACATCTTATAGTTGTAGCTGAACTATCAAAAGGTTGGATTGAGAAAGTTGATAACCTAGGGTAGTGTCTGCAATTTTGCGAAGAGCATCCTCACAGGAATCAAAGTGGACATGAAGGCCCTGCTCGACAGGCAGGCACCTCCTTGGAGCGCTAGGGTTAGGCTAGAGCTAAGAGGTGATTTCGAAGTAACTTCTCCTAGCCCAACCAAATCGGAAGCAGCGCCTCCCAAGGTCGGAAGGAGGGGGTTGTCATGCCGATGTTGCAGCCCCTCCTTCCACCATCTTCATCGTGGGCAGGGATAAAATTTTGTGGAGGGATGGCATGGGCACCAGGGTAAATCAAGGGAATAAAAAAACGTGCACTTCTCTATCTGGCTGGTTTGGTTGTGGGAGGATGGGACATTTTCAGGGCAGAGATGGGAGAGGCTAGGGCACGGGCTCTGGTGGGAAACATTTCGTAGAGTATGGGGTGGGTGTTCCCTCCCGTATGAAACCCTAGCCTAGCCCTTGGCCAACCCCCAACTCTGGGGATTGGAGGGCTGGGCTAGAGCTAGGCTAAAGTCTAAGCGTGAGAGAAGGGGCTGGGAGCTTTCGGGGGGGCTGAACTTGAAGGGTTAACGTCGCGTTCGACAGGCAAATCCTTAACCCTTCATGTTACAGAGCGTTAAAGCCCAGGGACACCAGATTGCGGGCTGACCGCTGGAAAAAAGCCTAAGTCGAAACAGCCGCGAACGTGCCGCGGAAGGGTTTGCGTGCCTGTCGAGCAGGGCCGAAGTGAAGCTGAACTACCAGAAACTCACGGCAATATACCGTTCTCTACCTCGTAAACACTGTCTGAACCGCACTGACTCATCCGCGGACAAATGCCGGGGGGATGTCACAATCGACTTCCCAGTGCACTGCAACCCAGTAAGATATTTTGAACCGTGTTCAACCAGATTGGACCCCCCGTCAGGCATCCTACACCCCACCATGTTCCCGCACTCATCAGATCTGCACAATCGCGGAATGACAAACACGTCGCCTTCCCCGCAATGCACGAAATGCTTTCGCGAACCAAGTCGCCACTCAACTCAATCATTTTGACTGCAACACGGTTTAGCGAAAACTCGGTTTCTGAATGCCACTGAGGATGGCTGACAGCACAAGTTACCTGTGAGCTCGCCAATTCGCTAAGGGCGCGTGTGATTTTAGTCGAACTTGTCCAAAGTTCGACTTTTTAGAGCGGTTTTACACGGTAGGATACATTTGAGAGACTTTTCGCACGGTGTAAAGCGGTTTGAGCTCGAACTTTGACAGTTTTTCAAATATCACACGCGCCCTAAGCCACAACCCCAGCTTCTCCTTCTGGCAGGTGATGATTTTACCTCTCCTCCGTGGCTCCTCTCTACGGCTGCTTGTGTCAGACCCAACCCAGACAGATCCTCAGTTCCCTCCCACGCCTCCTCTGCCAGCCGCCTCCTAAGCACTAGAGCGGCTCAATTTAGCAGCACGCCTCGGAATACGGATCGCGGCGGTTGAATGAGCGGAAGTTTTATAGGCCACGTCACTATATCTTCAAAATTCGTGTGTATACCCGCGTTTTTTCCTGGCTGTTGAAACAGCACACGTGTCCCAAATTGAGGACATTCTGGTAGGATAGTGTTTTCGTTTTTTCGTTGGCGGTCCAATCAGACGTTGGGGCTCATTTTGCGGTCCAATCAGAGCTCATCTTCATTTTGTCGGCGAATCGTTATGATCCACCATAGTCCACGTTGGCATGTTTGGGACCACCTTCGAAGCCAGCAAAGCGGGAATTCCAACCGCGGACAGATTTCACCGAAAAACGCATCCCAACGGTCCGAAATTAGACATTCCACGCATCTTCAGTCTCTCTTCGTATTTCGGCTCGTCTTCTCTTGATTTTCATTTAGTTTCCGTAGCCTTCCTGGCACTTTTGATAAACGAACTTGGCTTTTGATATCGCTACCAGTTTCGACCCTTCTCCATCGTCTCACGTCGACGCCATTCAGCCTTGCCGGGATCGTACGGTCGGATCGTGGAGCTTCGTTACCTCGACCGTGGGAGTTTCTGCAACATAGCGAAGCTACGTTGATCTGCGTTTTTTCCTCGGCCTCGTCGCGACGCTAGCTACGACGTGGCTGAAGCGACATTGATATCCCCGACTTGTGACGGTGAAGGTTAAATGTATCACCTTTCACCACCACTCACCACAGAGCCTCCTCCCTGGTAAAGGTTTGGTAAAGGTTTGGTACAGGTGCGGTAAAGGTTCCCAAGGTGTTTGGTTGGTACTGGCTCTGTGGTGGGGCAGCACGTGTTTCTTTCACGTTTACAGTCTTCATTTCCTTTTGCTTTCTTCACTTCAGTTTACTGACTTCATGTTATTTATTATACTTGCAGGTGTTAATGGAGGCTGCTAGGCGCAACGGCTTTCAGAGGAGCAACGGCTTTCTTGGCTCTCCATTCTTCGTGGCGTACAACTGAGGAGCAGCTCCAGCGCAGGTGAAGGTTGAACGTATCAACCGCACCCTCCACAATCCACTGAGCCACCCCCCTGGTTGAGGTTAGGTAAAGGTTGAGGTTTGGTAAAGGTCCCCCTGAAGGTTTTCGGTTGGTATTTGGCTCTTTTTTTCACGCTTCTTTTCGTTTTGCATGCTTTATTACCCTTCCTACTACTAATTCTTGTTTATTGCCAAACCTGCAGGTTCTATCTGAGGGTCTGCTGCGATGACTTTGGAGGAACATCATGGTTTGGCAACCTTCCATGCTTCGTGGCGTACAACAGAGGAGCAGCTCCAGGGCAGGTGAAGGTTGAACGTATCAACCACCCACTCCACACTCCTCGGAGCCACCCCCCTTGGTTCAGGTCGAGGTGATGGTAAAGGTTGAGGTTGGTAAAGGTCCCCCTAAGGTTTTTTTTATTGGTATTGGCTCCGTAGGCAGTGCACACTTGCACCACACTTGCAGCACCATCCGTTTTTTGCATGATCTATTCTCTGCTGTTTATTAATCTAGTTTCTTTGATCTCCTTGCAGGTTATAGTCAAGGCCTTTGTGCCACGCTCCAATTGTGCTCATAGGAGCACCGCACTTCCAAGCTCCAAGGCGGGGTGAACGTACCTGCCAACAGCACCTGGCAGGTGCCTCCTCTCTCTCCACCAGCAGTAAGTCCCGTTTTCCTGTTCTTCGTTTTAATCACTTCCTGCATGTTGGTACCTTTACCTTTGTTTAATTGCCTTTCTAACTCGGATTTCCTCACTCTACTTGGCAGGTCGCTTCATCAACGGATTTCACCATGCCCAAGTTCCATGGGAGCACCATGGCCTGCTGAAGCGTTCAATGCTTAACTATGGCAAGATAAGTCACCAATCCCAGCCCTTTTCCCCTTGCTTTAACGCTCCAATGCACCTCCACTGCTAACTCCAAGCTTGTTGATTCCTTGTTTTTTTTTTCAAGCTGTTTCTCTTCAACTCCACATTCGCTAATTTGTTTTATTTCTCCTCATGGCAGGTTCTCCAAGCGCCATCTACACGCCATGGACCCCCAAGACCTTGCACACCGCTTCACACTCCAGCAAGCCCAAGATCCACCATGGCCTGCACACGCGCCTCAACACTCAACCACGGCGAGATAAATAGTCAACCCCAGTCATTTCCCTTGCTTTATCGTATTACTCCACTGCTTACCCCTTTTGCTTTCACCCTTGCTGGCCTTATGGTTTTTGATCATGCTTCAAATCCCCATTCACTGACTTAGTTTTCTTTTATCCCGCCTCATGGCAGGTTCTCCAAGCGCCCTCTGCACGCCCATGGCAAGACCTTGCGCTGCACTCCACACTCCAAGCTCCTTAACTTCAGATAAGTTCCAGCCCTTGACTCTGAGCTCCATTTTTTAATGCACATGGTTTGTTTTTGCAGTAGCCAGCTCCTGATTTTTTGTTTGCTGATTTGCTTCTTCCTTTTTTTATAAGAGCCTGTACTAATATGCGTCTTTCTTTGTCTTCTCTGCCTGCAGGTGCCTTCATTGGCAGCAAGGATGGCAGTCTCAGTGGTGGCCTTGCCAGTGCATGAGAGGGGTTGAAGCTTTGAGCATTGGCTGGGGATTCGATTCCGGGCCAAACCGGACTGGTTGTGTCCCCCTCCTCCCACACCACGTGACAAAGCTGTCTGGCCAGCAGTGATGTCATGTGGTGTGGGCGGGGATGAACAGAGCCAGTCCCTAGTAGGGCACCCGCACGTCTTGGTCCTGGCAATGCTCAAGGCTCAGCCTTCCTCTCTGCCTGTGCAGTGCACTGCCAGTCCATGCCGGGGTGGGCATGGATGGCATGCTGCCATGGAGTAGCTGTGGACCAGTGGTTGATAGGATTAGACATTAAGTACATGGGCTGAGTGTACCTTTGAATATTATTTGATTGTTATACAGATTGTACACTAGTGTAGCGATACTAAAGGTAGGGTGTACAATGTCTGTAACCTGAAGAATGTCTCGACAAGCATTGTTCAAGAAAGTAATTCTGGTCTGTAAACTCTGCTACTGCAGATTTGCAATCCAGATTCAATCATCACAATTGAAAGCCATCTTGTAGCTAGTGCTGGAGAACTTTCGAACAAAGAACCTTTCGGAAAAGCACGAAATCGCATGTCACCGCATTGAAATACACTTTCTTGAGATCCTCGCTTCGTTAACATGCACACCCAAATCAACCACCAGTATCAAGGCAAAACAGTAACGCTACCACTTGGCTACCCTAACCTACCACTCTACATCAGACAAAAGAAATCAAGCAACAGACAAGTCAACCATACCGGTAGCATACGGTAGCAGTCTTCTGGAGTCTGAACCGATACATTTATATCTGCAGGCCTGCCTGACGTACCACGCCTTCAGTAGCGCGGCAGGCCTCCACTAGAAAGCAAAATTGTAGTACCCTTCTTCTTGCCCTTCTTTCCTTTCCCCTTCCCCCCACCTGAAGAACCGCTCCCATCATCACCAGGCATCTGAGCCACTTGCCCTCCACTCCCCACAACCCTGCCCCCCCCTGCAGCAGCTGCCCGCCCAGAACCCCATGCACCACTACCAGCAGCAGCACCAGCAGCGCCTGCTCTGGAGAAGTCCGGACGACTGGCCCACACCGATTGGACGGGCGTGGCAGCAGCAGAAACAGGTGAAGGGCCTGAGGGAGGAGGGGGAGCAGTTGCAGCAGAGAGGGAAGGAGCAGAGAGTGCCACGGAGCCCAGCCCAGCAGCATAGCCCAGCTCTGTCACCTTGGAGAAGGCCATGGGGGGCGCATGGCTTGCACTCCCAGACACCCCTTCACCTTCTGCACTGCCTGCTGCCACATCCCCACCGCCGGTCTCGGAATCTTCCGCAGCAGCAGTGGCACTTGCGGAACCTGCAGCGACAGCTTGTGCGAGGGGGACAAAGTCCATGGGTGCTGGTACACGCTGGCGCTCAAAGAACCTGCCGTCCTCTGCTGCTGCAGCCACTGCCACTGCCTCCCTGTGCTGTGCCTTCACTCGGTCCCTCTCCTCCTGGCACACACAGGGGCGAGCATGGAACACGTGATGACAGAGGAGTTTGGTTCACAATGGAAAGGAGGTCGATAAATGGGAGCAACGCCGCAAGGGAACAATGAAACAAAATAATCAGACTTGATGGAATGAAACGAAACAACTCGAGCAGCTCTTTTGCAGCAACCTTGTGCTGGCCGTTTACCCCGCCCACCCCGCCCACCTGCCGGAGCTGGCGTTGGCGCTGCAGCCTGCGGTGGTTGATCTCAGGCAGGAAGGGCGCGAGGGAGGGCGCGGGCAGCAGGGGGGCGAGGTCCACCTCGGCCAGCACGAAGGCAGCGGTGAGCGGCAGGTGGTCCACCACTCGCAGCCGCCGCCGCACCGCCTCTGACTGCCTCATTGGCTCCAGCTGTACCACCCGTGCCGTGACGCTGTAGGGGGCAGGGCGAGAGGGAAGTTTTGGAGCCGCAGGTGTGTTGAGGAGGAGAGGAACGCCATGAGTCGCAATAAAATGTGGAGACGAGAGAGCAGAGGTGTGGGAGTGGGAGAAAGAGAGAAACAAGGCCTTCTGGAAGAAAAGAGGTATAATGACCAGAGTGAAGACTGAAGGAGCGGAGGAGCGGGGGGCGTGCCTGAGCGGGAGGCGTTCAACAGAGCCATAGTGTTGCAGCAAGCACTTGAAGTTGAGTGGGTGCAGCACCACACACGGCCCCTCCTGTGCCTGATAGAACACGTGCCACCCACACACCTCCTCGCCCTCGCCCACACGCTCCCCCGCCTTGCCCTTTCCGCCTCGCCCCGCCCAACTCCTGCCTTCACCCTGCCCGCCAACCCCTTCATGCTTTTCTGCTCTCCCGCCCTTCTCAGTTGAGGCTGCTTCCCCACCAGCGCCGCTACTTCCTCCCATGCCTTCTCCGATCCTGTCCCCGCCCTGTCTCCTCTCTGCTGCTCCCTCACTATCACCAGCAGCATCCGCTACAGCAGCAGCAGGAGCTTCAGCAGACAAGACAGCAGCGTCCCCCTTTCCAGCGCCACCCTTCCCCTCTCGTTCATCCTCCCCCTCATCATCTGAGAAGGCGCTCTCATACACCCACCCTGCTCGCGCCTCCAGCTCATGCATCGCCCTCTCCACCTCCTCCGCCACATCCTCACCCCCAGCGCCCACACTCCCCTCCTCCTCCGCCTCCTCAATACACGCCTCCTCCTCTTCCTCCTCTTCATCTCCCACCCCATCCCCTTCCTCACCCTTAGCAACCTCTAGCTCAGCAGTTTTCTCACGCCCCGTTTGCGCCTCGCCCTTTCCCCCCGCTGCACGCTCTTCCTGCTCCAACTGCAATGCCGCCATCTGCCTGCCCGCAGCAGTGGCGCTGGCGGTGGGGGGCGAGGGGAACGAAGGGGAGGAGCGTGCGCGAGGGGAGGTGATACGGTGGGAAGCGGGGGAGGAGGCGGAGAGAGAGGCGGAGGGGTAGGCGGAGGGCGAGAGGGGCGGAGGGGGGAGGTCGATGGGGAGCTTGAGCAGCGAGAGCAGGCCCTTCTGGTGCGACGGACTGGCTGCCACAAACGCCATCTGCCTGTGCTCCACCCATGCCTGTGCGTGCGGGGTTGGGGAGAAAAAAGAGAGAGAGAGAGAAAGAGAGGGTGGGAGGAAGGTGAATCAAGTGTTGCCCGTTGAACCACTGCAGCTTCCTTTCCTACTTTGCTAGCCGCTGCGCTGCCACAAACCCAATTCCCCCAATCCAGCACGCCCTCCCTCTCACCTGTTGCCGGTCCAGCAGCTGGTTGACAGCATCCATGACGTACGGCAGCTGCTCCAGCTCCTCCCCGCCGCTCTCATTCACCTCCTCCACGCGCTGCAGCAGCGCTCGCACCGCCGCGTCCGTGACAGTAGCAGCGCCCGAGTCGGACGTGAGCGTGAGCTTGGAGAAGGCGTGGCAGCGGCCGGTTGATGAGAAGGGAAGGGATGCCAGGGAGAAGTGCTCCCGGTGGTGCCGGTGCATCTCAAAGGGCACCACGCAGGCCTGGTGGGAGCAGGGAGGGGGGGCAGTGGCAGGATGGGAAGAGGAGATGAATATGGAAGAGGGGAGAGGGGGCGATGGGCGCGGACAGGTGTGGCAATTAGCGGGAAGAGGGCAAGGAGGGAGGGGGAAGGGAGAGAGGGAGGGAGCGAAGGGGGAGGCACCTTGGAGCGCATGAGAGCAACGAATCGCAGCATGTGGCCGACGCGGGGAGCGGGCACGGAGCGGATGGTGACAGTGCGCAGCTCGTGGGACCCGATGCTTGCAAAGCACAGCGGGCACCGCTTGAACCGCTGCACCACTGACGATGCCAGCCCTGCACTCGGCAGCACCACCGGCGCCGCCACCGCCGCCGCTGCTGCCCCTTTCCCGCTGCCACCTCGCCCGCCTCCCCTCCCCGCTGGCCCTGCGCCTCCTCTCCCTGTGCCTCTGCCGCCCAAACCTGGCCATCCCCCCGTCGCAGCCACTGCAGAGGTCGCAGGAGCAGCAGCGTCTGAGAGCGCGCGCAGGGCCCTCTGCGGGCTGCCCCCTGCAGCCACTGCACGCGCCACTGCAGCGGCGGCGGCAGCGCTGGCGACGGTGGCAGGGCGCAGGGGAGGCGCGTCGGGGTGGCGCGCGTCGGGCGTGGCGAAGTGGCGCAGGATGCAGGGGTGGCAGAACACATGGCCACACGCCGTGATCTGATGGCCGGGCGCGCACGGGCAGGGGAGAGGGGTTTTGGGGGGTGTGGGGAAGCGGGAAAGGGGGGGTTCGGGAAGGAGAGCGGGAGCGGTAAGGAAGGAATTCGGGAGGGAGAGTGAAAGGAGGGGCAGGAAGACGTTTAGTAGTTGACGCGTGTGACATGGATCTAAATCAAATTAAGGGAGCGGAAGGAGGTGGAATGTGGACGGGAGGGGGAAGCGTGGGCAACTAACGAGTCTGACAATACGAGATACTAACCAACAAGCACCACTCCCCGCACACCCCCCCACCTGCCCGCATTCCAAGAGCCACGCTGAAAGCAGTGAAGCACGCGTCCCATTGGCAGCCCAGCGCGCACACGAACGAACCTGGGGGCAGAGCGGAGGGCTGTCCAGGCAAATGGGACACGACAACGTGCCACTGGCGCCGCCCGCAATGCTATCCCCTCCTGCTCCCCGCTCCGCCCCTCCCCCTTCTCCCCCGTCCTCCCCGCCATCCCCATCCTTGACCTCCGCGCGCTGCCCCCCGCCCGCGTCCCTGTGCGCACTCCCCCCGTCCGCGCCTGCGCCCGCGGGGCAGTCAGTGGTCTCGGTGATCTCGACGGCCGCCACGTCAGCCCAGTCGGGCATGCGATCCGCGTCCGCGAGGTCGCTGTTGTAGTCGCCGCAATCCGACACCAGGAAACGACAGTTGGCCTGCCGGGGGGGGAGGGACGGAAGGGGGGGAAGAGGAAGGGGAGGAGAGGGGAGGAGGGGAGGGGGGGGGGAAAGGGGAGGAAGAGGGAAGAGGGGCGAGAGGAGGAGGACGAGGGACGATGGAGAGGGTGAAATGGATGAATGTGCTGCGACTTGCAAGGGAGATACTGGGGCAGGCACGGGTGTGGATGGGAGAGCGCAGACGCGGAGAGCATGGCAGGGCATTAATGCAGAGGTGTGGCACGTTCCCCGGCCGCCAGGGTTTGCGCGCGCGGGCGCACGCCCCACCGCGCACACCCGCTCACCTGCAGAAACAGATCCCGGTTGAACGTCCGATGCGCACGACTCCGCTGCTGCTGCTGCTGCTGCCACCACCGCCCCGACCCTGTTCCGCCTCCCCCCCCCGCGGAACCGCCCAGCGCTGCGCCGACGCCTCGTGCGGTGGTGGGCTGGTACGGCTGGAAGTTGAGCAGGTGATTCGCCTGTGTCTGCACGCCCCTGCGCCCTCGGCCCCCACTTGCTACTGCTCCCGCTGGCCCTGCTGCTGCTGCTGCTGCTTCTTCGGCTGCCCCTGCTGCAACCGCTGCAGTGCCGCTCCCTCCTCCGCTGCCTCCTCCGCCAGCTCCGCCAGCAGCAGCAGCACGAGCAGCGGCAGCAGCTCCTCGGCCTTCCTCGCCTGACGTTCCCTCCACGACCGTTTCACTCACGCTCCTTCGGGACCTCCCCGCGCCTCCTCTCCCACCACCTCCTCCTCCCCCTCGGCTTCCGCTGGAAGACCCTCTGCCGCCTCTCCCCCGCCCGCTCTGCCCCATATCTCCCCCTCGCGCCCCTCCGCCCACGTCCGCAAAGCTGGCGCTCAGCCCCCCCCTACCCCTCCCCCGACCGCCCCTTCCGCCCGACCTGACGTGCTCCCAGCCCGCTGAGTCAGGCTGTTCCGCGGGCCGTCCTTGCTGCGGCTGCTGCTGCCGCTGATCGGGAAGCGCTGCAGCGGAAAGAACAGGGGTCGTGAATATTGAGAATGAAATGAGGATATGCGGAACGGGAGGGGGCGAGGATGAACGGAAATGAAGAGGCAGGAAGACAGAATCCAGGAAAAAGAGCACAAAAACAAGTGACGGACCTGCGGGTTGAAAGATTGGCACGAATTCGCTGGCCATTGGATTGAGCGCATTTGAAATCGCAGAGCTGCTGCTGCTGCTGCCGTTATCCCCAGTAACATCTGACTCGGCATTGCCGGTGCCTCTCGGCGCGTTCTCTTTCAAGATGCCACCACTGCAGTTGCTACAGCGGCCTGCGCTATCAAGGGCGATAACGCCGGTTCCCGTCGACGATTCGCGCCCTGCAACACCTGGCACCTCCCCGCCTTCCCTGTCTCCGCTTGCGCTCGCAGATCCACTCCCACGCGTCGCTCTCGGGCCTCCGGCTTCGACCGATAGAGGGTCAGAGCCGTGAGATTCGTCTGCACCGCCACTGCTAAAAGGAGAAGCAGCAGAGGAAGCGGCGGCTGGAGGCGGAGCGAGGCGGGATCCATGGCTGGTCGCTGCAGTAGGAGCAAGCAAAGGTGGGAGACTAGCTGGGGGGGAATCCTGGTTAGGCGATTTATACATGAACAGGAGGGGAGCAAGGCAGGAGAGTGCGCGGCTGCAGAGAGCCGGTAGAGAGAGTGCGAGGAAACTCTTAGATAGCAAGAAACGGGACACCCTAAATCAAGATCTCGCCTTGAAATGAAGGATGAGATAAAGAGGGAAAGATGCGAAGGAATTCTTTCTTCGACAAAATTTTCCGAAAAATATTCGATGACCTTGGTTGCGCGAGAATATGAAAGCAACAGCTCCCAATAGAACAAAACTTGACACGTGATATGACATGAAGTTGGACGCTAGCGCGGATCACCATTTAGCAACTCTACCGAAACGTTAATGTGATGGATGACTTTTAATTAAGGGTGTAGGTATGTATTCGTAGACCACAAGCAAATCAGCGCAAAGCGCAGGCATGTCAGAGAGTGCTCCAGTGGCGTGTGCGATATTGAGCCGATAAATTTCGTCCCTCCGATGAGGCCAAACCACGCAATTGAACAGCTACGATCTTACCTCAGAGCCAGATCTACCCTTTGGTGGATACCCTCAGCAATGTCCAGGTTCTGTCTGAGTGTTCGCAGAACCCCATCGCCACAAAAACCTTGATTTCATCACGTCGCCACACCAGCCACACTCCCAAATCCACTTTCCTGAGCAAAGGGGGAGCGAAAAATCAGGCGGCACAAAGGCGCCTGGCGATGGACGACAGAGGTTCCGCGACGCAGATCCGCGAAATCCCCCACATTCTCGTCGCCCACAGTCGCTCATTTTCACGCACACGCATCTCCTCAAACTTCCTTCCTGTGATCATCAAACTCCTCTCCGACATCATCATCTGAAACAAATCCCGAGACTCGAATCACGCAAATCCCGCACAACTGTCAGCCGTGTCTGTTGTCTTACCGCCGTTCTCTCCGCCCACCTCTCTACTTACAGACTAAGGCCGAATACTTTGCACTCTCTGTCGTGTTGCAGGGTGAATCCTTCCTGTGGTGTTCATTTGCTTTCAGCGAAAGTTCTGGTATTAGTCACGGGGGATCGTGTATCCTACAACCGAACGAAAGAATCTAGAGTCATTGTTCAAGTGTCAGCTTACGAGCCTACTAAATCGTCGGCTTCTGTTGTGCTGCCAATGGGACCCACGGACCCCAAGGCCGGTTTGCTGCAGCCGCTATTGACGGGGAGCAACGGAAGATTGGATCAGAGCCAGGCGAAGGCGACAGGCCCGCACAAATCCAGTCACGACCGTGAGCACGCGCATGGTGTGTCGGACTGTCGACAAGGCGATCGCAGTCACTGCGGCGATCTCAACCACCGCAGCCACGCGCACACGCACGAGCACGACGAGCACGAGCACGCGCATGAGACTGGTCACGCGCATGGGCATGAGAGCGAGGTATATGAAGACACTGTCGTGGCGGTGGATGCCAAGGACGAGCCCGCACACGCCAGTGAGTGCATCGTGCCGCTAACTTCGGATCCGAGAATCTTCAATCCCGACATGTCGCGAACTCTTCGATCCTTTTTCGCTCGAGACCTAATTTCTACGAGACCCCTAATCCCTCCTTCGTGTCCATGCGCGCGCTGATGCTGGCCCGTGGCAGGTTGCAGTGCGCGGTGCGGGTTCGCGGACGGCGTGGCGGTGGGCACGGTGGAGGACAAGGAGCGCATGAAGGTGCGGCAGCGCCTCGTGCTCGCCATCGCGCTCTCGCTCGCCTTCATGCTCGTCGAAATCGTCGGAGGTGACTCTCGCCCCGCGCTCTCGCCCCGCGCCCTGTTGTACCTCCCGAGCATTCTACTTCTCATGCCTGTCCGCTCTCTCCCCCATCAGCTGTCTTTCCCTCAGGGCACCGTCCCTGAATTCCTTCTCTGCAGTTTCTCCGTTGCCTCCCAAAAGTTCCCTCACTGCTCAACCCTTACCACTTCCTCTCTTAACACGTCCCTCCGTGTTCTCCATTTTGCTCCCTTTCCGCAACCCCCCCCGTTGCCCCCTCCCCGTTCCCTCTCCCTGCTCCCCTCTCCCCGTTCCCCCTCCCTGTTCGCTCCTCCACCTTCCCCGTTCCCCATTCCCTTTTCCCCGTGCTCCATGGCGCGCGGGCAGGCCTCCTGTCCAACAGTCTCGCCGTGCTCACGGATGCGGCGCATCTCCTCTCCGACATCGCCAGTACGCCCTCCAGCCCTCCGCCTGCACGCCCACTTCCTTTTTGCTCAGCCCCTGCCCTCCCCGCTCCCGTTCCGCCCATTCTCACCCGACGCCTTCCTTTCCTCCCTCTCTATTTCCCTTCAAACCCCCCGCGCCCTGGTTCCGCGTCGCTGCATTCAATTATATCGTTTCCTCCTGCTTGCCTTGCCTTTTGTAACTCTCACATTTTCCTCTCCCCTTTCTCCTACAAATTCCGTCCCCTCCCGCTCCTTCTGTTTCCGTCAAACCTTTCCTCCCTCTGCCCTCCCTTCATCCCCTATTCTCCGTCCACCCTCCCTTTCCCCGCGCTCCCCGCTCTTCGCCTCTCCCCACCCCCCCCTCTCGCCCGCCGCCCCCCAGGCTTCGCGTTGAGTCTGTTTGCGCTGTGGATGGCGGGGTGGGAGGCAACCCCGCGGCACACGTTCGGGTACCACCGCATGGAGATCCTGGGCGCGCTGGTGTCCATGCAGCTCATCTGGATGATCACCGGCATTCTGCTCTACGAAGCCGTCTCCAGGTGCGCTCTTGCTCGCTCGCTCTTGGGCGTCTCCTGGCCATTCTGCTCTACGCAGCCGTCTCCAGGTGCGCTCTTGCTCGCTCGCTCTTGGGCGTCTCCTGGCCATTCTGCTCTACGCAGCCGTCTCCAGGTGCGCTCTTGCTCGCTCGCTCTTGGGCGTCTCCTGGCCATTCTGCTCTACGAAGCCGTCTCCAGGTGCGCTCTTGCTCGCTCGCTCTTGGGCGTCTCCTGGCCATTCTGCTCTACGCAGCCGTCTCCAGGTGCGCTCTTGCTCGCTCGCTCTTGGGCGTCTCCTGGCCATTCTGCTCTACGCAGCCGTCTCCAGGTGCGCTCTTGCTCGCTCGCTCTTGGGCGTCTCCTGGCCATTCTGCTCTACGCAGCCGTCTCCAGGTGCGCTCTTGCTCGCTCGCTCTTGGGCGTCTCCTGGCCATTCTGCTCTACGCAGCCGTCTCCAGGTGCGCTCTTGCTCGCTCGCTCTTGGGCGTCTCCTGGCCATTCTGCTCTACGCAGCCGTCTCCAGGTGCGCTCTTGCTCGCTCGCTCTTGGGCGTCTCCTGGCCATTCTGCTCTACGCAGCCGTCTCCAGGTGCGCTCTTGCTCGCTCGCTCTTGGGCGTCTCCTGGCCATTCTGCTCTACGCAGCCGTCTCCAGGTGCGCTCTTGCTCGCTCGCTCTTGGGCGTCTCCTGGCCATTCTGCTCTACGCAGCCGTCTCCAGGTGCGCTCTTGCTCGCTCGCTCTTGGGCGTCTCCTGGCCATTCTGCTCTACGCAGCCGTCTCCAGGTGCGCTCTTGCTCGCTCGCTCTTGGGCGTCTCCTGGCCATTCTGCTCTACGCAGCCGTCTCCAGGTGCGCTCTTGCTCGCTCGCTCTTGGGCGTCTCCTGGCCATTCTGCTCTACGCAGCCGTCTCCAGGTGCGCTCTTGCTCGCTCGCTCTTGGGCGTCTCCTTGCCATTCTGCTCTACGCAGCCGTCTCCAGGTGCGCTCTTGCTCGCTCGCTCTTGGGCGTCTCCTGGCCATTCTGCTCTACGCAGCCGTCTCCAGGTGCGCTCTTGCTCGCTCGCTCTTGGGCGTCTCCTGGCCATTCTGCTCTACGCAGCCGTCTCCAGGTGCGCTCTTGCTCGCTCGCTCTTGGGCGTCTCCTGGCCATTCTGCTCTACGCAGCCGTCTCCAGGTGCGCTCTTGCTCGCTCGCTCTTGGGCGTCTCCTGGCCATTCTGCTCTACGCAGCCGTCTCCAGGTGCGCTCTTGCTCGCTCGCTCTTGGGCGTCTCCTGGCCATTCTGCTCTACGCAGCCGTCTCCAGGTGCGCTCTTGCTCGCTCGCTCTTGGGCGTCTCCTGGCCATTCTGCTCTACGCAGCCGTCTCCAGGTGCGCTCTTGCTCGCTCGCTCTTGGGCGTCTCCTGGCCATTCTGCTCTACGCAGCCGTCTCCAGGTGCGCTCTTGCTCGCTCGCTCTTGGGCGTCTCCTGGCCATTCTGCTCTACGCAGCCGTCTCCAGGTGCGCTCTTGCTCGCTCGCTCTTGGGCGTCTCCTGGCCATTCTGCTCTACGCAGCCGTCTCCAGGTGCGCTCTTGCTCGCTCGCTCTTGGGCGTCTCCTGGCCATTCTGCTCTACGCAGCCGTCTCCAGGTGCGCTCTTGCTCGCTCGCTCTTGGGCGTCTCCTGGCCATTCTGCTCTACGCAGCCGTCTCCAGGTGCGCTCTTGCTCGCTCGCTCTTGGGCGTCTCCTGGCCATTCTGCTCTACGCAGCCGTCTCCAGGTGCGCTCTTGCTCGCTCGCTCTTGGGCGTCTCCTGGCCATTCTGCTCTACGCAGCCGTCTCCAGGTGCGCTCTTGCTCGCTCGCTCTTGGGCGTCTCCTGGCCATTCTGCTCTACGCAGCCGTCTCCAGGTGCGCTCTTGCTCGCTCGCTCTTGGGCGTCTCCTGGCCATTCTGCTCTACGCAGCCGTCTCCAGGTGCGCTCTTGCTCGCTCGCTCTTGGGCGTCTCCTGGCCATTCTGCTCTACGCAGCCGTCTCCAGGTGCGCTCTTGCTCGCTCGCTCTTGGGCGTCTCCTGGCCATTCTGCTCTACGCAGCCGTCTCCAGGTGCGCTCTTGCTCGCTCGCTCTTGGGCGTCTCCTGGCCATTCTGCTCTACGCAGCCGTCTCCAGGTGCGCTCTTGCTCGCTCGCTCTTGGGCGTCTCCTGGCCATTCTGCTCTACGCAGCCGTCTCCAGGTGCGCTCTTGCTCGCTCGCTCTTGGGCGTCTCCTGGCCATTCTGCTCTACGCAGCCGTCTCCAGGTGCGCTCTTGCTCGCTCGCTCTTGGGCGTCTCCTGGCCATTCTGCTCTACGCAGCCGTCCAGGTGCGCTCTTGCTCGCTCGCTCTTGGGCGTCTCCTGGCCATTCTGCTCTACGCAGCCGTCTCCAGGTGCGCTCTTGCTCGCTCGCTCTTGGGCGTCTCCTTGCCATTCTGCTCTACGCAGCCGTCTCCAGGTGCGCTCTTGCTCGCTCGCTCTTGGGCGTCTCCTGGCCATTCTGCTCTACGCAGCCGTCTCCAGGTGCGCTCTTGCTCGCTCGCTCTTGGGCGTCTCCTGGCCATTCTGCTCTACGCAGCCGTCTCCAGGTGCGCTCTTGCTCGCTCGCTCTTGGGCGTCTCCTGGCCATTCTGCTCTACGCAGCCGTCTCCAGGTGCGCTCTTGCTCGCTCGCTCTTGGGCGTCTCCTGGCCATTCTGCTCTACGCAGCCGTCTCCAGGTGCGCTCTTGCTCGCTCGCTCTTGGGCGTCTCCTGGCCATTCTGCTCTACGCAGCCGTCTCCAGGTGCGCTCTTGCTCGCTCGCTCTTGGGCGTCTCCTGGCCATTCTGCTCTACGCAGCCGTCTCCAGGTGCGCTCTTGCTCGCTCGCTCTTGGGCGTCTCCTGGCCATTCTGCTCTACGCAGCCGTCTCCAGGTGCGCTCTTGCTCGCTCGCTCTTGGGCGTCTCCTGGCCATTCTGCTCTACGCAGCCGTCTCCAGGTGCGCTCTTGCTCGCTCGCTCTTGGGCGTCTCCTGGCCATTCTGCTCTACGCAGCCGTCTCCAGGTGCGCTCTTGCTCGCTCGCTCTTGGGCGTCTCCTGGCCATTCTGCTCTACGCAGCCGTCTCCAGGTGCGCTCTTGCTCGCTCGCTCTTGGGCGTCTCCTGGCCATTCTGCTCTACGCAGCCGTCTCCAGGTGCGCTCTTGCTCGCTCGCTCTTGGGCGTCTCCTGGCCATTCTGCTCTACGCAGCCGTCTCCAGGTGCGCTCTTGCTCGCTCGCTCTTGGGCGTCTCCTGGCCATTCTGCTCTACGCAGCCGTCTCCAGGTGCGCTCTTGCTCGCTCGCTCTTGGGCGTCTCCTGGCCATTCTGCTCTACGCAGCCGTCTCCAGGTGCGCTCTTGCTCGCTCGCTCTTGGGCGTCTCCTGGCCATTCTGCTCTACGCAGCCGTCTCCAGGTGCGCTCTTGCTCGCTCGCTCTTGGGCGTCTCCTGGCCATTCTGCTCTACGCAGCCGTCTCCAGGTGCGCTCTTGCTCGCTCGCTCTTGGGCGTCTCCTGGCCATTCTGCTCTACGCAGCCGTCTCCAGGTGCGCTCTTGCTCGCTCGCTCTTGGGCGTCTCCTGGCCATTCTGCTCTACGCAGCCGTCTCCAGGTGCGCGCCCGCTCGCGAGCTCGCTTGCTTCTGGCCGTGGGAAGGGCTGCGGTTGGGAGGCAGTGATGGGTGTGGTTGGTTGTGGGGGACGGGTTCAGCGAGTCATGTGTGATGAGGGATGAGGCTGGCCTCTCGTCGTGCTCTGGTCGTATGTGTGTCGAGTTTCATTCACGGCCTCCCCCTGCTGCTGCTGTGCCCTGTGTGTGCGTGTGCATGCAGGCTTATATCGCAGACAGAGTCGGTGGACGGGCGGCTCATGTTCATCACGTCGGCTTTCGGCGTGGGCGTGAACGTACTCATGACCCTCATTCTCGGCCACCACCACCACGGCCATGACCACGGCCATGACCATGGGCACGACCATGGGCATGGGCAAGCACACGGGCATGGTCACTCGCATGGGCATGGGCATAGCCATTCACATGAGCATGGGCATGAGCACGGGCACGTGCATGGGTGGAAGGAGCCAGGAGGGGATGGGCATGACCATAGTCACGGCCACGGACATGCACATGGGCATGCAGAGGCAGGCGATGCCATAGTGACCCTCCACCACAGCGCCGACCACTCTTCCCAGCATCAACATCAGCACTCCGCGTCTACTCCTGCAGGTGGGACGCATCACTCTCTTCCACCATTCCCTACCTCGCTCCGTGCCATCTCTATCTCTGTCCCCGCTCTCTCTCTCCTTCCTTCCTTTTACTCTCTCTGAAGACTGCACCGTGTGCCTTCCATGCATAATTTCTTGCCACACTTTACTTAACCCCTGCACCTTCGAGCTGGCTCACTCCCTCTGAGACCACCTCCCCACCTCTTCCAATCTCGGCCACCCCCGTGCTCAGAAGCAGAACCGACGAGGGCGCGCAACATAAACCTGGAGGGGGCGTACTTGCACGTGCTGGGGGACCTGCTGCAGAGCATAGGAGTCATGGTGGGAGGCGCTGCCATCTGGTACAACCCCGAATGGTACGTGCTTCCTTCACACTCGAAAACAATCAAAACCTGTTGGGACGGGCTGTCTGGCATTTGTTGCTGTGCCTTCACATCTGCTGCTCATGCTCGCTGCCTCGTTCACCCACCGGCCACGCCTTGTCTACCTTGCACCATCCCAAATGATGAAATGATCAGCCCTCCGTGCTGGCCACGTTATCCACAGGGTCACACCTTGCCAAGATCCCTGCATACTCCCCACACGTGTAGCATGGCGCTTCCCCGCCCTCGCATTCACTTGCTCGTTTTCCCCCCCACTGCCTGCTTGCTGTGGTGAGCAGGAAGATAGTGGATCTGATATGCACGCTGCTCTTCTCCGTGCTCGTGCTCTTCACCACATACCGCATGCTGCGCGATGTCATTGATGTGCTCATGGAGTCCACTCCACGCGGAATCAACGCCTCAGAGGTCCGTCACAACACAACCCATGCTTGCTCTCATAGCCCCTGAGCGCACCGTGCGATCTGCGTATTCCGTGTACCATTGAACCTCCTCTGCCTGCAGCCTATCGCTCCACACCACACCACTCATTATCAAATCCCATTACGTGTTCCTCCTCCCTTGCTCCCTAAACCCCTGGGCTCCGCTCCAATCCGCGTCCCTCACGTCTCCCCTCTATGCGGCCTTGCGGATGTTGGCCGTGGGTGCAGGTGGAGGCGGGGCTGAAGACGCTACCAGGGGTGGAGGACGTGCACGAGCTGCACATCTGGGCACTCACCCTGGGCAAGGTGATGCTGGCGTGCCACGTGCGCATCGACGCACACAGCAACCCAGAGGACGTGCTCAACGCCGTGCTGCGCTTCTGTGAGCGCACGTACCGCATCAGCCATGCCACCGTGCAGGTGGAGCGCAGCAGGGTGCCCGCGCTGCAGGGCTCGCAGTCCGCTCCCGATATAGTGTCGTCGCCACACGGTGCTGATGATGCACCTCTTGACTCACTTCCAGCCTCCAGCGCCATGACTGCCTCTGTTTCGTAGCGTTTAGGTGTTGAGTTTGTTCCGATTCCAGGCGACACTTTTGCCACTCGCAAAAGGCAGGCATGCTTGCTGGCTGGCTGTAGATTGGGGATGCAACAGCGACTTACGGTAGGCTGTGCAGTACTGAATCTTCCTTGTACCACCAGACCAGACACAGTTGGTTGGGATTACGCATACGTAAGATTTAATGTGGCCATCCATGCCATACCACACATTCCACACCAAAGCATCCTGCTGTTAGATATCGCGTGGTCTGAAGGGTGTGGCGTCATTTTGCATCCGTGGGACAACAAATGGATGCCTGCCAGACAACCCTGCAAGATCCGGCTATTTCATTGCACAACCTAGACAAGAAACAGAAGGAAATGGCATGATACAGAACGGCAGACTGCGAGGCGCAGTGAGCATGTGTCAGCATCAAAAGGCATGTGCATGCCAGGGAGGAAGGGCATCAGCTGCTATGCTAGCCTACCATAAACAAGAAAGCAAGGGCGACTACTGCAGACACGAGATGCTGCTACCGCACAAACAGTCCAAGCACACCTATGCAACTGCAACATGAATAAAAAAACACTCGTCCAAAACCAGAGAGCTGACAAACAGCAAGCCCATGTGGTCGTCCTCTTCCTCTTGTACAAAATTCACTTCAATCCCACGCTTTCTCTTCCGCATGTCCGATCCTCCTTATCTTCCCGCTCCTCCCTCTCCTCCCCCTCCCCATCCACCTCTGGGATGCCATCCAGCCATGCCCCCACCCCCTCCTCACCACCCTCACCACCGCCACTCCCTCGCCCCCTCCCTCTGCCACCACGCGCACCCCTCCCTCCCTTCCTGCGGTCCCTGCTGCCTCCTCTCCCTCGCCGGGTCTCCTTGCTCTGCTCCTCCAGCATCGCAATAAACGCATCCTCCACGCCCTCTAAATCCTCCGTGCCCGCACCTCCACACACCTCCTCCACACCTCCCCACACCTCGCTCGCCACTGCTTCTGGCACAAAGGCAGGGGCAAGCTTGTGCTTGTCCAACGCTGCATCTGCTGTTGCCGCATTCACAGTCGCTGCATTCACCACCACACCACAACCCTCGCTTTCCCCTTCTCCAGAAACAGGAGCTTCTTCAACACTTGCGTCGCCCCCCTCTCCCACACACACCCTCTCTTCCTGCACTGCACATCCCACATCTACCACAGCTCGCCCATGTGCCCTGCCTTCACAAGGACTCTCGCCATGCAACAGCTCCTCCTCACTACCCATAGCCCCACTGCCCCCCTCCCCCTGCTCACCCTCTGTCACTACCTCCGGTCTCATTCTCCCCTCCTCTCCCTCCTTGCCCTCGCCTACTCCCCTCGTTTCCTTCTCCCCGTCCTCCCGAGCACCGTCCTGCAACTTGTTGCTACTCACCTGCCCCGACCACTCGTCTCCAGGCCTCCTTTCCCCCTCGCCCTCGCCCCACGCCCCAAACTCCTTCCCCCCTTCCCCCTCCACAGCGCCAACGGCAGCGGGGAGCGGGGCAGCAGCCCAGTGCGCGAGCGGAGCCCCTCGGGGCGGGCTTGACGCGGGGCTGTTGTGCGCGCTGCTGCACGGCAGCGCCACCGCTTCCAGCTCCGCCTCTGCCGCCGCCGCACTGAACGCCCTCGAATCCGCGCGCGCAACTCTCGATTCCGCTCCTCCCCCGCCCCCCGCCCCCCACGCGCCCCCAGCTGCGCCTATGCCGCTCGTTCTCCGGCTGATCTGCAGCTCGTACCCGAAGGTGGCGAGCAGCGTGGCGCCGGAGGCGGCGGCGGAGAGGGGGAAGGCGAGCGTGTGCGGGCGAAGGTCCGTGTCTTGGAGCGACCACGGCACCAGGCGTGCCAGGTCTACCGCGTGCCGCCCCACCTCCACCTCGCTGCACCCGCTCCCCCCCCTCCCCCCTCCCGCACTCACCCCCGCACCTTCCGCCGCTGCTGCGCATGCCCTTACTCTTGCATCCTCCCCTTCCCCGCTCCCCGCCCCCACTCCGCCTGCGCCTGCGCCCTGCGCGCCTCTGGCGCGAGAGCCTCCGGAGCGGTTCATGAGGCGCACGACGAGCGTGGAGGGCTTTTCCTGGAAGCGCAGCGAGTGGTGCGGGCCGGGGGTGCAGTAGAGAGTGCAGGAGAGCTCGAGCGTTTGTTCGAACTGCACCACGCCGTCTCTCACGGGCGCCACGCTTGTGCTCACCGCCATGCCGCGCCTGTGCCACAACACCATCGCCTCCCACTCTCCGCCGCCGCCGCTGCTGCTGCTGCTACTACTACTGCTGCTGCTCGAGTTGCTGCTACCGCTGCTGACGACGCTGCCGGTGCTGCTGCTGCTGCTGCTGCTGCTGCTGCTGCTGCTGCTGCTGCTGCCGCTGCTTGTGGTGGTGCTGGAGGCAGCAGAATCCGCAGAAGCGTCGAAGGGCGCGGGGAGGCCGAGGATGCCGTGCACGTGGAGCGTGAAGAAGCACCGGCACCGCCGCGCCGCCATGCGACTGATCGCCCGCAGTGGCGCCGTCAACGGCGCCTTAAGCGGCGACCTGAGGTTGAACCGCCCGAGCAGCAGCGGGGAAGGCGGAGGGACAGGGGAGCCGGACTGCGGGGAGGGGCAGTTCTGGGAGCGGCGATGGGCGGACGAGATGGAGAAGTAGGGCGAGCGCGGGGTAAGCGTGGGGGTGGAGGGGGTGGAGGACGACGCGGTCGAATGAGCGGGTGACGCGGGGGCGATGAGGGACGGCAGAAGCGCCGCGGCAGGGTGAGCGGCGGTGCTGGTAGGAGCAGAGAAACCGACGATGGTCGTAGGAGCGGTGGCGAATGGCGGGTCGTCGGGCGCACTGGACTGAGCGGGAAACGCGGAGGAGGACGGGGAGGGTGACGGACTGGGGCATGCAGGGGAGAGGAAAGAGGGTAGGGAGGAGAGGGAGGAGAATGGGGAGGTGGACGGGGAAGCCGAGGGAGAGAAAGCTAAGGACGACACTGGAACGTCGGCTGCTGGGGTTCTGGGAGGCCGTGGCAGGGACATGGTGGACGACAGCGATTGGCTGAATCGAATTTGTTCGGCGAGCCATGACTTGAAATCAAGGGTGGGACGCGCGACGGTGCAGCGAGGATGGAAGGCGCCATATTCGCGAGCTCCACCGTAACGAGAATCATCGTTGCTCCCTCTCTCCCCAAGACCATCCGTCTGACTTTCATCGGCCCCCCCTACTCCCCTAGCCCCCTCACAATCACATCCGCTACCAGCAATTGCACCTTCGCATTGCCCGTTACAGACACCCCCGTTATATTCACAGCCCGCTCCTTTGCAGAGCGTTCCTCCTGCGCCGTCAGCCGACCCGACGGAGCGCGAGTAGATGACGTCGTCCTTGGCGCTAACGCTGCGACCGCGCGCGCCGAGGCATCGCTCCCGCAGCACCGCCTCCATCGTCGCGTGACTCGGCGGACCCGTGTTGAACGCGCCTTGCGAAAGCGTCTTAAACAGCGAAGGCTCGACCAGACGCTCGTCGCTCACTCCCATGTTCACGGCGGCGACAGCGGCGGATGCTGCGCCGCTGATGCGATATGACGAGTCAACCCCCATTTGCAAGATAGTTAATCTATCGTGGCGGTTCGAGAGCTCAACCAGGGTGGCGTTGGTCGATTCAGGTAACACCCGAGATCATCAGGCCAGATGAGGCATTTGCAGGTTTATTCAAGCTTGGCGGCTAGCAGGCTGCTCTAGGGCGGACGCGATGTCTCCAGTCGCTGACAAATAGGGCCAAGTTGCTGAGCAACGCGAACTCTCACCAGCGAAGGCGGATAGGTTACAGAGAGCACTGCTCCAAATGTGAACGTGGAAAAGAGGCGAAATTTTCGGAAACAACTCACAAGCACCAGTTAGGAGGAGGTGGAAAGAGGTGGGTGGGGTGGTTGGTTGGTGCAACCAACGCATGTTGGGCAATGGACAATGTGAAGGGGGCTTTCTGTCCTCCCGCTTTTCCAAAGGCGCTGCTGGAACTGGGGCGGGTGATGGGGGATTCACGTGTGGAGAACGCGCGATTGCTGGGATATGCGAGAAGTGGAAAAGAAAGTGGAGATTAATGAGATACTTCGGTAAGTGCGATTTTTGGAGGTGAGTGTGCAAAACGGGGCAGTGACGAGGAGGTTGTTGGTGGCAGACCAGATCCACGCGTGTGAACCATTCGATGTGGCGGAGCGCGGGGTCGGTCTAGAAGATGTCGTGACGGATCTCGTCAGGGGTGCGTGGTTTGTGGTTTCAGATGGGACGGTGGCAGGGTTGGCAGGAGATGTGTCGCATCGAGTGGATGACGACGCCGAAACGCAAACTGACATGTTGGCAGCTCCAGCTGTGACGTCAGGCCAGGCTCCGTCATTTGTCAAGGACAGAGTTGAGTCAGACGGTTTGACTGAACGATTCATTAGGGTTTAGTGAAAACCGATACGATTTCCCTAACGACTCACACTTATACTTCCCAACTTATAAAAAAGTGGTGTCTCGGTAAAACGGTTCGAATCTGCGAGGCTTGTGATATCGGATTACAGATGAGTCTCCGACACCACCCCTGCCAGCGACTCGGATCCCACCAAGCTTCTGGTTTTGAGGGTCGCTCATGTCAGACTCGTCTAACATTGATCAAGCTCCTCTCACATTCCTATTAGCAGCTCCTAAGATCCAACTTCACAACCACAAGGTCACCCTGTTTCCCTACCTGCGGATCACCATCCTGAGCTTCCACGCGTTGCATCGATCTCCGTTTCTCTCCTTTCACAGCTTTACGAAACAACAGCCCACAGAGTATTTGTTACTTCAAGGGTGGTATCTGCATCGACCGTCCTCATCCAGCTCTTACGGGTTAGGGAACAGCTCACTTTGTTACACTACATAACTTGAAGCCTTTTGCTTCACGTCGATCCAATGACGCGGCCCAAGAGGCCACGTGCTCCTTTAAAAGACAGAAGCGTCAATGCTGAGACGCCAAATGTTTCTAGTCTGGGAAGCAAGGTGTCTACGCAGATGTGGAATGAGATTGACGCAGAAGGTATGGAAGCGGCAATGATGCGAACTTTTTTCAGGCGTATCATGTCTGAATTCGACTAACCACCTTATGACATCTGGTTTTGGCAGCCAACGCGAGGATAGAAGCTATGCGAGAAACCTTCAGGGAAAAGGCGAGAGCCATTAAGGAGCAGACAGAAGCTCAGATCAACTCGGTGAGTTACAAATACGTGCGGTACGTTTCTTGCCATGATATATCTGCAGCTGACAGCCACTCATTAAGAGATTCCGTCTCCTGCAGCTTCCTGAAGAAGTGGCGCAAATGCCTGTGGAGGAGTATTTGAAGCAGAAGAAGCTATCGCTTGAGGAACTCCTGATTATTCAACAGATCAGCACAAAGCAGTGACAGGTGCCCTTCTGTGCAGGTCGTCAGCAAGAACGAAAATCATGGACCCAGCACCCAGCAGCATCCATGTTGCTTGACAGTTGTCACACTTGCAGTTCAATATGTACAGGTCATGTACAGGTCTTAAATCTTGCCACGGGAGGAGTTATAATGCCTGACGAAGTTTAGTAGGCACAAAAAAACAATGTATGAGATCATACCGTACTAACTTCTACAAATAGCTCTAGACCTGAAAGCTCAAGATGAGAACCTAAAATATGGTACTGAGCAAAACTGATACAGCCTCTGGCACTGTGCTTCTTAGGTGCCAAGCGAAACTGATATGGCTCTCAGTGGCTCTGTGCCAGAACAAGTAGCAAGTCATTATCAGTAATGGCTCCCCCCTGTTCCATCACTGCCTCCAAAGGCGTTTGCCCATACGAGTCTCTTAGAGAGACACTTGCCCCCCTGCAAGCACACATGAAAGACTACTGTCAGTGACATGGTGGCCAGCTGGAAAAACATGGTCGCAGTAAACATTGCTGGGAAGTTACGGTAGATGGCAGGTTGGGAGAAGGAAGTGTGCCTAACCTGGCTATCAACTGCTTGGCACAGGCGGAGACACCAAGCAAGAGGCACCAATGCAGAGGTGTCCTTCCCATGGCATCCCGTGCATTCACATCAGCTGTCTGCTGAAGCAACAGCTCCACTGCTGCTGTGTCTCCCCGGTAACATGCCACATGCAGCAGACAACACCCATATGACACATCCTCTTGCTCCGCCTCCCCATGGCCCAGCACACCAGAGGAGGAACTAGCTAGCGTGGTGTCAGACGCTGTACTGTCCCGATTCTGCTCCGTGTATGGCCCTCTCGTATTGTTAACAGAAAAAGAATGTGAGTTGCGTTGCTTGTGGCTGCTGGGCAGGTAGCAGCAGATGGAAGGGCCCCCGTGACCCTCAGTTGCTGCTTAGACCAAGGGATGGGGACGTACGTACGAAGTTGAAAAATTATTGTGTAAAAGTGTTATGGTAACGACGTCTGCAACCATGTGTGAACGTTATGCTTTCAAAACAGAAAGAGCGACAGAGGGAGAAAGGGTGAGACATGCCAGGGTCTATTGTCTTTGCTCTCCCTTCATGCAACCATCTCACCTGCTCCCCCTTTCCTGCGTGTCATGTTGACATCAAGCCCAGCATTGAACAGCATTCTTGCTGCCTGCTGCAAGTCCCCATCCCACACCGACTGCCACAGTTGCTCCTCAGCTCCCTCCCTGCCACCGTACTGCTGCGTACCAGACACTAGGAACCTGCGCTCTACATACTGGGAGAGGGGAAAACGGACGGCGCTTGGCAGAGTGAGCCAACTGTGGGATAAACAACTCCATGCCGCATGGCACCATGGGGCCATGAAACATGCGCTTACACCCAAACTAGAAACACAAAAAGGGGCACGATTCAATGCTGAAATTAGTCAATGGGTGGGTCGGCTTTTGCGGAGCAGACAAGGGACGTACCTTAGCCTGGATGAACCGCTCCTTTACTGCCACGGGATCGGCAGGGGACGGCTTCCCTGCTTCTGCTGCACACAAGGAGGAGGAATTGGTGGCACCGAGGCTGACCGGTACTTGCGCTGCTGCACGCCCTGTGGTTTCTGCCGGTGCTTCCACACTGGACTCTGCACTCTCGTTTTGCTCCCCTGCCTCTGCCTCACATGCACTGCGGCGCGGCAATGTCTCCTCCCACACCGTGTTTGCAAACTCGTTTCCCAGCGCCTTGAAGAGTGCAATCACTGGCGGCTCCCACACCCGCACATCTAGAGTCAGCGACCGCACCTGACGGCGAGAGGCAGGTGGGGGAGGGTTCGCAAAAAGAAGGGAGCAAGGATAGGAAGACTGAGAATGCCATATCGCGGAAAAAAAGAAAGAAGGTGGAGCTGAGGTGGGTGTGATTCCCACAAGTGGAACGAGAGTGACAACAAGGACTGTGTGTGTGAGCACACGCACCTTGCTGATATGCACGCCCAAGTTCCGGTGCACGCCGGAGCACTCAATGCACATGAGCACACCCAGGTTGAGTGACGCCCAGTCGGGGTCAGGAGCCCCGCAGTCCACACAGCAGCGATTGCCCGCCACGTGCGCCAGCAGCTGCAAAGGGCGGTCCACATGTGCTGCTGCGGTGGCACACGACGAGGATGTGTCCGTTGCAGAGCCGTCTGATTGGCGTGCGTGGTGCCATGAGGACAAGGGGTCGCTGGACAGGTGCGAGCTGCCCGTGGTGAGCGAGGAGGAGGGCGCCTGGTGCGGACGGGGAGGGGGGAAGGGGTGTGAGGAGAGGTGAGAGCAGGGGAGTAGAGCGGCTAGAGTGGAGACGGAACACAAGAAGCGTGTGGGTGTCAATGGTATGATGCAACCTTGTCAGGGCGATGCCAGGTGGTGTAAGGAGGCAGGGTGAGTGAGGTGAAGCGAGGGTGCGTGAATTGTAGTGTAGTGCAGAGAGGTGAGTTGTAGTACAGTGAGATGCAGGCGAGTGGTACCGGGTTGGAGAGCTGTTGGTTGAGCAGGGTGGCGATGACAGCAGTGATGGTGTCCATCCACTCGCTGCGCTCCGCTCCATTCTCCGCCTGCAGCGTGTACGTCTTCACGGGTGAGATAATCCTGAAACAGAACCGCAGGTCCGACTGCTCCGCATCCATCTTGATCGTCGCTGTCAGCAGGTTCAGCACATGATTCGACACCGACCCTCCCCCGCCCCCCCCGCCCCCTCCCCCGCCCCCATCATCCCCGCCACCTCCTGCCTGGGAGATGGAGGGCGGCAGCGAGGAGACGTAACCGCCGAAGTCGCGGGGAGGGGAGGAGGCTGGGGTGGAGGAGTTGGAGTTGGAGGCGGAGTGGGAGGGGCGCAGGGAGAAGCCCCCTGCTGCCCCGCCCCCAAGAAAGGACTCCAGCGACAAGGGCGTGTCGCCGATAAGACTGCCAAAGCTCGCCGACCGCACTCCCCCCTGGCCACCGCCACTGCTGCTGCTGCTTCCCCCTGCTCCGCCAGCAGTGGGGCCGTCGCGGTCGCGGGCGAGCATGCGGGAGAAGATGGAGAGCGGGGGCATGCCGGGGCTGGGGTTGGGGTCGGGCGTGGACGAGCGCGCATGCAGCAGACCTTGCAGCTGAAACATGCTCTGCTGGCGGGCGCAGGGGAGGGGAGCGGGGGAGATGGGGGGACGGAGGGAAGGAGGGGGGAGGGAAGTAAGCTTGGTGGGGGAGTAGGAGGGAGGGGAAATGAAGAAAGTTACGCGTGTGGGAAACGGGGAGACTATGATTCTACAAAGAAGGCCGGATGGCGTTTGACAGAGCGACAAAGAGACAGACAAGAAGCAGGCAAAGGCCACCGAATGTGGTTACAGGGATATGGGATGCAAGGGGGATGGTTTGGGCGTACGGAGGGTTTGGGCTGCTGTTTGCGGTAGTAGTAGAGCATGCCCCGTGAATCCAGCACAAAGAAGCGCCGCTTCCAATCCGCTCTCAGGTTGGAGGAGCGCTTTAGCAGATAACCCTGCTTGATCACTTGCACCTGCTCTCGCTCACGCACTCCGCACACATCGGATCCCACCCACGCACCGGCAATAGCAGCAGCACGTACACCATAGAGACAGCAAACACACACTTCAGGTTTGAGAATTCACCAAAAGTGGCACAAGCACGTACACGTCTGACACAAAGGCACACTTTGGTGGCGCTTTTTACGCGGGGACTCACGCATGAGCCAGCCCTTCTCCGCACTGCATGAACGTGAGCCAACATCAATCACCTCCCTCCCCCTTCCCCACACCTTTCCCCCCTGTGACCACACATGCCTTCCCAGCACCTCCCCACACCTTCCCCCCCACCTTGCCCTTGGGAGTGGACGCCATGAGCTGTTCAATGGCCTTGTGCAGCGAGTTACTTCCACCGGCCCCCAGCAGCGCCTGGTACGGCCCTCCCCCGCCGCCCCCCCCGCCTATGCGCTCAGCGGCCTGTGCGCTCTCGTCCCCCCGGGCGAGCTCCATCTCCTTGTCGCGCTGGTACTCGCCCATGCGCTCCCCCAGCACCGCCTGCTCCTGGTTCCCATGCTCCCGCGCCTGCTGCGCGTATGTCAGCACCTGGAAAGGAGCATGGGGATGGTAGGTGGACGTAGGCGGTTGGTGGTGTAGTGCAGGAGAGGAGGATGAGGAGTGGAGAGTGCGGGTGGTGGTCACAAGTAGCGGGGCCCTGTGAGCAACGCATGTGGGGAGGAGGTTGTGAGGGATGTGCGTTCGGACATGCATACCTGATGGATGTACGGCTCCAGTGCATGCAGCACCTCGTAGCTCTGCCTCCCATGCCATGGCGCACCGGATGGGGGGGAAGGGGTGGGGAAGGGACGGGGTTTGGTGGCGGGGGAAAGAAGTGGGAGTGAACAGGCCTACCGAGAAAGCACCTTTGAGGAGAGAACAGGGCCAACGGGAGGTGTGCGGAAGGGAGAGCGGGGGAAGGGGGGAAGGGGGGGGGTTGAACAAAGTGTTATAGAACTGGCATGTAGCATGCACCGTATGCAGATGTGACGTCCACATGCATCAGGCAGGCCCACAGACACACCATACACGATGCATGCACACGCGGCACATAAGAGAGCCTCCTGGAGTGGAGAGGCGCACCTGTTTGTAGAAGCGCAGGTGGGCATCCATGGTGGAGGCAATGGACTCTATGAACTCATACTTCTTCCTCGAGTCTATGCTCGACAGCGCTGCCACCTGCCATGCCATGCCATGCCATGCCATGCCATGCCATGCCATGCCATGTGCAGGAGTTCAGGAGAAGGAGAAGGGGTGGGTGGGAGGGGCGGGGTCGTGAAACCACAAGGAGGAAAGAGCTCGAAGTGATGTGCTGTTGGTTTAGCCGAGGCGAGAACTTGCACATGGACGTGCGGGTAAAGTCGACCGCACCATGAAAAAACATTTGCTGCAACTGATCCCCCAATACCCCCTCCCATCACTGCTTTTTCCAGGAATGCACACAGCCTCAGCTGGACCACACAAGGCCCCTCTTGCAAGGCAGATTGCACGAGCATGCAGGAAGCAGAAGGCAGGCAACGAGGGGAGGCAGAGGGGGCGCAAGCAGGGCGAGTGGGCGTACGAGGGCGAATCTGGCCTTCTCGTAGTGCATCCTGGCGGTCTGAAAGTCGTCCTCCGCCTCCCCCATGACCTCCGCGCGCGTGTCCTTCTTCATTGACAGAAACCGCTCCCTCATCTGCCCCCCTCACAGGCCATGCACCACAGTGAGGTACGGTCGGGCGGAAGGGTGAGGTGAGTGAAGGGGCAGAAAGGAGGAGCGGAGGGTATTGCAGGTGTGGGGAGGTAGTGAGGGTTGTGGCACAGCAGCATGGAGTGAAAACGATGGTACCCAATGGCAGCACCAAGTTCATTCGTGCTGCGCTGAAGGTAAGAGCAGGAATTGTATTGCACAAGTCATTGCAAAAACCGCAACACAACCCCACACCTTCACTATCCCACAACCCCATACACACCCACACAATCCCCCCTCCCCCCTCTCCCCCCTCCCCCCACACACCTGGTCGTACTGCTGGCTGGCCTTGTCAAACCGCTTGCGCACCTCCTGGCACAGGGAACACAAGGAGCAAGAAACAGACAGCGGTTCAACACATGGGTGAGATGAGTCCAGAAAGGCTGGGAGGACGCAGTCGGGATGACAGGACGAGGGGACGGAAGGGTGGACGGGGAACAAGCTGGTAACGAGTGGGAGAGCACGGAAGAACGAGGGTGCTGGAGAAAGGTTGCGTGAGTGCGTGTAGTTGTGTGCACGCAGAGCATGAGGCGCGCGGGTGGCAGTGTGTGTGAGGGAGTGGCGGCATTGCGACCTTGAGGTTGTGCAGGTCCGTGTCCTTGAACTTGGCCAGACGGTCAATGAGCATGTGCTCCACCTGCACTCCCATGCCCTCCCATGCACACACACACACACATGCACACACACAAATGGGGGCGATTGGTGACTGTTAAAGAGCATAAGGGAGAGAAAGAGAGAGGGTAGAGGAAAGAGGGAGGGTGAAGGAGAATGCGAGAACGAGGGAGAGACTTTAGGAGCGGGGAGGGTGAAAAGGCGTGCAGCAGGCGTGGGAAACCTGTGATTTGAGAATGTCCTTGTGCGACCTGAGCTCCTTTAGGGTGTCTATGAATGGCGTTAGCACTGGACCTGCAGTACCATGCAGACCCACGCACATGCAGGCATGCACACATGCAGGCATGCACACATGCAGGCATGCACACATGCAGGCATGCACACATGCAGGCATGCACACATGCAGGCATGCACACATGCAGGCATGCACACATGCAGGCATGCAGGCATGCACACATGCAGGCATGCAGGCATGCACACATGCACACATGCACACATGCAGACATGCAGGCATGCACACATGCAGACATGCACACATGCATGCATGCACACATGCAGACATGCAGGCATGCACACATGCACACATGCACACATGCACACATGCACACATGCAGACACAGTGGGGGGCAGAATGCGGAGCATGACGTCAGGGTAGAGTCGGCACATTAGTCAACAGAATAACCTGGCAAACATGAATGGCAACAGAGCTGCGAACTCGGGCGATGAGAGCAGGTTGGCAGCGCACGTGGGAGCGGCGCACCTCCGATGGACACACTGAGCGAGTCCTCGTGGCTGCTCGCGAAGCCGTCTATTGCATTCGCAAACGCCAGCTCTGCGTCCCTTGCCTCCACCATGCTGTCGCTGCTCATACGCCATGCCATGCCATGCCATGCCATGCCGTGCCATACCATGCCATGCCATGCCATGCCATGCCATGCCATGCCATGCCATGCCATGCCGTGCCATGCCATGCCATGCCATGTCATGCCACCATCACCGCCCCATGCCATGCCAAGCCATACCATACCATGGTCCATGCCGTACAGAGCATTGAATTGTTATGTGTTACCCATGGCATGGAATGGGAGGCACAGTAGGGTGGGGGAATGAAGAAACGGTGGAATGAGGAGGCAGGTAAAGCGGGGATGCGAGTAGGGAAAGCGGCATTGGCACGCAAGATGATAGAAAGAATTACGACTGGTGAGCAACCATGCGGGGGAGGCACGGAGGGATTGGGAGGCAGTGAGTGCGAGGGACACGGCGGCATGGCAGCAGAGGCGGCACCTGTACTTGCGGCAGCTCTTGTGCAGCTTGTTGCACCGCTCCCGCAGCACCTCCGCGCTCTCCTCCAGCGCCTGTAGCTGCCCACGCACAACCAGGGGCGAGAGGCGGCCATCGGGACTCGCGCGAGCGGACGGTGAGAGCGGAACGAGGCGCGCGAGGTGACACAGGGAGTTTGGACACAGCGACGGTTAAGACCGAGTTTCGGAATGAAGCATTAAGGAATGCGAAACATTAGGGACAATGGAAGCACTCCGTCCCAGACAACAGGCTAATTGGTATAAACTTCAAACAAGCACATATAGGCGATGACACGAAGAAAGCTTCGTTGCACGGACCTGCCGGCGAAACATAGGAGAGTCATCGAGTCGCGCGAACAGCATGATCGCGAGCAAATGCTGGCGTCAGAAAGTCAAGCCTGTTGTAGAAACCGATCTGGAAACTGGATCTTGATTGGCGGAGAACAGCGGAGGAGCGTAACGGGCACAGCAACAACCTGAATGGATTCTAAGGGGCTCGGCGGTGAGGTCTCAGCAAGCGTCGTCAGATTATGGACAGCGTAATGTGCGGCGTCTTATCAATTCATGGATGGGAGGGCTTTGGGAGATGTCAGTTGTGGTGTGGGTGTTGTGTCTCCCAGCTCTCGCTAAGGAGATATTGACTCCCATCATCTGCACATTCCTTTGAACTAGTTTGGGTTATATAACAACCTGGAAAATATTAGTGCAACCATGTTCAACAAAGGGGACTGTGATAAACGAATACACACAAACTAGTGAGAAAAACTCAAATTCGGTTCAAAATCGAGCATCTCATATTTTATACTAGTGGCCTGAAATGTGCGGTTAATTTTGTATTGGAAACTCATTTCTACATCATTAAATTAACCAAGATGACATCAGCAATAAGTGTCGGTGAATTCAGACATCGCAAAATTATTGTCTACAATATGGACAGAGTACCCGAGTAGCTCCCTTGCGCCTCCCATAAGCAGATAGAGTAACCCCCCTCCGTGCCCTTTCCAACCCCAACCACCCTAAAAAACGTCCCTCACCTCTCTTAGCCCATCCCCCCTTCCCCCCCAAGTCCCTCGCTTCTTTACCAGCCCAGCCCATCTCCCTTTTGTCCCTTCCCCTGCACCTTTTTTTAACCCAACCTCCCCTTCCTTCCACCCTCATAAGTACCTCGCACCTCTCCCAGCCCAACTCTTAGGGTGTAAATGTCAAATGTTATTGTTTGTTATAGGTTGTAGTGAGGTGCTCCTTAGTGAGTACAACTCAGTTAGGGTTTCATATTTGTATTGCCTTGCTTTCCTACGCCCTAGCGCCCTCCGTGCCCTAGCGCGCCTCCGCGCCCTACGCGCCCTCCGTCACGCGCCCTAGCGCCCTCCGTTCCCTAGTGCCCTCCGCGCCCTAGCGCACCTCCGCGCCTCACGCGCCCTCCGTCACGCGCTTAAGCGCCCTCCACGCCCTAGCGCCCTCCGCGCACCTAGCCCGCGCCCCCCCGCACCGTCCGCGCCTAGCCCGCGCCCGAGCGCCGTCCGCGCCTAGCCCGCGCCCGAGCCTCGCGCCCTCGCCTTAGCCCGCGCCTCGCGCCTTAGCCCGCGCCCGAGCGCCGCCCGCGCCTCGCGCCCTCCGCACTTAGCCCCGCCCTCCGCGCCGTCCGCGCCCTCCGCGTCAACCGCGCCCTCCGTGCCTAGCCCGCGCCGAGCCCGCGCCCTCGCCTTAGCCCGCGCCCTACCGACGCCCTCGCCACAGGCCGCGCCCAGCCCACGCGCCACCTCCTCCTAACGCCCCAACCGCCCCTCCTCACCTAGCCAGAGCGCCCTCCTAGCTCGCGCCCTCACCCAACCCGCACTAGGCACGTGGTTCCTTCTACCCCTCCACCGCCCTGTTCCCCGGGCTCAAACCGTTCCTACTGCTATTGGCTTTCCGCTCAGCGGCTGGCAGCCGCTTCTCTCTCCGGTCACTCGATTTTGACCCGGGTCGCACCTAGCTCCTAGCCTCTAGCCCCTAGCCCGGTTTCCTCCGTACCCTCCGCCTAGTCTCCACTGGCGCTCCTAGGACTCCTAGTTTCACCTCCTCCGTCGCTAGCTGTTCTCCCTCCTCGCTCCTAGCTCCGCCTGCTCCGTACTCCAACCGCCGCTAGCCTATCCTCCACTATGGACTCCTCCCGCCGCCTTCGCTTTGATGCGGAGGGACGTCCGATAGAGTTCGGCACCTGGCTCCGCCAGACTCAGCGCTACCTCACCAGTCAGCGCCAGGACGGCGCCACCTTGTACGCCCACGCGTCCGGCGCCCTCCAGGCACCCCGGCGTCCCGAAGCCCTACCGGCCGAGCCCCCCCCCGACTCCGGAGGCGCAGGCGGACTACGATCGCCTCGTCTTGGCGGGGGATGTTTGGGACTCCCGTGACGCTGCGGCTGCACTCGCGCTGACAGAGCTCCTTCCACCGACTGAGGCCGCTTACTTCGACCTGGTAGAGACTGCGAAGGAGGTTTATGATGCTATTTCTGCACGTTATTCCACCCCTTCCTCTGCCTCCCTCAGCCGCATCCTCATGCCGTTCGTGTTTCCCGACCTCGGCTCGTTTGCGACTGTCTCCGACCTAGCCACCCACTTGCGTTCCCTTGTCGCTAGCTACCGTGCAGCTTGCACTGAGGCTCAGCTTCTTGTTGCTCCCCCTCCTATTTGGCTCACCGTCCACTAGGTAGTCACTCGTCTACCTGACTGCCTCTCCACTGCCCGTGACGCGCTTCTCCAGCAGCACCCCAGTGAGCTTACGATTGATCTTCTCGCGACCATTCTCGGGAAGATCGAGAGTAGCATCCTCTCTGTTGCCTCGGCCACTGACGCAGTCGCTCCCCGCCTGTTTGAGGGGTGTGCTGTCCCCCAGCTTCCCACCTTCACTGCTACTCGTGCCTCTGCTGCTGTGTCGGTCTCTGAGGATACTACAGCTGTTTCTGTCGCTGACTGGCGGAAACGGGGCAAGGGAGGCAAGAAAGGGGGGAAGGGGGGTGGCGGCGGTGGAGGAGGTGGCGGTGGTGGAGGCGGCACTGGGGGCGGCAGTGGTGGCGGCGGCGTTAGTACACTAGGCGGAGGGAGCCCTGGAGGAGGTGCTGGCGCACATGCTGGAGGAGGTTCGACCAGCGGTGGTGCGGGGACCCAGCAGCAGCAGCCACAGCAGAGCCAGCAGCAGCAGCAGGGACAACAGCAGCGGTAGGCACCACAGCAGTATCAGTCGTGGGGACCCCCGCTGCAGTGGGGTCCGCAGCACCACTAGGGCCCTCCGCCACAGTGGGGACCTGGAGGACTCGGGAGCACTGGCCGCAGGAGCAGCACTACCAGCTGGGCCCCGCGCCCCCCGCGGCGCGACACCGGCCCCTGCGACCACTGGTGCGTCACCGGACCGGGCAGTCCCTGTGTCTGCGGCCGCGACGACCACTCTGCGGCGAGGTGCTTCCGCCGCCTTGACAACCTCTACCGTGCACGCTGGGGTCCTGAGGCGACCATCCCGCGCTGGGCTCGCCTACTAGCCCGTAAGATTCCTGTATTTGGATTGTCTATGGACGATGCTCGTCAGTATGCTTTGCATGCTGATGTTGACTATAGTGCTGATGGATTTGTGTGCTTGCGTATTCGTAGTCTAGGATGCTTGCCTCCTGTTAGTGTAGACCTGTGCCTCTCTAGTCTAGGTGCTTGTGTTTCTGCTCTAGGTGCTTGTGTAGCCTCCGGACCTGGCACACCTCCGGCTGAGGTGTCCCTGTCTTTCACGCTGGACTCTGGCGCGTCGCAGTGTTTCTTCCGCGACCACACGACCCTCACACCACTCCTTGCTCCGGTTCCGGTAGATCTGGCTGATCCTTCTTCAGGACCAGCCGTTGCGCGCAGCTCCACCACCCTACCGTGCCATGTGGTCCCCTCGGGTGTCATGCGCGGCCTCCACATCCCCTCGTTCACTCGGAACTTGGTGGGTGTTGGATACCTCCAGGACAGGGGGATCACCGTTACCTTTGTGGGGGGTGGGAGGACTGCGGTCTGTACAAACGCTGCTACAAGTGTTGTTCTGGCCACGTTCACCAGGGAGCCCCGCTCCGGTCTCTACGTTCTCCACACCGAGCGCTCCCCGGTTGCTTCTTCCGCTCAGGTCGCTGCGTCCCCTCCGGTCCTAGTGTCTAGTCCGGTTGCTGTGTCTGGTCAGGTAGTGGTGTCTGGTCAGGTTGCTGCGTCTTGCTCCTGTCGGTCCCTAGCCCACCCGACCATCTTGTGGCACCACCGCCTTGGCCACCTGTCGCTCCCCCGCCTCCGCAGCATGGCCAGTCACAGTCTTGTCTCAGGTCTCCCGCGCGTCTTTCCGTCGCTCCCTCCCTCGCTTGCTCCACCTTGCACTCCTTGCGTCGCCGACCACCTGCGCGCCACTCCGCACTCCTCCTCCCTTCGTCCGGCCACTGCTCCCTTCCAGACTCTCCACTTGGACGTCTGGGGCCCTGCCTCTACGCTGGGACCTGAGAGGGAGCGCTACTTTCTAGTGGTCGTTGACGACTACTCCAGGTACACCACGGTGTTTCCTCTCGCGAAGAAGTCCGAGGTGACTTCTACGCTGGTCCGGTGGCTTCTGGCCACTGAGGGCACTCGTGGTAGTCGTGTCCGGTGTCTCCACTCCGACCGTGGGGGTGAGTTTCGCTCCGGCGTCCTTGCCGGGTTCTGCGGCGAGCAGGGCATCAGACAGTCCTGGACGCTGCCGGAGTCCCCACAGCAGAATGGGGTTGCTGAGCGCCGCATTGGCTTGGTCATGGACATCGCCCGCACGTCCATAATCCATGCCCGTGCGCCCCATTTTCTGTGGCCCTACGCGCTTCTCTACGTCGCACACCAGCTGAACCTCCAGCCGCGTGTCTCGCGGCCAGAGGTTTCACCGACCCGTCTTTGGACCGGGTCCCCTTGTGTTGGGTCGGCCTTTCGTGTCTGGGGCTACCTTGCGCTTGTCCGCGACACCTCTACGGACAAGCTATCGGCTCGCGCCATCCCCTGTGTCTTCCTTGGTTTCCCGATGGGCTCTCCCGACTACTCCTTTTACCACCCGCCCCTCCACCAGTTTCTCGACTCTCGTGACGTCCGGTTTGACGAGTCCGTGTCCTACTGCACCCGGTACCCCTGTCGAGGACTCCCGGTTCCCCCTCCCCCCCTCTTCATCGCACCCTCTCCTCCCCCTGCTCCCGCTCCTCCGGTACCCCCGCCCCCCCCCTGGTCCTGCCCCGTCAGGTGTGTCTCACGCTACCCCTCTACCCTCGGTCACGCGTCAGGTAGAGAGTAAAATATCAAGTATCTGATAGGAAAGTTCAAACGGTCAACCCTCACCGTAGTGAAACGTACTCCACACGAATATTGTTAGTTTACACATACACTTTTGCATGTGCACATTATAGGCCAAGTTGGGTTGCTCTGTAGAGGATCGGGTTTGGTTCGTACCACAACTGCATGCCCTCCCTAATTCTTGTCATTCCTTGTTTTGTTGATATGGTGCCAAATTAGTTTAGGTAATCGTTTCCGCCTCTCCTACTCTAGCTTATCATAGTAACGCCCATTAGAGCATCCTTATCGAGCCCCCTAGATCGCCCCTAGCGCACCCCCTTACAGCGCCCCTAGCGCACCCGCGAGTTACTTCCACCGGCCCCCAGCAGCGCCTGGTACGGCCCTCCCCCGCCGCCCCCCCCGCCTATGCGCTCAGCGGCCTGTGCGCTCTCGTCCCCCCGGGCGAGCTCCATCTCCTTGTCGCGCTGGTACTCGCCCATGCGCTCCCCCAGCACCGCCTGCTCCTGGTTCCCATGCTCCCGCGCCTGCTGCGCGTATGTCAGCACCTGGAAAGGAGCATGGGGATGGTAGGTGGACGTAGGCGGTTGGTGGTGTAGTGCAGGAGAGGAGGATGAGGAGTGGAGAGTGCGGGTGGTGGTCACAAGTAGCGGGGCCCTGTGAGCAACGCATGTGGGGAGGAGGTTGTGAGGGATGTGCGTTCGGACATGCATACCTGATGGATGTACGGCTCCAGTGCATGCAGCACCTCGTAGCTCTGCCTCCCATGCCATGGCGCACCGGATGGGGGGGAAGGGGTGGGGAAGGGACGGGGTTTGGTGGCGGGGGAAAGAAGTGGGAGTGAACAGGCCTACCGAGAAAGCACCTTTGAGGAGAGAACAGGGCCAACGGGAGGTGTGCGGAAGGGAGAGCGGGGGAAGGGGGGAAGGGGGGGGGTTGAACAAAGTGTTATAGAACTGGCATGTAGCATGCACCGTATGCAGATGTGACGTCCACATGCATCAGGCAGGCCCACAGACACACCATACACGATGCATGCACACGCGGCACATAAGAGAGCCTCCTGGAGTGGAGAGGCGCACCTGTTTGTAGAAGCGCAGGTGGGCATCCATGGTGGAGGCAATGGACTCTATGAACTCATACTTCTTCCTCGAGTCTATGCTCGACAGCGCTGCCACCTGCCATGCCATGCCATGCCATGCCATGCCATGCCATGCCATGCCATGTGCAGGAGTTCAGGAGAAGGAGAAGGGGTGGGTGGGAGGGGCGGGGTCGTGAAACCACAAGGAGGAAAGAGCTCGAAGTGATGTGCTGTTGGTTTAGCCGAGGCGAGAACTTGCACATGGACGTGCGGGTAAAGTCGACCGCACCATGAAAAAACATTTGCTGCAACTGATCCCCCAATACCCCCTCCCATCACTGCTTTTTCCAGGAATGCACACAGCCTCAGCTGGACCACACAAGGCCCCTCTTGCAAGGCAGATTGCACGAGCATGCAGGAAGCAGAAGGCAGGCAACGAGGGGAGGCAGAGGGGGCGCAAGCAGGGCGAGTGGGCGTACGAGGGCGAATCTGGCCTTCTCGTAGTGCATCCTGGCGGTCTGAAAGTCGTCCTCCGCCTCCCCCATGACCTCCGCGCGCGTGTCCTTCTTCATTGACAGAAACCGCTCCCTCATCTGCCCCCCTCACAGGCCATGCACCACAGTGAGGTACGGTCGGGCGGAAGGGTGAGGTGAGTGAAGGGGCAGAAAGGAGGAGCGGAGGGTATTGCAGGTGTGGGGAGGTAGTGAGGGTTGTGGCACAGCAGCATGGAGTGAAAACGATGGTACCCAATGGCAGCACCAAGTTCATTCGTGCTGCGCTGAAGGTAAGAGCAGGAATTGTATTGCACAAGTCATTGCAAAAACCGCAACACAACCCCACACCTTCACTATCCCACAACCCCATACACACCCACACAATCCCCCCTCCCCCCTCTCCCCCCTCCCCCCACACACCTGGTCGTACTGCTGGCTGGCCTTGTCAAACCGCTTGCGCACCTCCTGGCACAGGGAACACAAGGAGCAAGAAACAGACAGCGGTTCAACACATGGGTGAGATGAGTCCAGAAAGGCTGGGAGGACGCAGTCGGGATGACAGGACGAGGGGACGGAAGGGTGGACGGGGAACAAGCTGGTAACGAGTGGGAGAGCACGGAAGAACGAGGGTGCTGGAGAAAGGTTGCGTGAGTGCGTGTAGTTGTGTGCACGCAGAGCATGAGGCGCGCGGGTGGCAGTGTGTGTGAGGGAGTGGCGGCATTGCGACCTTGAGGTTGTGCAGGTCCGTGTCCTTGAACTTGGCCAGACGGTCAATGAGCATGTGCTCCACCTGCACTCCCATGCCCTCCCATGCACACACACACACACATGCACACACACAAATGGGGGCGATTGGTGACTGTTAAAGAGCATAAGGGAGAGAAAGAGAGAGGGTAGAGGAAAGAGGGAGGGTGAAGGAGAATGCGAGAACGAGGGAGAGACTTTAGGAGCGGGGAGGGTGAAAAGGCGTGCAGCAGGCGTGGGAAACCTGTGATTTGAGAATGTCCTTGTGCGACCTGAGCTCCTTTAGGGTGTCTATGAATGGCGTTAGCACTGGACCTGCAGTACCATGCAGACCCACGCACACATGCAGGCATGCACACATGCAGGCATGCACACATGCAGGCATGCACACATGCAGGCATGCACACATGCAGGCATGCACACATGCAGGCATGCACACATGCAGGCATGCACACATGCAGGCATGCAGGCATGCACACATGCAGGCATGCAGGCATGCACACATGCACACATGCACACATGCAGACATGCAGGCATGCACACATGCAGACATGCACACATGCATGCATGCACACATGCAGACATGCAGGCATGCACACATGCACACATGCACACATGCACACATGCACACATGCAGACACAGTGGGGGGCAGAATGCGGAGCATGACGTCAGGGTAGAGTCGGCACATTAGTCAACAGAATAACCTGGCAAACATGAATGGCAACAGAGCTGCGAACTCGGGCGATGAGAGCAGGTTGGCAGCGCACGTGGGAGCGGCGCACCTCCGATGGACACACTGAGCGAGTCCTCGTGGCTGCTCGCGAAGCCGTCTATTGCATTCGCAAACGCCAGCTCTGCGTCCCTTGCCTCCACCATGCTGTCGCTGCTCATACGCCATGCCATGCCATGCCATGCCATGCCGTGCCATACCATGCCATGCCATGCCATGCCATGCCATGCCATGCCATGCCATGCCATGCCGTGCCATGCCATGCCATGCCATGTCATGCCACCATCACCGCCCCATGCCATGCCAAGCCATACCATACCATGGTCCATGCCGTACAGAGCATTGAATTGTTATGTGTTACCCATGGCATGGAATGGGAGGCACAGTAGGGTGGGGGAATGAAGAAACGGTGGAATGAGGAGGCAGGTAAAGCGGGGATGCGAGTAGGGAAAGCGGCATTGGCACGCAAGATGATAGAAAGAATTACGACTGGTGAGCAACCATGCGGGGGAGGCACGGAGGGATTGGGAGGCAGTGAGTGCGAGGGACACGGCGGCATGGCAGCAGAGGCGGCACCTGTACTTGCGGCAGCTCTTGTGCAGCTTGTTGCACCGCTCCCGCAGCACCTCCGCGCTCTCCTCCAGCGCCTGTAGCTGCCCACGCACAACCAGGGGCGAGAGGCGGCCATCGGGACTCGCGCGAGCGGACGGTGAGAGCGGAACGAGGCGCGCGAGGTGACACAGGGAGTTTGGACACAGCGACGGTTAAGACCGAGTTTCGGAATGAAGCATTAAGGAATGCGAAACATTAGGGACAATGGAAGCACTCCGTCCCAGACAACAGGCTAATTGGTATAAACTTCAAACAAGCACATATAGGCGATGACACGAAGAAAGCTTCGTTGCACGGACCTGCCGGCGAAACATAGGAGAGTCATCGAGTCGCGCGAACAGCATGATCGCGAGCAAATGCTGGCGTCAGAAAGTCAAGCCTGTTGTAGAAACCGATCTGGAAACTGGATCTTGATTGGCGGAGAACAGCGGAGGAGCGTAACGGGCACAGCAACAACCTGAATGGATTCTAAGGGGCTCGGCGGTGAGGTCTCAGCAAGCGTCGTCAGATTATGGACAGCGTAATGTGCGGCGTCTTATCAATTCATGGATGGGAGGGCTTTGGGAGATGTCAGTTGTGGTGTGGGTGTTGTGTCTCCCAGCTCTCGCTAAGGAGATATTGACTCCCATCATCTGCACATTCCTTTGAACTAGTTTGGGTTATATAACAACCTGGAAAATATTAGTGCAACCATGTTCAACAAAGGGGACTGTGATAAACGAATACACACAAACTAGTGAGAAAAACTCAAATTCGGTTCAAAATCGAGCATCTCATATTTTATACTAGTGGCCTGAAATGTGCGGTTAATTTTGTATTGGAAACTCATTTCTACATCATTAAATTAACCAAGATGACATCAGCAATAAGTGTCGGTGAATTCAGACATCGCAAAATTATTGTCTACAATATGGACAGAGTACCCGAGTAGCTCCCTTGCGCCTCCCATAAGCAGATAGAGTAACCCCCCTCCGTGCCCTTTCCAACCCCAACCACCCTAAAAAACGTCCCTCACCTCTCTTAGCCCATCCCCCCTTCCCCCCCAAGTCCCTCGCTTCTTTACCAGCCCAGCCCATCTCCCTTTTGTCCCTTCCCCTGCACCTTTTTTTAACCCAACCTCCCCTTCCTTCCACCCTCATAAGTACCTCGCACCTCTCCCAGCCCAACTCTTAGGGTGTAAATGTCAAATGTTATTGTTTGTTATAGGTTGTAGTGAGGTGCTCCTTAGTGAGTACAACTCAGTTAGGGTTTCATATTTGTATTGCCTTGCTTTCCTACGCCCTAGCGCCCTCCGTGCCCTAGCGCGCCTCCGCGCCCTACGCGCCCTCCGTCACGCGCCCTAGCGCCCTCCGTTCCCTAGTGCCCTCCGCGCCCTAGCGCACCTCCGCGCCTCACGCGCCCTCCGTCACGCGCTTAAGCGCCCTCCACGCCCTAGCGCCCTCCGCGCACCTAGCCCGCGCCCCCCCGCACCGTCCGCGCCTAGCCCGCGCCCGAGCGCCGTCCGCGCCTAGCCCGCGCCCGAGCCTCGCGCCCTCGCCTTAGCCCGCGCCTCGCGCCTTAGCCCGCGCCCGAGCGCCGCCCGCGCCTCGCGCCCTCCGCACTTAGCCCCGCCCTCCGCGCCGTCCGCGCCCTCCGCGTCAACCGCGCCCTCCGTGCCTAGCCCGCGCCGAGCCCGCGCCCTCGCCTTAGCCCGCGCCCTACCGACGCCCTCGCCACAGGCCGCGCCCAGCCCACGCGCCACCTCCTCCTAACGCCCCAACCGCCCCTCCTCACCTAGCCAGAGCGCCCTCCTAGCTCGCGCCCTCACCCAACCCGCACTAGGCACGTGGTTCCTTCTACCCCTCCACCGCCCTGTTCCCCGGGCTCAAACCGTTCCTACTGCTATTGGCTTTCCGCTCAGCGGCTGGCAGCCGCTTCTCTCTCCGGTCACTCGATTTTGACCCGGGTCGCACCTAGCTCCTAGCCTCTAGCCCCTAGCCCGGTTTCCTCCGTACCCTCCGCCTAGTCTCCACTGGCGCTCCTAGGACTCCTAGTTTCACCTCCTCCGTCGCTAGCTGTTCTCCCTCCTCGCTCCTAGCTCCGCCTGCTCCGTACTCCAACCGCCGCTAGCCTATCCTCCACTATGGACTCCTCCCGCCGCCTTCGCTTTGATGCGGAGGGACGTCCGATAGAGTTCGGCACCTGGCTCCGCCAGACTCAGCGCTACCTCACCAGTCAGCGCCAGGACGGCGCCACCTTGTACGCCCACGCGTCCGGCGCCCTCCAGGCACCCCGGCGTCCCGAAGCCCTACCGGCCGAGCCCCCCCCCGACTCCGGAGGCGCAGGCGGACTACGATCGCCTCGTCTTGGCGGGGGATGTTTGGGACTCCCGTGACGCTGCGGCTGCACTCGCGCTGACAGAGCTCCTTCCACCGACTGAGGCCGCTTACTTCGACCTGGTAGAGACTGCGAAGGAGGTTTATGATGCTATTTCTGCACGTTATTCCACCCCTTCCTCTGCCTCCCTCAGCCGCATCCTCATGCCGTTCGTGTTTCCCGACCTCGGCTCGTTTGCGACTGTCTCCGACCTAGCCACCCACTTGCGTTCCCTTGTCGCTAGCTACCGTGCAGCTTGCACTGAGGCTCAGCTTCTTGTTGCTCCCCCTCCTATTTGGCTCACCGTCCACTAGGTAGTCACTCGTCTACCTGACTGCCTCTCCACTGCCCGTGACGCGCTTCTCCAGCAGCACCCCAGTGAGCTTACGATTGATCTTCTCGCGACCATTCTCGGGAAGATCGAGAGTAGCATCCTCTCTGTTGCCTCGGCCACTGACGCAGTCGCTCCCCGCCTGTTTGAGGGGTGTGCTGTCCCCCAGCTTCCCACCTTCACTGCTACTCGTGCCTCTGCTGCTGTGTCGGTCTCTGAGGATACTACAGCTGTTTCTGTCGCTGACTGGCGGAAACGGGGCAAGGGAGGCAAGAAAGGGGGGAAGGGGGGTGGCGGCGGTGGAGGAGGTGGCGGTGGTGGAGGCGGCACTGGGGGCGGCAGTGGTGGCGGCGGCGTTAGTACACTAGGCGGAGGGAGCCCTGGAGGAGGTGCTGGCGCACATGCTGGAGGAGGTTCGACCAGCGGTGGTGCGGGGACCCAGCAGCAGCAGCCACAGCAGAGCCAGCAGCAGCAGCAGGGACAACAGCAGCGGTAGGCACCACAGCAGTATCAGTCGTGGGGACCCCCGCTGCAGTGGGGTCCGCAGCACCACTAGGGCCCTCCGCCACAGTGGGGACCTGGAGGACTCGGGAGCACTGGCCGCAGGAGCAGCACTACCAGCTGGGCCCCGCGCCCCCCGCGGCGCGACACCGGCCCCTGCGACCACTGGTGCGTCACCGGACCGGGCAGTCCCTGTGTCTGCGGCCGCGACGACCACTCTGCGGCGAGGTGCTTCCGCCGCCTTGACAACCTCTACCGTGCACGCTGGGGTCCTGAGGCGACCATCCCGCGCTGGGCTCGCCTACTAGCCCGTAAGATTCCTGTATTTGGATTGTCTATGGACGATGCTCGTCAGTATGCTTTGCATGCTGATGTTGACTATAGTGCTGATGGATTTGTGTGCTTGCGTATTCGTAGTCTAGGATGCTTGCCTCCTGTTAGTGTAGACCTGTGCCTCTCTAGTCTAGGTGCTTGTGTTTCTGCTCTAGGTGCTTGTGTAGCCTCCGGACCTGGCACACCTCCGGCTGAGGTGTCCCTGTCTTTCACGCTGGACTCTGGCGCGTCGCAGTGTTTCTTCCGCGACCACACGACCCTCACACCACTCCTTGCTCCGGTTCCGGTAGATCTGGCTGATCCTTCTTCAGGACCAGCCGTTGCGCGCAGCTCCACCACCCTACCGTGCCATGTGGTCCCCTCGGGTGTCATGCGCGGCCTCCACATCCCCTCGTTCACTCGGAACTTGGTGGGTGTTGGATACCTCCAGGACAGGGGGATCACCGTTACCTTTGTGGGGGGTGGGAGGACTGCGGTCTGTACAAACGCTGCTACAAGTGTTGTTCTGGCCACGTTCACCAGGGAGCCCCGCTCCGGTCTCTACGTTCTCCACACCGAGCGCTCCCCGGTTGCTTCTTCCGCTCAGGTCGCTGCGTCCCCTCCGGTCCTAGTGTCTAGTCCGGTTGCTGTGTCTGGTCAGGTAGTGGTGTCTGGTCAGGTTGCTGCGTCTTGCTCCTGTCGGTCCCTAGCCCACCCGACCATCTTGTGGCACCACCGCCTTGGCCACCTGTCGCTCCCCCGCCTCCGCAGCATGGCCAGTCACAGTCTTGTCTCAGGTCTCCCGCGCGTCTTTCCGTCGCTCCCTCCCTCGCTTGCTCCACCTTGCACTCCTTGCGTCGCCGACCACCTGCGCGCCACTCCGCACTCCTCCTCCCTTCGTCCGGCCACTGCTCCCTTCCAGACTCTCCACTTGGACGTCTGGGGCCCTGCCTCTACGCTGGGACCTGAGAGGGAGCGCTACTTTCTAGTGGTCGTTGACGACTACTCCAGGTACACCACGGTGTTTCCTCTCGCGAAGAAGTCCGAGGTGACTTCTACGCTGGTCCGGTGGCTTCTGGCCACTGAGGGCACTCGTGGTAGTCGTGTCCGGTGTCTCCACTCCGACCGTGGGGGTGAGTTTCGCTCCGGCGTCCTTGCCGGGTTCTGCGGCGAGCAGGGCATCAGACAGTCCTGGACGCTGCCGGAGTCCCCACAGCAGAATGGGGTTGCTGAGCGCCGCATTGGCTTGGTCATGGACATCGCCCGCACGTCCATAATCCATGCCCGTGCGCCCCATTTTCTGTGGCCCTACGCGCTTCTCTACGTCGCACACCAGCTGAACCTCCAGCCGCGTGTCTCGCGGCCAGAGGTTTCACCGACCCGTCTTTGGACCGGGTCCCCTTGTGTTGGGTCGGCCTTTCGTGTCTGGGGCTACCTTGCGCTTGTCCGCGACACCTCTACGGACAAGCTATCGGCTCGCGCCATCCCCTGTGTCTTCCTTGGTTTCCCGATGGGCTCTCCCGACTACTCCTTTTACCACCCGCCCCTCCACCAGTTTCTCGACTCTCGTGACGTCCGGTTTGACGAGTCCGTGTCCTACTGCACCCGGTACCCCTGTCGAGGACTCCCGGTTCCCCCTCCCCCCCTCTTCATCGCACCCTCTCCTCCCCCTGCTCCCGCTCCTCCGGTACCCCCGCCCCCCCCTGGTCCTGCCCCGTCAGGTGTGTCTCACGCTACCCCTCTACCCTCGGTCACGCGTCAGGTAGAGAGTAAAATATCAAGTATCTGATAGGAAAGTTCAAACGGTCAACCCTCACCGTAGTGAAACGTACTCCACACGAATATTGTTAGTTTACACATACACTTTTGCATGTGCACATTATAGGCCAAGTTGGGTTGCTCTGTAGAGGATCGGGTTTGGTTCGTACCACAACTGCATGCCCTCCCTAATTCTTGTCATTCCTTGTTTTGTTGATATGGTGCCAAATTAGTTTAGGTAATCGTTTCCGCCTCTCCTACTCTAGCTTATCATAGTAACGCCCATTAGAGCATCCTTATCGAGCCCCCTAGATCGCCCCTAGCGCACCCCCTTACAGCGCCCCTAGCGCACCCGCGTTGCGCCCCTTCGCGCGCCAGCCAGCGCAAGCCACGCCAGCCCCGCTTGCCCGCGCCGGCCCACAGCAGCCGTGCTAGCCCGTGCCGCCCCCCGCCAGTCCGCGCCAGCAGCGTCGGCCGCACCAACTTCGCCAGCCCGCGCTAGCCAGCGCCAGCCAGCGCGCCAGCCTGCACCAGCAGCGCACCAGTAGCGCGGCAGCCCACGCATGTCAATGTACAGCAAGCGCCACCCACGCGCCGCCCCACGCCAACCCGCGCACCGGCTCGCGTGCCGCCCGAGCCACTCGCACGCCTGCCCGTGCGAGCCCGCTCGCCACCTGCGCCGGCCGCGCACCGCCGGCGCCAGCCACGCGCCTGCTTGTGCTTCGGCGCCCGTGCTGAGCCGCTCGTTTTGGGCCTCTGGCGTCCCCTCCGAATTGGCTTGCGCTGCTACGCCGTGGTTTGCATGTGTTTCTTATAGACATGCTTGATGTATATTCTGCTCTGTATGCTGTTGACTATTGCGTTGATGGATCTTATTGTCTGTGTGTGCCTATTCCAGGACATATAGCTATCTCTAATATAGGATATTATGATGTTGCTTACCCATGTGCGTCCAACCACTCACGCCTCACCCTCCTTCACACTTGACTCCGGCGCGTTTCAGTCTTTCTTCCGCAACCGCACTACCTTCTTCGTAGACCTACACTGGGGATGCCTAGTTGATTACAGGTCAGAATGATTTCTTCCTTAATCCCTTAACATAAATCATATTCCGTGGTTCCGTGCGTTATTATTTCCTTCTGGGGCCTTTCCAACTCAAATCTTATATTATGGTACATTCATGCGAAGACGCGCCACAAATTTGCGCGTCACAAAGCCCAAAAACCGAGTCGCGATCGCCAAAAACCGTGTCGCACTCGCCAATTCCGAATCGCGCTCGCAAAAATTGGTGAAATTGGCGAGCGCGACCCGGTTTTTGGGCTTTGTGACGCTCAAATTTGTGGCGCGTCTTCGCAGGAATGTACCTTTAGGGTACGTATCCCGTATCAGACATAAGGTTTGACACGAAGTGGAGGTTCGAAAGACCCGAAGTGGCTCGTTTGTGGGGCGATTGGAAGTTCGGAAGAGAAAAATTGGAGACTAAGGGCTCATAATTTGATGTTTGACACGCGATACGAATGCACCCTTAAAGAAAGAAGCATTCAAATGAAAACCTGCCTCATATCTGCATCAAAAGCAAAGTTGGTTTGTGCAACTTTTGATTCAGGAAGTACTATGGAGTTACCCTCCAAATGATTAATGAGGGTGCTGACCTAGCATTTGTAACTGTTAATGTTGCAGCTGAAGGAATAGCGAGGCCGTTCTTAATAAAGAGTTCTGCACCACACCTCAAACTCCCCACCTCTTTCCGAGGTACGGAGGCCTCCGCGCCTCGACTTGTGGACACAACATGTCCAGAAACGACCTTCCCCAGATCAACGCAACAAGTCTGGCTGCACCACACGGAAACATCCCCACACCTGCCCTGTAAATTAATTGGAGTGTTTGCTGAACATTATAGTAATAAGCCAAGTAAACATGGCAATGTTTGGGATGGTATGCGCTGGAGATTTCGTTTCATTACGTAGGGTGTATGGTATAGAGAATACATGAGGTAGTTGGTGAAGGAATGAATGTCGCCAGGTTCCAAGCTTCCGGCGCTGGTTGGTGTTGTTGGTTCGCTGGATCAAGTTCATCGTCCTGCTATGGGCCTGGGGCAGAAGTTGGAAGTATCGCCACGGTCGCTGACCGTGGTATGGATGGGTCAACCCGGACCGTCAACACCCTGCTCAAGCAAGCTTGCAGAGCAAACCCGAGTCACGAACGCAGTTCATGAAATATGCAATGGCTGGTGTGTGACGGAGTCAGGCTCAAGTGGTAAGGCGAGAACCACTCCAGATTGCACAACATCGCATCCAGCTGCTTTGATTGGACAGAAAGTGAACTCTTGTGAGTGACCCGAGTTCTTCAAACGTAGCAACCAACCGTACTGTTCTGCTTACGAGTAGAGTTGGAAATGAACAGAGATTCAACACCTCAACGCACCAGGGGGGACAGAATTCTGCTTCCAGGTGGCGCATTGGCTGCCTGTTTACACCTGCGGCAAACAGTCATATTTTCTGCCCCACATTCATGCCACCAACCGACCAAGGAGAAACGTTGCTGATGTCCCTCACTTCCACTCCACATTTAGTGCCTGAGTCCTCCTGACAGAGGTATTCATGAATCATGTTAGGAAGTTTGTCATCGTCACAATACCGATCGTCCACGAGTGATCTTTGACAGTTCCTCATCCTGCCTCTTAGACTGCCACGATGTCAGCTCACCATACAAGATGCTGCTGGTGATCCCTCGACAGCACACATATCGATTTAGTGGACAGATCAGATGGCTCTGAGCCATCTCCGGAAGCGCGAACGCCTTCTTAGTCCGCCTGAACGTCGCCCGTACCTTTCATCAAGCCCTCGTGCTAGCAGTTGGTGTCTACGGTTAAGCTCTCCGGTCCTTCAGCTTCTCATACTGGTTACAGCGGTCGGAAGCAGTGTTATCACAGCAGGAGCTCAGGTGGAAGCCGCATTGTCGTTCAATGACGTGGTGAGTGCACATATCACAAATCATGGCTTTTTTAAAAAGGAGAAGAAGCAAAAGATTAGGGAAAAACGGGTACATTGAGGAGATTGGGGGTTTGTTGGTATGTAGCGGACCATTAGGGCTTACGTAATTGGCGATAATTCGAGCAATGTCGAAGGAAGTGGTACGATTTGAGGAGGATCGGGGTCGATCTCCTCAGAATTGCTCTCGCAAAATTGGTCGCGGCTCTACAGGGTGCAGGGTAGTATTGTGTGGGTGCAGTGCCAGAGTGTTCATTCCGAACCCTCTATCTTTAAGATTGCCAAATTGCACCGCATGCTAAGAAGCACGTGACATTGAATATCGAATTCGAAAGCTTTACGCTTATGGTACTCTGTCAACGCCTTATTGCATTTGGTTCCCCTACATCTCTCTTGCATCCTTCTCAACCCGGAGTTCCACCTAACTTCCCACTCACCCTTGTCGTCGTTTCAGATCGACGAGTCGCCTCGCCTTCGCCTGGACCACGAGAGAGAGTACATATCTCACGAGGTCGGCTCTCTATCCGCCACGTCTGCTTATGCGGACAGCACCGCCGGTCCGTATTCCGCGTACGCCGACCGGGATCATTACCCCCCAACAATACCACCACCCGAGTTAAAAACTACCGGAAGCAGTTCGAGCCTGACAGATGACTCCTGGGCCGATGATAACTTCGACACCAGGTCCGTACATGCTATGTGCTGCGAAAGGGCGCGAGAGTGCCGCGCTTTTCCCCTTCGTCCCTCCAATGGTCTCCCCTCTCTTGCACGCACAATATTTCACTGCATGCCAGCACCCACCAGCACGAACCGCATCGTCATGCCTCCACCTCGTTATTCCATCCCTCCCATGCGCTCCCTCTGAACCCCCAACCTCCGTCCGTCCGGTCCGTGCGCGGGCCAGGTGCGCGCCTGACGCGAGTGCGGCGTCGCTGGTGCCGCAGGTGCAGTCGGAGGACGAGTGCGTGGAGGACCTCCGGGGCTTCCCCGCGTTCGACGTCAAGCAGCACGACGTGCGCCTCTTCGCATGCCTGGCGCACCGCTTCCTGCAGCCGTGGATGGGCATTCCGGGGATCAAGGAGGGGCTGGGAGCCCGCGGCATGATCGCGCCGGGTCTGCTGAACGCCATGGCGAAGGTTGGCGGGGTGATGTCGTGCTCCGCGCACGTGCGCATAGTGAAAGGCGCCATCTACTTCCGCTATGGCGGGTTCGAGTTCGAATGGTACCGCATGCGGCGCTTCGTGTTGTCCATTCTGATGATCCAGGAGGCCATTCGCATGTATGGGCTCACCTCGCTCAACGCCGAGTTCTTTCTCAACACGTGCGACCTGCCCGCCAGCACTGCTGGGTCACGCGCCAGTGAGAAGGCCGGGATGCCCATCTTCAGCCCGCAGGGGTCGCTAGGGTTTGTGGATATTCTCTACCCCGACCCGGTGGACCTCTCCATGCACTACTACAGCGAAAACAACGGCACGGTGAGCAGCCATTGCAGCAAAAGAAGTGTAGGTCTACTTCTCCTTTGAACGCTGTTGTACCCTGGTTCATTCGCACTGCCAATTCTCCCTCAAAGACCCCTTGCCTCCTCAACCCTGCTCCTATTCAGCTAAGCCAACCCCCAGCTTCCCCCCCCCTCCCTCCCCCCCTTCCCCCCTACTCCGTCCCCCCTCAATTCCTTCCCCCCTCCCTCTTTTCCACCCCCCTCTTTTCATGTGGCTCTCTCGGCCCATCAGATGCCGTGGGAGCGGAAGAGGAGTAAGGCAGTGTTCAGAGGTGCTGCCACAAACTTCAAGATCAATCGGCCCTACCAGTGGAGAGGCAGTCCCAGGTTTAGACTTCACCGGTAAGTGCTCACGTCCACACTCCAACCCTTTTCAGGTGTCCGCTTTTCCCGCTACTCATTCGTGCCTGCTCTTGCCCTAAACATCTCTCCTCCCTTGTTTCCATCTCCATCGCGTCTGGCTCCGTCTTCCTTACACACTCATGCCATGTACTTCCGCCTACCAACCCCCGTCCTTCACCCGTGGCGTGGCGTATCTGTCCATATCCTGTGCGTTGCAGCATGTCGGATGTGCGGCCTGACCTCCTGGACGCCCGCATTATGCGACTCCACGCCGCAAAATACAAAGACCTGTGAGTGTGCTGCACTCGGCTTCGCAACGGAAGGGTAGAGCGGCGGAGTGCGGAGGTTTGAGCAATCTTTTGTCCGCAATAGTTTGCATGAATTTGGTTTTACAATACGTTCGGTTGTTATTCGCCGGAAAGTACCAAATTTGCTTATGGTAGCAATGCAAGAAATAGCTCAGTTGGTGGCTCTCCCGCATTGCCTCATGCACACCTGCTGTGCCATTCCATGTTTGCTATGCAGTTTGAGCAAGGACAAGATCGTGAAGGGCAGGGCATTCAATCGGTCGCAGCTGCAGTCGTACAAGTACGAGCTTGTAGTGGATGGCGGTTCAGGAACGTGCCGTACATGTGGAGTCATGGCCAGTGACCAAGTACGTGCTCTCCCACTTGCACTCTCCTCTCATCTTCCCCGTTGTTCCCTAACCGTGCTTGTCCTGCACCTTTTTCCTCCACATCATACGCCATCTCCTTCACACCTCACAACAGCCCATCACCACTTATGTGATCTCTCCCTGTCTTCATCTCCCACGTGATGGGGCTGTGTGCAGCTGATGATCAAGCAAACGTCAGAGCTGTATCAGTTCTTTGGTCCTCTGCTCTGCCCCTTCCGCCACTTCCTGCCCACGGCCCGCTACTTTGCGGACCTCTTCTCTCGCATTGAGTGGGCTCGAGCCAATGACCAGCAAGCACGGAAGATCAACAAGGAGGCCAACAAGGTTGCAAGGTGGGCCAGCTGTAGCACTTCTTTCCCTGACTTATGTACATCATTCACCTTAAGTTCCGTCCGCTTTTTGCAATCCCCCTGCTTTGATCTCACCTTGATGTTCCATTGACTGCAGCACGGATGTTGAAAGCATTTCTGATCCTTTGCCCCCACACACATTCCCTTGCTTCAGCATTGCCTGCAGCTGGGAGGGAAGGCGACTGTATTGGGCCGTTCTCCTTGTCAAATACTCTGCAAGTGCCATGGAGGATCCCAGCAAGGTAAAGGCGCCTGAGCAGCTATTTGAATGCAAGGATCCACCGAAGCAGCAGGACATTGAGCCGCGACGTAGTGCCAAGGACAAGAGACCGACCCCTCCTCTCTGGCCAGCGTACTGCAGTTCGCCTGAAGAGGATGCCAATCAATCTCCATGTGCACATTTTTGTGAAGGCAAGATGGCGGAGAGCAAATGGAAGTGGCTCACACCAGAGGTCTTCAAGGGGCTGAGGGCATTTCATCCGCCACAAGCCACCTAGAAACGTGTTTTAGTGTTAGTGCAACCATTCATGATTTGGAACGGCCAGACTGGAAGCAAGCACATGAATGTAAGTGGACAAGTCCCAATAGGAAGTTGAGCCAATCCTGCAGAATCGAACAGCGTTGATGCAATGCACACGCATAATTGTTAGCTCAAATTTCTTTCATTCGCCTTGTTCTACTGTTGTACATTGTGGTAAGGAAATATGTGTTGTGCATTGCACAAAGAACTGCATGATTCACTTCACGGGCCGAATCAATATGAAAGCAGCATCTCACTCATGCCCTGATGGCACAAACCACGTCATCCAGAGAGCTATTTTTGCTGACAGTGAATTCAATCTAAGAAACGTTTTCGACATAAGTCGTAATGCCATTGGTGGTTCTGGCTATAACGAGGACATCCTTGGTGCCCAGGGTTCGTTTCCCGGACGTGCTGTCGGAAGGAGTGAGGGCAGTCAATGAGTGAGCATGGGAGGAGTGCAGCACATGGCACTTGAACAGCCTCACAACCAGTAGGCTGTCTCCCATCACATGCATCTCCGCCCTACCCTGCACACACAGCCATGCACACACCGCCACACATGCACACGGGTGTCAGTGCACGCTGCTGCTGGGACAGGTGAGACGAACTGCAGAATGGTGGGTTGGGGGAGTGATGTGAAGGTGAGGAGGAGAGTGAGCGCATGTGGTGGTGGCTGTTGGCAGCATGGTTACCTCTTGTGGCACGTGGAAGGAGGAGGAGAGCGCGTCACACAGGTCCAGAGTGAGATGCTGCAGCGCTGGCAGCTGCCGTTGGGGCAGGGGGAGGGAGCGGAGAGGGGGGCAGGGCGAGATGGAGGGGTGCTGTGATGAGGGGAATGCAAAGGTGAAGTGGATGTGCAGGTAAGGCTGGAACTGCATCATGGTGCTGTGACCCATGTGCCTTACCCCCATGTGCCTTACCCCCATGTGCCTTACCCCCATGTGCCTTACCCCCATGTGCCTTACCCCCATGTGCCTTACCCCCATGTGCCTTACCCCCATGTGCCTTACCCCCATGTGCCTTACCCCCATGTGCCTTACCCCCATGTGCCTTACCCCCATGTGCCTTACCCCCATGTGCCTTACCCCCATGTGCCTTACCCCCATGTGCCTTACCCCCATGTGCCTTACCCCCATGTGCCTTACCCCCATGTGCCTTACCCCCATGTGCCTTACCCCCATGTGCCTTACCCCCATGTGCCTTACCCCCATGTGCCTTACCCCCATGTGCCTTACCCCCATGTGCCTTACCCCCATGTGCCTTACCCCCATGTGCCTTACCCCCATGTGCCTTACCCCCATGTGCCTTACCCCCATGTGCCTTACCCCCATGTGCCTTACCCCCATGTGCCTTACCCCCATGTGCCTTACCCCCATGTGCCTTACCCCCATGTGCCTTACCCCCATGTGCCTTACCCCCATGTGCCTTACCCCCATGTGCCTTGCCTTACCCCCATGTGCCTTACCCCCATGTGCCTTACCCCCATGTGCCTTACCCCCATGTGCCTTACCCCCATGTGCCTTACCCCCATGTGCCTTACCCCCATGTGCCTTACCCCCATGTGCCTTACCCCCATGTGCCTTACCCCCATGTGCCTTACCCCCATGTGCCTTACCCCCATGTGCCTTACATGTGCCTTACCCCCATGTGCCTTACCCCCATGTGCCTTACCCCCCATGTGCCTTACCCCCATGTGCCTTACCCCCATGTGCCTTACCCCCATGTGCCTTACCCCCATGTGCCTTACCCCCATGTGCCTTACCCCCATGTGCCTTACCCCCATGTGCCTTACCCCCATGTGCCTTACCCCCATGTGCCTTACCCCCATGTGCCTTACCCCCATGTGCCTTACCCCCATGTGCCTTACCCCCATGTGCCTTACCCCCATGTGCCTTACCCCCATGTGCCTACCCCCATGTGCCTTACCCCCATGTGCCTTACCCCCATGTGCTCTTACCCCCATGTGCCTTACCCCCATGTGCCTTACCCCCATGTGCCTTACCCCCATGTGCCTTACCCCCATGTGCCTTACCCCCATGTGCCTTACCCCCATGTGCCTTACCCCCATGTGCCTTACCCCCATGTGCCTTACCCCCATGTGCCTTACCCCCATGTGCCTTACCCCCATGTGCCTTACCCCCATGTGCCTTACCCCCATGTGCCTTACCCCCATGTGCCTTACCCCCATGTGCCTTACCCCCATGTGCCTTACCCCCATGTGCCTTACCCCCATGTGCCTTACCCCCATGTGCCTTACCCCCATGTGCCTTACCCCCATGTGCCTTACCCCCATGTGCCTTACCCCCATGTGCCTTACCCCCATGTGCCTTACCCCCATGTGCCTTACCCCCATGTGCCTTACCCCCATGTGCCTTACCCCCATGTGCCTTACCCCCATGTGCCTTACCCCCATGTGCCTTACCCCCATGTGCCTTACCCCCATGTGCCTTACCCCCATGTGCCTTACCCCCATGTGCCTTACCCCCATGTGCCTTACCCCCATGTGCCTTACCCCCATGTGCCTTACCCCCATGTGCCTTACCCCCATGTGCCTTACCCCCATGTGCCTTACCCCCATGTGCCTTACCCCCATGTGCCTTACCCCCATGTGCCTTACCCCCATGTGCCTTACCCCCATGTGCCTTACCCCCATGTGCCTTACCCCCATGTGCCTTACCCCCATGTGCCTTACCCCCATGTGCCTTACCCCCATGTGCCTTACCCCCATGTGCCTTACCCCCATGTGCCTTACCCCCATGTGCCTTACCCCCATGTGCCTTACCCCCATGTGCCTTACCCCCATGTGCCTTACCCCCATGTGCCTTACCCCCATGTGCCTTACCCCCATGTGCCTTACCCCCATGTGCCTTACCCCCATGTGCCTTACCCCCATGTGCCTTACCCCCATGTGCCTTACCCCCATGTGCCTTACCCCCATGTGCCTTACCCCCATGTGCCTTACCCCCATGTGCCTTACCCCCATGTGCCTTACCCCCATGTGCCTTACCCCCATGTGCCTTACCCCCATGTGCCTTACCCCCATGTGCCTTACCCCCATGTGCCTTACCCCCATGTGCCTTACCCCCATGTGCCTTACCCCCATGTGCCTTACCCCCATGTGCCTTACCCCCATGTGCCTTACCCCCATGTGCCTTACCCCCATGTGCCTTACCCCCATGTGCCTTACCCCCATGTGCCTTACCCCCATGTGCCTTACCCCCATGTGCCTTACCCCCATGTGCCTTACCCCCATGTGCCTTACCCCCATGTGCCTTACCCCCATGTGCCTTACCCCCATGTGCCTTACCCCCATGTGCCTTACCCCCATGTGCCTTACCCCCATGTGCCTTACCCCCATGTGCCTTACCCCCATGTGCCTTACCCCCATGTGCCTTACCCCCATGTGCCTTACCCCCATGTGCCTTACCCCCATGTGCCTTACCCCCATGTGCCTTACCCCCATGTGCCTTACCCCCATGTGCCTTACCCCCATGTGCCTTACCCCCATGTGCCTTACCCCCATGTGCCTTACCCCCATGTGCCTTACCCCCATGTGCCTTACCCCCATGTGCCTTACCCCCATGTGCCTTACCCCCATGTGCCTTACCCCCATGTGCCTTACCCCCATGTGCCTTACCCCCATGTGCCTTACCCCCATGTGCCTTACCCCCATGTGCCTTACCCCCATGTGCCTTACCCCCATGTGCCTTACCCCCATGTGCCTTACCCCCATGTGCCTTACCCCCATGTGCCTTACCCCCATGTGCCTTACCCCCATGTGCCTTACCCCCATGTGCCTTACCCCCATGTGCCTTACCCCCATGTGCCTTACCCCCATGTGCCTTACCCCCATGTGCCTTACCCCCATGTGCCTTACCCCCATGTGCCTTACCCCCATGTGCCTTACCCCCATGTGCCTTACCCCCATGTGCCTTACCCCCATGTGCCTTACCCCCATGTGCCTTACCCCCATGTGCCTTACCCCCATGTGCCTTACCCCCATGTGCCTTACCCCCATGTGCCTTACCCCCATGTGCCTTACCCCCATGTGCCTTACCCCCATGTGCCTTACCCCCATGTGCCTTACCCCCATGTGCCTTACCCCCATGTGCCTTACCCCCATGTGCCTTACCCCCATGTGCCTTACCCCCATGTGCCTTACCCCCATGTGCCTTACCCCCATGTGCCTTACCCCCATGTGCCTTACCCCCATGTGCCTTACCCCCATGTGCCTTACCCCCATGTGCCTTACCCCCATGTGCCTTACCCCCATGTGCCTTACCCCCATGTGCCTTACCCCCATGTGCCTTACCCCCATGTGCCTTACCCCCATGTGCCTTACCCCCATGTGCCTTACCCCCATGTGCCTTACCCCCATGTGCCTTACCCCCATGTGCCTTACCCCCATGTGCCTTACCCCCATGTGCCTTACCCCCATGTGCCTTACCCCCATGTGCCTTACCCCCATGTGCCTTACCCCCATGTGCCTTACCCCCATGTGCCTTACCCCCATGTGCCTTACCCCCATGTGCCTTACCCCCATGTGCCTTACCCCCATGTGCCTTACCCCCATGTGCCTTACCCCCATGTGCCTTACCCCCATGTGCCTTACCCCCATGTGCCTTACCCCCATGTGCCTTACCCCCATGTGCCTTACCCCCATGTGCCTTACCCCCATGTGCCTTACCCCCATGTGCCTTACCCCCATGTGCCTTACCCCCATGTGCCTTACCCCCATGTGCCTTACCCCCATGTGCCTTACCCCCATGTGCCTTACCCCCATGTGCCTTACCCCCATGTGCCTTACCCCCATGTGCCTTACCCCCATGTGCCTTACCCCCATGTGCCTTACCCCCATGTGCCTTACCCCCATGTGCCTTACCCCCATGTGCCTTACCCCCATGTGCCTTACCCCCATGTGCCTTACCCCCATGTGCCTTACCCCCATGTGCCTTACCCCCATGTGCCTTACCCCCATGTGCCTTACCCCCATGTGCCTTACCCCCATGTGCCTTACCCCCATGTGCCTTACCCCCATGTGCCTTACCCCCATGTGCCTTACCCCCATGTGCCTTACCCCCATGTGCCTTACCCCCATGTGCCTTACCCCCATGTGCCTTACCCCCATGTGCCTTACCCCCATGTGCCTTACCCCCATGTGCCTTACCCCCATGTGCCTTACCCCCATGTGCCTTACCCCCATGTGCCTTACCCCCATGTGCCTTACCCCCATGTGCCTTACCCCCATGTGCCTTACCCCCACGTGCCTTACCCCCATGTGCCTTACCCCCATGTGCCTTACCCCCATGTGCCTTACCCCCATGTGCCTTGCCCCCATGTGCCTTACCCCCATGTGCCTTACCCCCATGTGCCTTACCCCCATGTGCCTTACCCCCATGTGCCTTACCCCCATGTGCCTTACCCCCATGTGCCTTACCCCCATGTGCCTTACCCCCATGTGCCTTACCCCCATGTGCCTTACCCTGCTAGCCGCATGCTGAATGAAGTCAGAGGGTGCTTGCTTGCCCTGCACAGAGGCCGGCAGACAGACGCGGCACATGGCATGAGGGTGGTGACAGGGGCTAGTGGAGGTTGGGGAGAAACAGAGGCATGCGGGATGCAGGCAGGGGAGAGAGAAGTGGAGAAAGAGGAGTAGAGAGGAGAGAAGGGTGGAGGGGGCAGACGAAGGGGGTGACGGGAGTGAGCGAGACAAATAGAGGGAGTGAGACTAATAGCAGCAAGGCATAGCGGCATACAGAACAGGGCAGCAGGGTGAGGTGCAGAGCAGCGGAGGGAGGGTGAGGCAGTGCCCCCCAGAGTCCCATACAGTGTGGCGCAGGTGCAGTGAGGAGAGGGCGCTGAGGGCGACGAGGGATGCTGGCGCATGGACGCTGAAGAGGTTGGGGCACTCCTGAAGAGGGGAGAGCGGGACAGAAGAGGATGCAGGGTGAGAGAACCGCAGAACGGCAGTGGAACGTGGCAGGGATGGTCAGGGAGAGAGGCGACTAGCAGGAGAGACAGCTGAGCAGTGGTGTGCCGGTTGGTCCTACCGGTCCATGGACCAACTGGCCGGTTGGTCCTACCGGTCCATGGACCAACTGGCCGGTTGGTCCTACCGGTCCATGGACCAACTGGCCGGTTGGTCCTACCGGTCCATGGACCAACTGGCCGGTTGGTCCTACTGGTCCATGTGGATGGTGTGAGGCCGACCAACTCAAGCAAAGGAAACGGTGTGAATGCAGTGCATGGCGGCTCCCCTGCGCACGGGGTGTGTGGTGTAGGCCTTGAATTATTTTTTTAATAAAATACATGTATTGATAACTGGGAGGGCTTACAGTGAGCGTGAGTGAGGTAAGTGCTGGAAAGGAGCTGGCGAGTATGAGAGGCGCATCTGATGGGGACAGAACGAGGGAGAGGAAGGAAAGAGGAGGTGAGGGTAACGAGGATACAAAGGGAAACGAACAAAAGCTTGCAGTGAGATAGGGACGAAACTTGAAACAAGGATGAAGCGGATGGGGATACAGCAGAGGCACACACCTTGGGAGAGGGAGGGGCAGGAGGAGAGGGAGAGAGAGCGCAGAAGCGGAGCAGCGGAGGCAAGGGCAGTGAGGTGAAGCGCAGAGAGCCAGGCAAAGCCACCACCCAGGGAGAGAGATGTGAGGCGTGGCAGGATGGCGGCACGAGCAAGCTCTGAGGGGCGATGGCCATGGGCATGGGAGTGAGTGTGGCCATGGTGCGTGCATGTGCCTAGTGATGCTTGTGCGGTGGGGAGTGGTGGAGAGAAGAGCGAGGGGGAGAAGGGGCCCCAGCAGTGCAGCAGGGAGAGGTAGCGCAGCGGGCAGGCGGCGAGGAGAGGCAGAACACCGTCATCTGACACCGGCTGGCATGGGGATATGGCATGACACAGGGGGTGGGGTGGAGTGGAGAGGCGGATGGGAGACGGGCAATGGGAGGAGAGAAAGTGGCATTCAAAGGGATGACAGCAGAGGACGAAACACTTGAGAGCATGGCGTGTGGGTGAGAATGTGAACGGCTAGGCACTTGCTATTGGGCAGCACGGTGGAGAGGGACGGGAGTAGCGTGTGTCGTGCGTGCAATGCAGACACACACACAGACAGAGACACGTGAGAATGCGTCACCTGGAAGGTGAGTGAGAGTGCTGTGAGGCGAGGGCAGCACGCGGCAATGGCACGCAGTGAGGCATCGGAGATTGTGGCGCCCAGCCCCAGGGCGAGGGCACGCAGGCTGTGCGATAGGGGGAAGAGCCGTGGCAGTGGTTGTGGTAGAGATGGGCACACAGAGGAGGGACTTGTGGGCGGGTTGAGGGGACGCGGGGGGATGGAGAGGGAGAGGGGAAGCGCCCAGGAGGCCTGGAGAGTGGTGAGGTGCGGGGGGATGGTTATGGTGGTGATGGGCGGAGAGGAAGGGGCAGAGGAGGAGGGGGGCCGTGGAGGGGTGGGCTTGCCACATCCGGAGATGAGGAGGTGACGCAGGCGCGGGGCTGATGTGCACAGGGCGCTGATGGAATGCGCTGACAGCTGCCATGGCGCAGAGAAGACGGGGAGGGGTGGTATGGGGGTGGTGGGGGACGGGAGAAGTTGGGAAGTGGTGAGGATGTGACGTTGGATGCTGAAGGGGAAGGAGAGTGGAGTGGAGAAGCAGGAGGGTGAGGAAGCGCAACGACAAAGTAGCAGAGCACTGAGATGACATGACACCAGCATGATGATGTGGTGTAGTGAGGGCAGGGGCATGGCATGTGGGACTGACTGACAGGGGCATCGGAGACATTCAGATGAGTCAAGTGGGGCAGCGCCGCAGTGCCATCGCTGCTGCTGCTGCTGCCTGAAGTGGTGCAGGACACAGCCTGTGCAGCGAGGGTGCGAGCGCCGTGCAGCCACGACGCCACGAGCGCATCATCCACTGCACCGGGGCGTTCCTCGCCCCTGCCCGCCCCTCTCTGCGCCTCCCTGCCCCTCCCCTTGCCCTTAGGTGCTGCTGGTTCCCCCATGCGGCCGGGAGCAAGGGTGTTAGCGAGGGAGAGGTGCGTGAGGGAGGGGCTGGCCGCTGTGAGCAGGTGCATGAGCGGAAGGGCGTGGTGCAAGGCTGCTTGGGGCCGGGATGGGGTATGCCACAGGGATGCAAGGAGGGTAAGGATGCGAAGGGAGAGGGATGGGAGATGGGCATCAGACAGGGATGAGCAGAGGAAAAACCCAAGAAGAAGTGTGGTTGTGGGGTGAATGAAACAAGGGGAGGGGACAAAGACAAGACAAGGAGCAGAAACGAGACAGTGAGTGACCCACCAGGGCATCCATCCAGCTCCAGCTTCCTGAGCCCACCGTAGGTGCCGCTCACCCCACAGTCCTCCCTTCGCCCTTCACCCACGCCCTCCTCATCTCCCTCCTCATGTCCCTCACTCGCTCCATCACCTTCTTCCTCATCTTCTTCTTGCTCCTCCTCGTCATCCTCACTCTCATCCTCGTCCACCTCCTTCACTTCTTCCTCCTCTTCTTCCTCTTCTGCCTCGCCACAATCACCATCATCCGCGCCCTCCCTTGCCCCGCCAGCGGCCGTGAGAGCACGGGAGAGGGCGAGCAGAGAGCGCACGCCAAGGCGAGTGTGGGACGCGCACAGGTGGGACAGCTGCAGGCGGCACCGGGGGAGTTCACCAATGCAACGACCTGAGCGCCGGGGGGACGGGCGCTCGGAGCAATGAGACCGGCCGCTCGAATGGCCACCCTTTTGCTGGCGTGCGGATGTCACAGTGGGAGTGGTGCGCGAGGCGGGGGCGGGAGGGGGCCGCGTGTAGGAGGAGATGAGGGCGGCGAGGGCACGGTCGGAAAGCGAGGTGCACCCCGTGATGTCCATGCGAGTGAGGGCGGGGCAGGCGAGCACAAGGTCCATCAGCTGCCCGTCTGCACTCCAAGCCATCGGCACGCACGCACATGGACACATGGGCACGCACGCACATGGACACATGGGCACGCACGCACATGGACACATGGGCACGCACGCACATGGGCACATGGGCACGCACGCACAGGGGATGGGAAGGGGAGAAGGAGAAGCAGTGCTGTGCGTGAGCGCCGCTTTCAATGGCTGTGGAACGCAATGCACCTAGCAGCGCCGCCTCTCACAGCATCCTTTGCTGGCCTGAGAGGTGCTGCTGAGAGGCAAGGCATGAAAGCAAGGCGAGGCAGAGGGAGTACCTGAGAGGTGCTGCTGCCAGCGCAGCGACAGCGAGGTCACATGGGCGAGCCTCCACGGGTTGTACAGGCGGTGCAATGGCACCAGCATGCTCGCTGTCTCCCCCACCCCTTCCTCGCCCCTGCCCTCCACACTCCCTTCCCCTTCCTGCTCTTCTTCCTCCTCCTCCTGCTCTTCCTCTCCACCTCCATCGACCCGCCTGTCACCTGCCTGGTGTGCTGCTCGTCTCCCCTGCCCTGCACTCCTGCCGTGCCGTCCCTTGACTCCACTAGGAGCCACTGCACTGGGGGTGCACGGACTCGCCTGCTTCTTCTTACCACTCGCGCCTGTGATGCTGGCCGTGCTAGCACCCTTGTGTGCCTTCTTGCTGCCACCCTTGCTCTTTCCATCCCCATCCCCATCCGTAACACTAGCACCAGTGCTAGCACCAGCGCCAGGCAGAGCAGCAGCACCCCCTCCTGACCCCGCAACACCCCTGCAAAACACCGGAGGCTCGGGCAGGGAAAAATCTGCCGACTGAAGCTTTGGGCAGAAGGAGGAAAGGTCGTGGAGGGTGGGAACGGGGAGCAGGGCCGGGCAGGAGCGGGCGGTGAATCTGTGCAGTGACAGCGGTGGAGGCACTGATGCTGCCCACGTGCGGAGATGCGAGGGCTGCAGCAGCGCGCAGTGCGAGATGTCCAGGTGCGCGAGCAGAGGGGCTGGCGGGAGGGGCAGGAGATGCTGAGAGGCCGCTGTGGGTGGGGTGTGAGGGGCGAGGTACGGGTCGAGGTGTTGAGTGGATGGAGTGGAGGAGGCTGTGGGGGGTAGAGGAGGGCAGGCGAGGGTGCATGGTGCGATGGGGGTTGACCATGCGTGGTGGGTGAGTGAGGGGGACGATGAGAGGAAGGCGTCCGGGGGGAGAGAGCAGCAGGCGGAGAAGGAGTAGACCTGCATGGGGGGCAGTGTGGATGGACGGATGGACGGAGTGAGAGGCGTGCAGCAAGGGTGGAACAAGAGCGCAAGGGAGACACGGTGAGCGGAAGCAAAGGGGCGTGTTAGAGAGGGAGCAATTTTGTGAAAGGCGAGAGCACAATGGTTATTGAAGGCGAGCGCGCATGCCTGGGTCCATGGCGAGATGTGCACACGCCCTCCCTCACTGCCCCCTCCCTCTCCCCTGCCTTTGCCACTGCCGCTGCTGCTGCTGCTGCTGCTGCTGCTGCTGCTGGCGCCACTGCTGTCATCCCTGGTGCTGGGATGTGCGTGGTGGGTGGCAGCAGCAGCAAGGGATTGGAAGAGCTGGCCCAAGGGGGCTATGGGGCACGCAGGAGGAAGCGCGGGGGAGGACGCACGGGGCACAACGGAGGGACGGAAGGGGATTTGCTGTGGCACATGGCAGGTGGTGGCGTGCGCGTCACGAAGGGCTGTGAGCGCACTGCACGTGCCACCGACGCGCATGGTGTGGACGAGGGGAAGGTGAACGTGCAAGTGGGGGGTTGGTTGGAACTCGGAGGAAGCGGGATGAGTTTCGGCCGGATGAGAGCAGCAAGGGAGAGGGAGGGGATGACGGAAGTGGGCCGGGGGAAGAACGGAAGAGACGAGATGGAACAGAGACGGAGATAGATTGAACGTGGGGAGAGAGAGATTAATCACAAGGTGAGGGCGAGGATTAGAATCAGACGGCTTACATCGGAGGAAAGCGAGAGGAAGCAGGGACTGGTTAACCTGCACGCAAACAGTGAGAGGGGAGTGGGAGGGGGATGGGATGAACTGAGGAAAGCTGCGGTGGTGAAGCAAAGGGCGGTAGTAGTGGTGGCTCTGTTGAGTTGAGTGAGCCTGATGACATGTGCCAGTGCAAGGCGGTGTGCGGGCATTGAAACAGTGCGCTAGAGTGAGCGTGTGCATGTGTGTGCGCATCCATGCGTGTGTGAGGTGAAAGGCGAGGGCAGTGGCAGGGGCAGCAGCACGTACATGGGCCATGAGGTTGCTTGCCACGTTCGTCCCATGCTCTGACAGCAATGGGGGCCACGGCCGTGCATTCTGCACACTGCCCTCCCTCTGCACGCCTTGCACGTACACATAACCATCGCCACTCAAACTACCGCCCTCCTCCTCCTCCTCCCCCCCCTCCGCGTCTTCCCCTTCCCCCTCCACTGCTCCTCGGTGCAGCCTTCCCTCCTGTGCTGCACCTTCACCATTGCTCCCCTCACTCGCCTCCCCCGCCTGCCCCAGCGCCCACCACAGCAGCACTTCGCACAGCCACTGCTCACTGCACATCACAGCAACACACAGAGCCAGCGGGGAAATGTGAACACAGGGCACCGGGGGAACGAATGGGGGGAAGTAGAAGAGGGAATGTGTAGATAGGTGGGCGGGCAGGAACAAGGCGTGATCTGAAACGGGAGGGCAGAGGGTGCTGGAAGGGATGTGGGCGGAGGGGCAGCAGCAGCCTGCCTTGGCACGTTGAGCAGCGCGCGGTGGGTGGCCAGCACTGTGTGCAGCAGCGACCCGGGCAGCAGCGACATGCAGTGACGCTGCTCACACGCCAGGTACGGCTGATGGGCACCGGGGAGGGGGGCGAGAGGCAGAGGGGCAGAGGGCAAAGGGGCAGAGGGGTAGAGGGTAGGACGAGAGCGCAGGAAACAATGGGAAGGAACGATCCAGGTTCGAGAAATGGAGGGCATGGGTCGTGTGAGCGACAGGGAAATGGAGGGAAAGGAAGACGATGTGAGCGCACACATGGCAGGGGAAAGGTGGCAGTGGTGGTTGGTGTGGCATGCGGTGTGGGCGCAGTGCGGTGCACTCACCATCTCCACGGCTGTGACGATGGCACACAGGCGCTGCACACAGCACGCACCTGATGGCCCCACCACACCCACACACCCATACGTGTGCCGCCATGCGCAATGCACATCCACCACATGCACCCGCAAGTGCATGCACAAAACAAGGGAAACGAAAAGGTGAGGAGAAGGAGGGGAACGAGATCATGAGTGCGGATGCCGTGGTGCGACAGGACACGTGCGGGAGGGAGGGAGGGAGGGCAGAGGTGGAGCAGAGGAAGTGAGGGGGCATGCATGGTACAGGAGAGGGCGTGCATGGTACAGGAGAGGGCGTGCATGGTACAGGAGAGCGCGTGCATGGTACAGGAGAGGGCGTGCACGGTACAGGAGAGGGCGTGCATGGTACAGGAGAGGGCGTGCATGGTACAGGAGAGGGCGTGCATGGTACAGGAGAGGGCGTGCATGGTACAGGAGAGGGCGTGCATGGTACAGGAGAGGGCGTGCATGGTACAGGAGAGGGCGTGCATGGTACAGGAGAGGGCGTGCATGGTACAGGAGAGGGCGTGCATGGTACAGGAGAGGGCGTGCATGGTACAGGAGAGGGCGTGCAAGGGGCGGGTCACCTGCATCGCGTGCAGCGGTCCACGTGGCAGCGAGCCAGTGCACGTCCGATACAGGTGCAGGGAAGCACACCCATGGACACCCACCCTCGCCTGCACGCCTGCCACTTCGCCTTCCTCGTCTCCCTACGTCGCCACTCCCTTTTCTCATAGCTATCCCCCCAGCGCCTGCGCTCGATCGTCCTGCCAGGCCCTCCCCTCCTCTCCCCCCTGTGCTGCAGTAGGTATGCGCCCAGCGGCTGGCAGCGCGCACTGCTGCTGCCACCCCGAAGTACACCGCACTCTTCATGAGGGGAGGGGATGGGAGGGGCGCGCAGTGGCGGGGTAGGTAGAATGATGAGAGAGGCAGAGGCGAGGGCCAAGGGATGGAGGAAGGAGGGCATGAAGGGTGAAGGGAGGGGTCAAAGGACAGTAGCATGTGTGAGCATGGATATGAGCAAGCACGGCTTCTATGCCCACCACCATGCTTCCACACCATGCCGTGCCCACAGCACCACATCACGCACAGCACCACAACCCCCACAGCACAGCCATATGAGAGGGAGCGTGCAGCAGTACGCGCGCTTACCGTGAGCAGGCCAGGGATGTGCGGCGCGGAGAGGGCGGGGCGGGGCAGGGCGGGCAGGAGGTGCGGGAGGAGGTGTGCGAAGAGGTGGGGGTCCCAGTGGATGCGCTGCTCCGGCTGTGCCGCCTCTCGGAATGACGACAGCAGTGCTGCGAAGTACGTGCTCGACTGCGCCAGACTGGGGGGGAGGGGGGAGGAGGGGGGAAGGGTAGGGAGGTTAGTAGGTGTGTGGGGTTGTTGGAGAAATGTGTGTGAGACGAGGCAAGGGATGGTAACAATGTTGTAAATGGGGACGAGTGGCATGAGGAAACGGATGGGGACGATGGAGCAGGAGCACGCGGGCACGCAGGGCGCAGTGGGATGAGCGCCGTGGGCGTGCGGTGGAGGAGGCCAGCCACACTCTCACGCGCGGCTTTCACAGCTTCCCACCACACTGTGACACCCGCACTCTCACTGCGCATGGGAGCAGTGCATGCGTGTGCGTGCATGACCCCGTGCCCGCCATCCCCACCGCCATACATGGATCGCTCGATGCTCAGCAAGAGCCGCGCTTCCCCCTCCATCTCCGATCTCTTCGCCTTGCCTGCCTCCTCTCCCCCTTCTCCCCCCTCTCTCCTCTCCCCCATTTCGTCCCCCTCGCCCCCAGCTCCTCCATCCGTGGCGTCATCCCCCGCTAGCGTTCCCCGCGCGGCGTTCTCTCCGCCACCTCCCCGCTCCCGCGCGTCGCCTCCTTCCGCGCTTCTCTCGTCGCCCATCTCTCGCCCCGCACCCCTCTGCGCCGCGCCTTGCCCCCGGCGCTCCGCCGACACCACCACCACCACCATGCGCGGCGCGCCATCGGGGCCATCAGCGGCGGGTACGCGCGCACGTGGCATGATGGGTTCGCGCGAGCGGTGGATGGGCGCGGTCAGACAAACGGGTGCGGCGCACGGCGCACTGCGCACAGCGGGCTGCAAATGTGTGCGCCGCGATCAACGTAACCGCGCTACTGGGACCGAGATCGCAGAGGCCGCACAGACGGGCGGTCGGCGAGACGACGAGCGTGGTGAGGAGGATCTGTGGCGCTGCGCTTCCTTACGAAACCACACACGACATGAGTGGCCGTGCTCACTGTGTGGTGGTACAGGATTCCACGGGTTTTAAACGCTAGTCTGTATAACCGACATGAAGCACGAGTGCAATCATTATAACCCACTCAACCTTGAGTTCATTACAAAAAGGAGAACACTTGCATTGCAACTGCAGTCATCTAGGCGTCTTTCTGACAACCCAGCACCGTTCAGACTCCAGCAAGCACGGCCTGTGCTGATCATGCAGGTCCTGAGGGAAATAGAAACAAGATGCATGCACTCCAGGCCCAGTGCAAGCCATGGGCACCGGGCACAAGCAGCATATGTAAGAGGAGAGAGGAGGCACACAGCAGCCTCACATGTACGCTCACAGCCAACGCCGGGCGATATGCACCTCCATGACCTACCCCACATCCGCGCCCCTCCCTCACAACACCCACGACTCGTAAGGCCACCGTATCACAGGCACGGAACTCATAAGCCACAGGCACATACCCCTGCACATGCATGGGCATTCGTCACAGCACGGTGCACTGTGTTTCAACAGGGCTTCGACCCCGTGCAGCAAGGCAGCGTGCGTGGCACTGCCACTGAGCATAGGCGCCTGCATTATCTTCAGCGCCGCCACCCGCCTCCAAACAAGTGCCTCAACCGCCCTCCTCCCTCTTCGCTCGCAGCGCTCCCCCCCTGCGTACCCTCATGCCCCGCCGCCCACGCCTCATGCACCCAGCGCGGGGACGACCCAGGCACACCATCCCCACCAGCACTGCGCGACGCCTCGCCCCTGCCACGGCCCCCGAACGCCCCTCCATTCACGGCCTCCGCCTCATGGCTCGTCTGTGCCACCGGCACTGCCCTCTTGCTCCTCTCAGACACAAAAAACGAGCTCCTAGACCGCAAGCTCCGGCTCTTGTCCCTTAAACGCTTCTCCATCTCCCTTTCCTCCCTCCCCTTTCCAAACAATAATCCCCACCCAGCGCTGGCGCGGTCGCGCTCTCGCTTCTTGTCCTTGTCCTTTCCTATCCATGTGCGATCCATGACAGACGACAGCCGTGAGGTTGGTGACGGAGTGTAGATGGGTGAGGGGGGGTACGGCACCATGAGGGAAACTTCTGGGATGCGCGGAAGCTCTTTGCCCTTGGCAGGCTTTTGGCCACGCTCCCCCTGCAGCTCCAGCAACAGCTGCTGCTTCTGCTGCTCAAACTGCTCCTTCCGTGACGTTGCTCGTGCCGGCAATGCCTCCTCCTCCTTGTTATTGCTGCTGTTCGTACTGCCGCCTGCCTGCTTCTGTGGTGACAGCGGCGGCAGCAGCTCTAGTTTCTGTGGTGACAGCGGCGGCAGCAGCTCTAGTTTCTGTGGTGACAGCGGCGGTTGCTGCTGCTGCTGCTGCTTCTGCTCCTGCTCCTTCCTGCGTCGTTCGTTGTACTCTTCTCGAAACTGCTCCAGCTGCGCCTGCAGCTGCTCCAGCTGCTCTGCACGCTCTGCAGAAGGCTGCTGGGCCTGGGCCGCAGGGTTATGAGGCACCTGCACCTGCTGCACCTGCGCCTGCTGCACCTGGCCGTGCGGCTGCTGGCGGGGCGGGGAAAGCTGCTCGTGCGCGTGCGAGTGGGCGTGATTGACAGGCGGTCGCGGGCTGGAGAGGGGAGAGGGAGAGGCGCACTCACTGCAGCATGCGCTGCACGCACCCGAGTCTGCACCCTGTGGGGCGCCGTTGCTGCTGGTGGCGCCGCTGGTGGGGCTGGTGCTGCCTCCCGCGCTGAGCTTGCTCTTCTTCTTGCGCATTGCCATTGCTATCGCCTCCGCTGCTTTCGCTGCCGGAGAGCCCGGTGCCACCTCTCCCGCGCCCTGCACCAGGATAGTTCCATGCCACAGAGGTGGCACAACCACACAGAGAAGGCACGGTCGCACACGGGAAGCACAGGGGAAGCACAGTCGCACAGGGGACACACGAGGATGAACAAATGAAGAGAATCACGGGTCCTAGCGAATGCTCAACTGGACGAGCGCATCAGACGCGGAGCAAGTCAAAACAGAAACACGGCGTGAACCAAGTGCGAGCGCTGCTGAATGACAAGCACATTGCAATGCAGTCCCCAGCACAAAGAACATCTGCCAGGCGGTCGAGGTGAGGCGCACCTGTTTTCCACGCAGACTAACTTCCCCGCTGCGCGGTTCACATAGCCCTTGTTGCTGCTGCGGCGCACAATGGCGGTGGTGACGGTGATGCTCATGCGGGTGCGAGCACGTCCTGTGCTGTTTATTACACCGCGAATTCATCTCCTCCTGCGCCTGCCCGGACCCCGGCCGCACTGCGTGCCCCTGCGCCTCTTTCGCCTGAGCGCGCTGCTGCGCCTTTGCCAGGGCCTCTTCCAGGCTCTCGCCAAGCGCGCCCCCTTCCACGCCCCCCTCGCCTCCCTGCCGCTTCCCCAGAATCAGCTCCGCGCTGTGCGACACAGCCGTGCCGCCAGCCGCGTCGCTAGCGGGCGACACGCGGGCAGCGTCCGCAGGCAGCAGCGACCCCCGGTTTCCGCGAAGCCAATGCGACAGGGTGCCGCTGGCGCTGCCGCCGCTGCCGCTGCCGTGCACGAAGCTGAAGCTGCGCGAGCTCAGCCCGCCCGACCTGGATCGACTGCCGTGGCTTCCCGACCGCTTCAGCTTCGCGCCGTCCGCCATGGGCGATAGGCACGCGGATCGCGAGGAGGAGTGACACGAGGAGAGCAACGCCGAGGCGGAGGCGGCGAGCGAATCGTCGGCGGCGGGGGCGGGGGCGCTGGCGGCGGCGAGGGCGCGCACGCGGCTCGCGAGGTCGTCTACGTCCGCTTGCTGCTCGCGCGGGCGCGATCGCGAGTGCGAGAAGGAGAGCGAGAAGCTGAGCGCACGGGAGGAGCCCCCGCGCGAAACAGCGGCGTGAGGCGCAGCAGCAGCGGGTTCAGCGGCGGGGTGTTTCATGTAGTACTCTCCGGGCATGGACTTGGGCACCAGGTCCTCGTGCTCGTCGTCCGAATCCGCGCCCACATCCGGGTTATACGGCACTGATTGCGCTGCACTCCCCGCTGCCGCCTCGCCACCGCGCCTACTGTCACCGTCACCGTCGCCGCCGCCGTCGGCGGATTCCCCGAGGTGGAGAGTACCCGGCAGGGAGCAGATGTCATCGTCCGCCATGTTATTGACGAACTGCAGCTCTGCTTCCAGCATGTTCTTCGCGCGCTCCTTCTTCGCCTCCACCTCCTCGCGCAGCGCCTCTATCGCCGCTAGATCCTCCGCCGATTGGTACGAATCGCGCACCAGGAACGCCTTCGGCGCCATGGGGTACAATCGCAGGTCCTGCGAGCATCTTAGACCGCGCTCCGCGGCGCACATATCTTTCATCTGCGCCTCGAGCTTCCCCCGTTTGAAGCCGTCGGCGCGGGTAAGGAAGGAGGAGGTGGTGCGGCGGAGAGGGAATCGCGGGCGGGTGAGGAGGGTTTGATAGAGGTCGCTCATGGAACGAAGCAACTCGAAGCCGCGAGCGCGCATGAGCGTGGGCGACTCGTACGCGATGAGCACGGCGCCGTACGAGTTGGACGGCGTGAGCAGCGGAGACTGGAGGCTGGACGGCTGAATGGCGCCGCTGCCGCCGTCCAACGAGAGGGGGTCGGGGAACTTGCAGAACAACGCCATCACCCCGCCATGGCCCTGTGGGTATTGCGGGGATGCGTTGAAAAATTTTGAGAGAAGGAGGGAACGCAGGGAGCGACGGCGACGAAAGCGGGACGAAAAAGAAAGAGGAGCGAGGCAAATGTGCTCCTAGGCGAGAATTCAAGACTTGTGGTGATTCATATCTCGTACACACAAGTGCAGAGCTGTAGGAGGACAGGAAAAGGTAAGGAACAATTGAGATACTCACCAGGGAGAATCGATGGACATGACACGGAACTTCTTTCATTGCTTCCAGCGCGGCTTGCTCATAGTGCTTCTGCGGGGAGTACGAGGCGATAAGCTGACAACCCTTGACCAGACCAGCGAAGAGCACCAGGGGCTGCTCCTTCGGCTCGTTCTGCTCTTTCCCCATTAGGTTAACGAATCTGGCCTCGGTTTGAGTCTGCTGAGATTCTGCGTGGATGCACTGCTGCTAGCCTTACACTGCGACGAGCTGCACAGAAGAAAGACATTCAAATCGCAGGCAATGTCCTATGAGGGAAAGGATGTTTTGAGCCTGCTACGGACGAGGGACTTCGATGTGTAAGGCGAGCCGAGCAGAGAATGCGTGACAGCCAAAGGTCAACCCTGGAAGCTTCATAATCGCGATGACGCACGGACAACCTCCTCGTGAAGAGCATTTGTTCTTTCCGCCACTCTGGCTGTGGTGTGGAGCTCTGGGGAAGGTCCAGCACCCTGGCACCAGCAACACAGCTCTGAGGCAGATCTGCGCCTGCCTTGTCTTGGACTCGCCATGTGTAGCCGTGCCAAGGGAGCCAACCGCAACCTTGCCACGGGCAACTGGGCAAGGAAAACTGTCCACCAGCTCAAACCCGCCAAACCTTCCCCAAAGCAGCGGCGGAGCGGAGCGGCAACCGCACTGAAGGTCAGATTGTAACACGTGGCATGAAAGCCAGAATCTCCCCCATCCATTTCATTGGGTGAACTCCCCCGCAAACCAGTCATGTCACGCCTGAACCCTTCAATTCTTATGTGAACCATAAACGATTGTTCTCTGCCCGAAAAACGCAAGATTCACACAATCCACCAGAACAAAAGGAGCAAATATTTTGTGCCACTGCCATATGTTGGGAGTGAAGAGCACCCAGGCTCAAAATACATGGTGAAGCCGCAACAAAATGTGCACACTGTAGCCTCACACTGTGCATATCTGGTCAGGGAGGTGATGGTCAATAGCATTCACCATGGCTTGCCTTGTGTGCAAGGGTAATGTGACCGCGATTGGCTGAAGCATCTTGAAAGTTGTACACCATGGCAATCACCTGAAGTCTGGAAAAGAATGTGGTAGACCAGAATGGATGACGGAGGTGACCAAAATACCCTCAACCAATCTCGGGTGCCCACCCTGTGTATAGTACGTACTGGACGTTCTGCCTTCTTTACACAATCCTAGAGTTTGTATTGATCTCAAAGCCTTTCTTTCCAACTAGCCGTGGATACGGTAAAAAAATCCAACTGTTGCTAAAGATACAAAGTAGCCCTTGCAAGTAGGAACAGCATGGTAAGGGCAAAGGTAGAGTGAAAGAATCTCAGAAAAGTAATCGATGATAAAAAAAAATCCCTAATGCGTATCACTGAACTACAGTGACTGGATCCATGGCATCATGACGAGGACCATGAATTGCCATCACTAACAATCTAGCCCTGATGACCACTGTGTGTTGCACCGACCTTGGAACAAATCTGCTGCCTGGTAAATCAATCAATCTTCGGCCCACCAGAGTACAAGAGGGTGTCACGGGTGAGGGGCATGTTGAAGAGGTAGCCAGTCTGGTGGAACATGTTAGGGGCACCCGTCATGGTATGGGGCAGAGGAACACATACCATAGAATATCACCATTGTTAACTGACTAAGCACAAGGGCTCCCCAGAAAACAAGTAGACTGGGACCTTGCAGTTCTGAAAGACTAAGAACATGTGGCTCCACCAGGAGACTGAAAACATGTGGCTCCAGGAGACTGAAAACATGTGGTTCCAGAATACTAAGAACAGGTTTTTCAAAAGTAGACTAAAAAGTGCACAGATAATGAAGGGAGGGAGGAAACTGCCACTCACAGCGAGGACCAGTGAAGCAATCAGCAGAATGACAGTTGCAACGAGGATGGCGGTTGATTGGACTTCAGCAGGGGTCTCCAACCCCTGTGCCTGTGCGATCTGGGAGGCAGCCACCACACCCCGGAGCTGACGAGCTCCTGGACGCTGATCTCCCGACAATACAACCTGCTGCAGCAACAGATGTGGCGCTGCCTGCGCTGAAGAAGCTCCCGCCAGCACCACTTCTGCAACTACTGATCCTGGAAGACGATAGGTGGAAAATGCATCAGGTAGGGGTGAAATCGGAGTGAGAGGAGTGCAGATAAAATCACTAACACCAAACCGCATGAATAAGCACCAAAAGAAATGTAGAAGCCTGAAAGGCGTCATGGAACTACAACATACCCTTGTTTGATAATCGGAGAGAAGACATGTGGGCAGAAATAGTAGCAATGACGAAAGACAAGCGTGCGGATGCAAACTGAGGGTCCTGTTTCTCCTGCATTAGAAAAAATGGAAGAGTGTCATAAAGAGACAAATTAGAAAGTCTTCTGTGGTTAAAAAGTGCAGCATTGGTCCATGACAATAACTACAAATAACAACTGAAGTACAAGAAGCAGATTTAACAAGATTCCAATGTGTTCCACCGCAAATCAGTTTTACCTGAAACCCTGCGAGAGATGCAACGAGCAGATGCGGATGAGCAGCCAATTCTGCCGAATCGTAGCTGGCAGAGCGCATGGCTCTTACAACACATGCCAGATTCGCCAAAAAGTTGGAATCAGCATCCTGCATGAAATCGAGTCCGTCGAAGTAAGAAAAGCACTGGGACAGGCCAAAGCGGAGCACATGGCTAGATCCGAGTACAAAACTCCATAACCGTATTAATGGGTTGATACTGATGCGGCAGAGGTACTGACCTTATTGGCATCCAAAGCAGTGTTCAGAACACCGCGCAGCTGCTGCGACGCCTCATCCCCTACTGATGCCGGAGACATCTGGCGGGAACAAGTGCGAAATGGGCAAGCAGAGCAGGGTGGTGGCTGGCGTTAGCTTTGGGGAAATAAAAGAGTGAAGCTGGCAAAGGGTACGGTCAAAATTAAGAATGTACCAGGAGCTCAAGGCAAACGTCGTCACAGGGCGAGGCAGCAACAGCGCTCTCAACCGCGAAGTCCAGATCAGCGTTTCTCCAACCGCAGGTAGCAACATCCACCTTCAATCCTTCCAACCTGGCAGATCTGTAAAGAGCGATCATCTCTGCTTCGAGCTCATCAGCCACATATTCAGCAACCACCCCCGAGGTGGGTGCAAGCACGCGGGACTGTACCACTTGCACTGAACCAGTTGTGACATTGCTGTACACGGCTGCGTGGAGACATAAAATGGTCAGAGCAAGAAAGTTAAAGATCATCCGAAGATGCCGCAGAGAAATCCGAAGATGCCGCACGAGACAGAGTACTGAAACGCGCTTTAATCAGAATCGATTTATGAGGCGAAAACAGAAACTACATGTGAGCCAGCACTTACAAGAATCAACTCCTGGAAGATTGAGGAGGAAAACTGATCGGGGACGATTGAAAGGATCCGGAATCAGCAACGAATTCAACTAACGCACGGGGCGCAAGATAGGAACCAGACACAAAAAAACAGCATGGTCAGACGTCAGTTGAATGCATGTCACGACGAACGAAATATGCACCGGGAAACAGCACTGGATATACCTGAGCAGAAATGTCAGCTACACTGTTGGGAGGAACAGACACACCAAGCAAAGCAGCGGTGGCTGCAACTGTTGCAGTCGTTGAAAGAGCCGCTAACTGGGAGACATCGGAAAAAATAACGTTCGGCATAGTATCACGAACAAGGGGGAGTTGGTAGGGGAAAGTGATATTAGACGAAACGTTTGGTTACGAGTGCGAACAGGAATTTTCGCAAGTAGCAGAAGGCATAGGCCCATGTGCAAGAAGAATGGAAGTAATAACAACTAGCGACAATGGTGATTAAGTAAATGAAAACACGCATTCTACCTCTGCAGATCCAGAGGCGCGGTTGAAGTAAGAGCCTTTAGTTTGATCCAGGAACAGGACTGCTGGAGATGCAGCCACCTGCGTCACGCAAAACGAAAGTTCAGAACACAGATCTAAAATACCACCTGATGATGTTCGTAACTAAAGTTTGAGAACAAAAGCTTTCCCTGGGGACGGAATCAGCTATGTAGCAAACTAGGCGTCGTAACCTAGTAAGTGATCGTTCGCATGAAGGAAAGCTAACTCCAGAATGGTGCGGAGAAAAATATTGCTGTTTATCACAAGCCAGGGTCATAAAAAAAATACCTGCGCGACTGCTGAGACGGCCACACAAACAAACGCGAGCAACCACCCCCTCATGGCTGCGATGTGAGAGAAACGACCGGAATGCGAGAATGACCTTCCCGAAGGAGTGCTGCAGCCCTAATCAGCAACTCAGCAGGATGACAAGTGCTATCGGCTGTCTCTAGGAATGTCAAGCCAGGAAATAGAGATTGTTGGCGGAACGCCAGGTAAGGAGCAGAGCAGGGTGGAGCAGAGCAGTCGAGGTGGGCAAGCGGATGGTGGCGATAGGCAGAAGGGGGACCAGGTCCGGGCGCCGGAGGCACTTGCCGGGACATGCTTTGCCCTTTCCGGGAGCGGCGCTGCCCAGCGGGCCAGCGGCGCGCACCTCAGGAGGTACACTTTCGAGAGATTTGCTCCAAACCCTTGTTTGGAGATTCGGTGTTGCACACGTGGCCACCATTTGCTCGCGTGGTTCTACAATTCAGTGATAATTGCTCGAGTGGCCTTGCCAGGGGATTCCCGCGGTGTTTGTTTTAGAAGGCACATTACCCTTAAAGGGTATTTATCCTATAAATATTTTTACTAGTTATTGCGCGATCTTTTATATCCGAAATTTATGTTCGTGACCCTATATGACCGCGCCTGATTGGACGCGCATAAAATTGACCAATCATGCGCGGCCATTAATGGTCGCGCGCATCATATATTAATGCCCGATCATATATTTCCGCGATCATAAACTGCAATGCCCGGGCGTCAATGCGCGGGACCTTTAATGACCGCGTATGATTGGTCGATTTTATGCGCAGGTGTTTTTTTGGCAATGCGCGTCCAATCAGGCGCGGTCATATCGGGTCACGAACATAAATTTCGGATATAAAAGATCGCGCAATAACAATACAGAAGTTTCGAGGATACAAACCCTTGTAGGGTAATGTGCCGGGTAAACAAAACACCGCGGGAATCCCCTGGCAAGGCCACTCGAGCAATTATCACTGAATTGTAGAACCACGCGAGCAAATGGTGGCCACGTGTGCAACACCGAATCTCCAAACAAGGGTTTGGAGAAAATCTCTCTACACTTTCCCATGACCTTTGGTGGAGTTCTCGGTGGCAATTTTTGCTTTGCTGAAGTTTTTTTCTGTACCGTTCCTAAAATCATTACAGTTTGACACATTGTACAAAATGTGAATGAATTCATATTAGAATTCATGAATTCATGAGTTCAGGCATGAGCTAACATTTTGCAGCAAAATCCTGGAGCACATCCATGCTAGTATTGGCCCACCCTTCACTTGGATAGTAGCAGCGCCAAGGGGACTAGAATCTCAGTGGTGAAAGTGCATCTCAACTGCCCGACAGAGCATCATGCACACCCACGCTAACCCCTTAACCCACATCAACCAGCCCTGCCACCTGCTTATCATCGCGTTTCTCACCTGTCCCTCCCTCCTCCCTCCCCTCACTTCTTCCCCCATGTCCACGTCCCGGTATGTCTTCTCCCACTGTACTTGCTTCTGGGCGTCTTGCCCCACTGCACTCTCTCTAGCCATGTCCCTTCACTCTTCCTCCTGCCCTCCCCCTCTAGCCACCACCATCACCCCCTTCCCCCCTGCGAGCCAGCACCATCTTGAGCACGCACCTGGCAGCAACAGCCAGAGCGAGCGTTCGCAGGAACCCTCCATCTCCCTCTGCCACGCCTGCAGCACCCGCCATCGCAGCCGCAGCAGCAGCAGCGACCACCTCTCCCGTCCATTCTGCAGCCGCTGCTGCCGTATGCAGCCAGTGGTCGGGCAGCAGGGGCAGCAAGGGGCGAACGAGGTACCTGCAGAGGCAGCGGTGGAGTGCAGTGGAGCAGGAGGAGAGCAGGGAGGATAGCGAGGAGCGGAGGCGGTGGTGCAGTGACTGGAAGGTGGAGGCCGTGTCCTCGTCTACAAGTGCCGGTGCCTTGTGGGTTGGGCCCCATATCAGCGATAGGCTCTTACCCACATCCCCACTTGCACTCCTGCTTTCCTGGCCACTGCTGCTGCTGCTTGCACTGCTACTGCCAGGGGCGCTACTGCCTGCATGGTTGGTGCTGCCACCATATGCATCGTGACTATTGCCCTCCGCAGAGGAGGATGAGGGGGAGGCGGTCCAGTGGTGGGCGGAGGGGGATGGTATGGAGGAGTCCCCAGTGTGCACGCAGTGGTTCATCCAGTGCATCACACCCGTGGCATTGCTGCCATCCACCTGGCCTCCGTACACCGACACCAGCAATGATGGCCTGCTGCCTCCCTGCTGCTCACTCCCCCCCTCACCGTCACTCTCCTCGTCATCTCACTCATCCCCATCCCCATTGCCATACTCTTCACCCTCCCTGTCCAAGTCAGTACCATCCCTTGCCCCATCACCTATCACTGCCTCTTCTCGCCCATCCCCCGTCCCCTCCGCGCCACCCTCTCCTCTCGCTCCCCTGCCCCTGTCCCCGCCCCAGCGCAGGCGGGTCATGAAGGCGCCCACACCAGTGGCACGGCCGGAGCGCTGGCACCAGAGGGCGCCCTGCCAGCCCAGCATGTACGCACACCACCGCACCTGCACCGTGCCGTCCACCCATGCCATTGCCACCCGCCCCTCTCTTGCTGCTGCCACCACCGCTGCTGGCACACTCTCCTGCATACCATGGCCCTCCTGCCCCTGTTGCTGCTGCTCCTGCTGCTGGTGCTGTTGCTGGTGCTGGTGATGTTGTTTACTACCTCCTGTGTCTGCACCACCACCAACAGCTGTCGTAGAAGCACACGTCATTGCATCGGTGGCGTCTGCAGCGCAGTTGGCAGCAGAGGATGAGCCAAAAGCAGCACCCGACACACTGCCAGCATCCGCCACGTGCACAGCACCCCTGCTATCGCTTGCAGCATCACCGCCACCATCCACATCACAAGCAGCAGCACCATCCTCACCACACTCATCACAAACATCAGCAGCGGCAGCAGCAGCGGCAGCGGCTATGGCGTGCTGTATTTCCAGAAAGGCAGCTCGAGCTTTATGCAGAGCGGGGGATGGAGTGCCCACCACCACCACACAGTACCTCGTCCTCATGCGCACCTCCCTCTCCCTCGCCCTCACCCACCTCCTCCTTCCCTCCTCCCCTCCCTCCCCTCCCATTTCACCTTGCCCCGCATCATAATCCCTCCACGTGCTGCCACCACGCCCAGCCTCCCCAATGCCACCTCCGCGCTTTTCCGTCCGCCTGTGAGGTGGAGGGGCGAGAAGCGGAGAGAGAAAGTAGGGCGGAGGAGGGGCTGGGGCGGAAGGGTCGCAGGCAAGGCGGGCAGCAGAGGAGGCGGAGAGGCGGGGGAGGAGGAAGGAGGAGTGGTGGAGCAGGGCATGGCGCAGCACGGTGGAGTTGAGTGGGCCAGGCAGCACCAGCGGCACCACACCTGGGTCACGGTAGATGCCCAGGGCGGGCGGCTGCTGCACGCGCCACCACCGCTGCCATGCCGCCGCGTCGCTCTCTTCCCATGGCACTGCCACCCACGCCACACGCCCGGCGCTCCTGCCCGCCCAGTAGCGCGCCTCCAGCGATGCGTGGCGGTGTGCGCGTGGCAGCAGCAGCACGAAGCGCACGGTGCGGTCGGGGGCGGTGCGGAAGAAGCGCATGGGCAGGTGCTGTAGCGGCACCACGGGGATGGGGGGTACTCGCAGGAGGGAGAGGAAGGCGAAGCGGCGCAGCTGACGCAGGGAGGGCAGCGGCGGAGGGGGGGCTCTGAGATGGTGGTAGGGGGACGATGGGGAGAGGTGGAGGAGGGAGAACAGGGAGTTTGAAGTGTGCATATGGCTCGGGTGTGAGGGGTCTATGGTGTGTGATGGTGGTGAGGGGTTGGAGGGCGATGGGGCGGGAGGGGATGCAGCGGATGGCGCGTCAGGACTGCGCTCAGCACCACTTTCGCTGTGTGCTGGTGCTCCCCCATCCCCCAGCACCTCCCCCGCTGCCACCAGGAACTCACGCAGGCGAGTCATGGGGTCTGCCGGCCATGCACCCGCCCTGTCCCCCCTGGCCCCCTCATCGCCACCATCCGCCTTCCCTTTCATGCCCCACGCATGGCCTGATAACAACTTGGCTCCCCACTCCGCCCCTCTCTCGTCTCCCTCCTCCCCGTCCTCCTCCTCATCCTCGTGTCCCTTCCGTGTGAGCCGTCGCAGCCACGAGGCACGGGGCGAGCGCGTGGGGAGGCGCAGCAGGCAGTCCACGTGGCGGCACCCCGTGGGGCGGGCCAGCACGACAGGCAGCCCGGCAGGGAAGCGCGTGTGGGCGGGCAGACAGGTGCGCGGGGCGAGGCGCAGGGCAACGTGTGTGTCGTGCCCTGCGTCCACGTGGCCCAGGCGCGCAATGCCCTTGAGCTGCGCGCCAAGGGCAGACCATGCGGGCAGCAGTGCGAGGGAGCGTGGGGAGGAGAGGGAGAGCAGCAGCAGCAGCCAGGGGTGTGGGCTGCCGAACACTGCCTCTGCTATGTTGCCCGCTGTGATGGGCGTTGATTGCTGCAGCCACGCGTGTGTGTCGGGCAAGGGCGGAGGCGATGGGGGGAGGTGAAGCGTGTGAGGGGAGGGCGGCAGCAGGGAGGCGAAGATGCGAGCGGCACAGGCGGTGGCGAGGGGAAGCGAGTGAGGCAGGCGGTGTGCAGCGGAGGAGGAGCAGCAGACGGCAGGCAGCGAGTGGTGGTGGAGGTGACTGGCACAGTGTGATGCCATGCTCTGTTCCTGCTCTGCCATTCTGTCGCTGCCACTGCGCCTGCTGCGCTCATTGCTGCTCCCACTGTGGTTGCTGTGAGCAGCCAGCCACTCGCAGCACTCCCAGTCCGTGCCCATTTCCACTCCCATGCCAGCATCTGCCTGTGTCTCTCCTGCCCGCCCACCACCGCCACCACCGCTGGTGACTGCCGCGTCATAAGCAGCATGCACCATGTCGTCTTCTCCCAGCAGGTCGTACAGGCGGCGCAGCCTGGCACTGGACAGAACTCGGTGTGCTTGCTCCACCTGCATCCGTGGGTGGTAGTGGGGGGGAAAATGCAGGAGGACAAGAGCGCGGGGTGGTGCGAGGCAGGGGGGAAAAAGAGTGAGTGCAGAACGAAGGACAGTTGGAGGGGCAGGGGGCGGAGAGAAAGGCACGCACGCGGGAGCGCAATGCGCAGCATGCAGGCATGGATCTGCCCAAAGCTGCGCCGCGCCGCGTGCTGCAGGAACCACGCGCCGCGCGTGCCGCCCCCCTACCTGCACGGCGCGCTGCCGACTGACTTGCTCCGTCTCTGTTGCTGAAGCGCACCACCAGCTTTCCAGACACGTGTCATGCGCGGATTGGACGTCCGCCCATGACGCGGTGCGCGGGAGCGCCAGAACGTCGTAGAGAGAGGCGGACGGACCGAGCAGGGGATGGGCGGGACAGGGGGAGGCGGACGCGCGCGCAGACGGAGGAAAGGCGGTGCCGTGGGAAGCGGAGGTAATAGGCGGGGGAGGGGAGGGGGGGGACGAGATCGCGGGGCGGGGCTGAGTCGGCGCATCAATGTCCTCAGGCGGCGTGATCCCGCCCCCATGAGCGGCGGGCGACGTGCATTCAGGGGCGATGGCGCACGACCGCCGCCCATCGGCCTCCGCGGGCGTGGCATCAGCGAGGCATGCGCGGAGGGGCAGCAGCGAGAGAGCGACGACGAGCGACAGCGCAGTGGCAACAAGCCGCGGGCGCGCGGGGCTCATTGTAAGGGGCGCTGGCGGCGCGGACGGAGAAAACAGAGGACGCGCGCATGGGGGCAATGTAGCAAAGTACTGCCGTGTTTTCTCCTGGCTGCCTTCGTGCTAGGAACTCGCGAGGCGCGTTTTGCTATGAAAAGGGGCGAGTGAACGTGCAGGGGGAAGTGCGTGGTATGTTGGTCAAAAGTCGCATCTCAGCAGTGAATTGAATCGGATGAACTGGGAGTGCGCGAGGGATAATCGAATGCGCATGCACTAGATAAGGCGCCTCGATACAAACTAAAAAAATACAGAATACACGACCCTATGAAGCAAGTGAAATCACGAGCTACGTCCACAAGGGCCTAAACTGAGCAACTGACTTCCCTGCTAGCCACACATCACGCAACACATCACCCCTTCCACTTGGCGCGCCCAGTCCATCCAACGCAAATGCGATAGTGGCATCCACATGCGTGCGACCGCAGCTGACGAGCTTGCCTGACTCCATGGAGTAGAGCGCCACACGACACTCTCCACTGCTGCTGCCACGCGCGCTGCCCAGAGGCACCGGCACCACGACAAACCTGCCTCCATCCACAAATGCAGGGCGGAGTATTTGGCTGGAAGGGCGCGCTGATAGGGAGGCGGAGCGCGTGTGGTGGCCTGAGAGGGTGAAGAGAGGCGTGGCGGGCGAGCGAATGTCGTGCACGAGCAGAGCATGGTCGAAGCTGGACGACAGCACCACATTGCTGCCACTGCTGGGGCTGGCGCTGGTGGTGGTATCAACGTCAGTGGTGCAGGTGGCGGGCGAGGCGAGGGGTGTGCAGGGATGCCAGTGCACGGTGTTGACCTGGGAGGAGTGGCAGTGGTGCAGGGCCACTGCCACGGGTGCTGCTGCCCTCGTGTCCACCACCGCTATGCTGCCGTCTGCTGCTCCATCCACCAACACATCCCCGTCACTGTTGTCACATGCACGAGCGGGGGGGAAAGGGAAGAATAGGAGCCGTTGAGGGAGAGAGTGAGGGGCGAGAGGGGAGAGAAGGAGCGAGATGGGGGAGGAGGGACGAGCGGGAGAGAATTGAATGCAACCGGTGCAAGAAAGTTGGAGGAGGGCAGTGCAACATGGTGTTTTGCAAGACGGACGGGGATGCAACGCAGGGCAAAGAGCGCAATGTAGGCCGGGTGGCGTGAGGGTGTACCGGAGGTGCACGGTGCGCACAGGCACGTCGTGGTGCGTGAGCCGGCGGAGGAGGGAGAGGGCAGAGGGCCCCACGCGGCACAGAGACACGGTCTTGTCCTTGGACGCCGCTGCCACTAGCAGCCCCCTCTCGTGCATCCCAAATATGCCCTGCCCGTGCACGCCCGCCAGCTCACACACCACACGTGGCACCGTGTCATTGGGCGAGCCTGAGGCCTGCACGCGGCGGCGACGAGTGGAGGAGGCAGAAGGGGTGCAGTGGTGGCGGTTGATGTCCCAGAGAGTGATGGTGCTGTCGTTGCTGCTGGACAGCAGTAGCGTCGCACCCGCCTGGAGGACGGGCGCAGGAAAGAGGACAGGAGAAGGGAGAGCAGTGCACAAGGCAGCAGGGTGAGTGAGGGCACTGGCAGGGCAAGACATGAGAGAGCAGTGGTACAGTGATTACATTGATGACAGGGAGAAGAAGAGGAGGGAGCGGTGGCGAGGCACACCTGCTGTTGCTGTGAGAGGAACTGAACATGCGAGATCCATCCGTTCCCGCCCTTCCATGACAGCAGTGGTGCCACCTCGTCACCCTGCTGCTCCTCCCCCTCCTCCCCCCCTCCCTCCATCGACCACCACACTCTTCCCTTGGCACCTCCCGCTCCTACGTTCCCTGCATTCCACCCCCGTGCGCCTGTCGCACCGAACACTGCAATGCGGCCCTGATGCCCCCCTGCTGCGAGCAGGTAGCACCCACTGCCACCGCTGCTCCCGCCCCCACTCCCCTGTGCTCCCACTCCCATGGGCAGGACGTGCACGCTGTAGATCCTGCTCAGCCGCCCGTCCTGCATGTGCGCGCCCTGCACCAACCCCAGCGCCACCGATTGCGATGCTGGTGTCGCTTCCGCCGCGCTGCATCCATGGGGTGGTGATGGGAGGGCTCCCTTCACACCACCAACCTCGCCACTCACCCCATTCTCTCCATCCTCTCCTGCCACCCTCGTTGATCCCTGCACGCAGGTTCCCCCCTCCCCTCCACTGCCATCTCCTTCGCCTGCGCGCCTCTCTTGCCCCTCGCCCTCCTGCGCCCCTGCACCCCCGAGCACACGGCACAGGTACTTCACCACGGACGAGTCACCATACGCCACGTCATCCTCCTCACTGCATTCCTCCACATGACTCTCCCCATGTACCCCCTCTCCCACTCCCTCCCCGCCCTCTGCCTGCTTCCCGCCATCTCCTCCGCGCCCCTCTCCGCCCTCCCCCTGCGGCTTTCCCCTCAGCCGCGAGCTGCGCCGGACCCCCGCGTACCCGACCTCGTCCACGCCGCCACCCGCCCTGCCCGGCCGCTTCTTGTTCCGTCCGCCACCGCTGCCACTGCAGCTCGTGGGCGCGGGTGGCGGCGGGCAGCGCGGGACGAGGGGTTCGATGCCGAGGGAGAGGATGAGCTGCTGGTTGCGCCGTATGTTCGCCAGCCGCCGCTTCTCGTACTCCGTCAGTGACCCCTCCGCTGCACCTGCCTCGCTGCTCTCCTCGCCTCCCTCAACCTCCTCCTCCACATCATCCCCCTCTTCCTCCTCCTCCTCGTCTTCCTCCGCGTGCTCCTCCTTCGCTCTTCGTTCATCCACGCTCGCCTGTGCGCGTCCTGCCCTCTCATCCGTCGCTTCATGCACCACCTCGCGAGTCGTCGCCTCCTCGTGCGCGCGTGCCGTCATATCACCGCGCACAGCACATGGCGCTGGGTCACTCCCCACCGCGCCATGTGCGCGCGCGGCGTCTCCGCCCTGCACAGCAGCACGCGCACCACCGCCCGCATCCCCGCCACAGCCAGCAGATCGCTCTCCGCCAGCTGCGTCGCTCCACCGTCCGTCTCTCGCTCCGCCCTCCGCCTCCCTCGCCTCTGCATTCCGCCCTCCACCACCACTCCCAATGCCCTCGCCTCCTCCCGCGCATTGGCGGTCCTCTCTGTGCGCGTCTCCGATTTCCCCGCGCGCGCTTCCCCCACGCGCACCTCCGCCAGAACTTTCCTTCACCGCGTTCCCGCACCCCTGCTCCCCGACGCTGAGCGCGACGGCCGTGGGCGCTACACTGGACGGCACAGCAGCAGCGCGCGACGCGTGCGGCATGGCGGGCTCGTGAGCGTGCGAGCACACACCACGCCGCTGCAGCATGCCCTGCCTCTGCCCTTCTTCTCCCTCTTGCGTCGCCCCCCCGCAATCCGTGGCGCCATCACCCACGTCAGCGTCTCTCCGCTGCGCCGCACCACTAACACGTACGGCCTCGCGTCTCCGGCAAGTCTCCTCCATCTCCCCCCCTTGTGAGTCACACTGCCCATCCGCACTGCTGCTGCTCTCCCCACCGCCGCTGCTGCCGCCCACTTCCTCCGCGTGAGGCTGCGCGTCCCCCAACTGCCTCAGCCTCCTGTTGCGCCGCTTGCGGTCGCCCCATCGCTCCGCGGACGCGCCTCTGCACGCGCCTGCGATCGTCCAATACGCGGGAAACATTTTTTCGATCCCATTCCCCGCGCCCACGTCGCATTCGCCTTGTCTCGTCACAGCCTCCCTTGCTGCAACGAAATTGGTTTGCTTGCCTCCGTCGGGAGCGGGAGAGCCGTCGAGGGCGCGGTGGGTCGCTGCAGGAGTCGCAGTGCTTTTCGTGGCGGCCGACGGGCCACCACTGGGCTCGACGGCCGTGCCCGACGTCAGCTCGGCGGCGGCGCGCTTCTTGCCTGCCAGCACTCCGAAGAGCGATAGCTGCTTCAGCCGCTTGCACTGCGCATCCTTGCCAGCCCCGCCCGCCCGCTTCTTCGCACCACCCGCCGCAGATAATTGCCTCGCCGCCATTGCGAGCTACGCGGCGTCTGTCATGGCTTAGAATGTTCCAGAGCTAAGGTAGAAAGGGGATGATTGAATGAGATGAGGGGGAACGGGCCAAGAAATGTGCAGAGCCAAATGTGCCCCCCAGCCATGCTGTTTGAATTTTCAAAATTTGCATACGCGTTGTTGGAAAACCTCGTTACTGTTGTTTCTCAGCAAAACGTCAAGCGAGCGAGAATGATACGCTGCGATGGAAGGCGATATGTTTTTTTTGGCCGAAGCATCTGCAACACCCACCACCCACATCTGCCGAACGACAGAGTCAGTGCTCGCCATACTCCAGACGAAAAGCAGCAAGGCACTGCAGCATCGTAGCGCAGCATATCTCACCAGTTCCTCGCATGATACGCGACGCGACCCACCAAGAGTAAACTGTTAACTTGGCTTCCCCAACGGCTAGCCTTCCATCGTACGGCCGTTTCTATTCAAGCTGCAGGCGGCGACTGTTGTACCTTCCGCAGAGAGCGTGCGCTGTCAGTAGTGCTGTGCGGGTGGCCGCTGCCACACGCGGCGGCCAATGGGCAACAGCCACAGCACCGCGCACTCGCCCCATGCCCACGGCAGAGAACGCGGCGGCAGAAATTCCGCCGCCAATGTTGCCGCCGCAGACGCTGGCAGCGCAGACGCAGGCCGCACGAGCGCGGCGGAAGAAGGACCGCCCGCCGCAGCGGAACCCGCGGGATCGCTCCCAGCAGGCAGCGAGTCAGCGGCAAGGCAGCGGGCGAGCGGCGCAGCTGAGGGGCAGCGGCGGGGGCTGTCGTCGCTGACGGCGGGGCTTCTCTCCTCCGCGCGCGAGCACAGAGGCGCCTCGCGGGGGCGCGGATGGCGCACGCATGGCGGCACCTTGGCTCTAGGCGCCGCGCAGGCCAACGGCGCAGACGCGCAGGTACCGCGATGAACGTGCTGCCTTGGTCCGTTCAAAAGCTGGCGCAGTGGTGACGCCGCATCGCGTTCCGCGCTCGCCCTCCCTTCCCTCCCTACCCCTCCCTTCGCTCAGTTTCTACCCGTGGGTTACGCCCCCCCTCTCCGCCCACGTTCTCCCTGTTGTGCGCAGGTGCGCGCACCCCCTGCCACCCGCCAGCCTTCCGCTGGCACTGCGGGCAGGGCAAGCGCGGGGAGACGCGGGGCAGCAGGGGCGGGCGCAGGGGCTGGCGGCACTGGACGGTCCACCACTGCGGCCGCTGCAGCGGCGGCGGCAGCAGCTGTAGCGGCAGCGACGGCAGTGGATGGGGAAGCGGAGGCAGGGGCTGCGGGCAGTGGTAGTGGCGCTGCTGCTGCTGGTGGCCGTGCGGCGGCCACAGGGGGAGCAGCAGGCGAGGCAGGCGGAGGCGGGGGAGGAGGGGGAGGAAGGGGAGGGGAGGCGACGGAAAGGGGGACGGGCGGAGGGGAAGGGGAGGGCGAGCAGGCAGCAATTCAAGAACAGGTACGGGAAGTGGGTTGGGGCAAGAGATAGGTATCAACGGCGGCAATACACGAGCACATAATTCCCATTGCTTTCCAACTTCCTTTTCTCCGTTTCCCTCTTCTCTCGCCCTTCTCCCCTTCCCGTTTACAACCTCCTTTCCCTCTAGTGGGCCCTTTCCTTCCATTCTTGTCAACCACTCCCTTCCATTGTGTGTCTCCCTTCACTGCACCGACCTGACCCCCCTGCGCGCGGCTTACTGCAGCGCACGCAGACGGTGCGCAGCCTGGTGAACCTGCGCAAGCACTCCGTGCACCTGCTGCCCGTGCTACGCCGCCTGCAGTCGGTGCCAGGGGACCAGGGGGGGCGAGGGGACCAGGGGGAGCGAGCGGGGGATGCCAATGCAGCAGGGGGGAAAGAGGCTGTGAGCGAGGAGGCTGAAACAGAAGCAGCTGTGGAGGAGGGGAGAGGCGAGAGTGAGAGGACCCAACAGCATGACGGACAGCAGCAGCAGGAGAAGCCGGGCGGGAATGAGGGTGAAGCGTCAGGGGAGTGTGCTAAGGGGGTAGAGGAGGGTGTGGGTGGGAGCGTGGTGAAGATCCCACCCCTCTCATACCCGGCTGATGCCTGCTTGCCCGCGTCTGCTGCCCACCTGCCACCACAGTCAGCATCGGCAGCAGCACCAGGAGCAAATGTTATCGCAACATCGGCATCTGGGGCAGCGCAAGAAGCAGGGGAGGGGGATGCAGCGGCAGCAGGCGGGCAGGGAGTGGTACACCCGTACGTGTACGGGCTGTCCTTCATCGCTGACTGCTCTGTGCCCTGCAAGTAAGACCACACCCCTGCCATCGGACACACCCCCACGCCATGCGCTGCTGCACGGTGTTTGCTCGTCCTTCGCCACCGTGTTGGCAGCAAGCGGCGGCCGGTGTGCCGACCGCTGAACCACTCTCTGTTTCCGTGGCCGTGAATGACCGTCTCATCCGCACCTGCTTGCCTCACTCCTCTCCATCTTCCCCCCCACGTGCTGCTCGGCGTGCCTCCCGTGCTCCTCCCATGCAGTGTGACGGTGCATGTCATGGCGTATGAGAAGGACAGACACCGAAAAGACAAGCCGCCCAGGTGGGTGGGTGCGTGGGTGCAGAGGCATGCTGTGTTGACGGGTGGCAGTGTGGTACGTCAGTAGAGGGGGACTGGTAGGTGCGAGGCAGCACATGCCATTCTGTAGCACGTGGAGCGCAGTGCATAGCAGAGCAGAGGACTATTCAGTTGGCGCGTAAGGATTAAGGATTTAGCTTTGAATTAGTGCGGCACGTTTCGTTGCATGTGTGCTGTTGCCCATGTGGCTGTCCATGTCCGTCGCCCCTATGCCTTCGCATGGTAACTCCCACGACTCGACGCCTGCATCAAGTGCCCTCATATCTCCACACTCTCATTTTCGCCCGCATGCATACCCCTGCTCAACCTCCCCCCACCCGTCTCCCCGCCCTACTCCCCCCAGGCTCAAGTCGAAGGTGACGCAGCGCGAGGCGAGTGCAGCGGGCGTGGTGGCGGGGCTGGAGCAGACCTTCTCGCTGCCGCCCTCCTGCCTGCTCGCCTTCGATGGCTTCCAGGTCGCTCCCTCTTGCTGCACCCTCATCCGCCTCCCAGGGAGGAGCGAGTGCGAGGGAGAGTGTGAGGGAGCCATGAGGGTTGAAGAAGCGCTGAAGGAAAATGGATCAGGCAGAAATTGGGATGTCGAGTTTGGGTATCTCTGTGAGATTGAATGTGTGTGCTGTGCACCATGTTGAGCTTGCTGACTGCACCTCAGGTGCACACGTCTGTGTATGCGCCTGCCATTAACTTTTGCCGTGCTCGTTTGTGTGTGCGTGCGCGCGTGTGTGTGTGTGTGTGTGTGCATGGTCTATCACAGGACGCGCAGCTGACGTCAACCAAGACGTCACCATCGCACACATACCCCATTGTCATCCGCATCCAGACAGCGCTGGTAAGCCTCAACAATGACCCATGCGTTGCTTCACTTACTGGTGCTCTCCACCTGTGATCAATCAACCTTCAAGTACATGCTCATCCTCTCCCACTAGAACCCTGTCAGGCGTGGCCCGGCATTCATGCTGCGTGCATGTGTGCCCGTCTGTGCCTCTCCCAGCCTGCAGGTCGGTCGCATGACCCAGCAGCACGGGCGCAGCAGCAGACGCACACCACGTATGCCACGCTCGTCAAGCAGGTCCTCCCACGCCCTCTCACCTCGCTCCCTCTGCTCCGCCTTTCCTTCTGCCTTGCGCTACCCGTGCCCCGCTTGGGATTCACTCCACTTCTCCCTCTGATGTGTCCGCACTCCACCTCTGAGTAGCCACGTTGCAGCCCGTCACTTGCATGGCCTGTCGTCTCTTCCCCCATCCATCCGTGCGTGCGTGTGGGCAGGCGGACAGCACGTACGGCGTGCAGGTGTTGAAGCAGGTGCTGTGGGTGGGCGGCTGCTCGTATGTGCTGCATGAGATCTTTGGCATCGACGGCCCTGCCTCCTCACCCGCCCCACTGCATGCCGCACCTGGGGATACTGCCGATCCCAATGGAGGGGGGGCTAATGTGGTGCGTGGGGTGGATGGGGTGTGTGGGGGCGGATGGTGAGGTGGATGGTGGGGCTCCTGAGTGGGAGGGAGAGCCAGGGTAGCATGCATTGGGCTGTGGCAGGAGCAGGTGTGGGTGATTTATCTGGCAGTGAGCAGGAACGAGTGGATGTGCTCAAGCACATGCGCTTCACATTTATTGTGCTCCCGTCCTTGCTGTGTCCCCTTGGCCCCGTTTCCGGCTCTCATGCCTCTCCACGTCTCTCCCTCCTCCCTCCTTTCCCTTCCCTCCGTGCTCTCCCTCTCTCCTCTTCTCCCTCTTCCCTGCCCTCTTTCTTGCCCTCCCCTGCCGTTCTCCTCCCTGCATGCAACACCGCCCTGGTGCAGGAGTGCGTGGTGTGTCTGGAGGACCCGCGAGACACGCTTGTGCTGCCATGCCGCCACCTCTGTCTCTGCCTGCACTGTGCCAAGGCGCTCCGCTTCCAGTCCAACAAGTGCCCCATATGGTACCAGTACCCTCTTGCCTCAGGCTATTGTGTCTCTCCGTTCTTCGTATCGCCCGTGCCATCCATCGATTTGTCTTTGCTCCCTTGCCTTGCCGCTCATTGTGGTTCTTCTGCCCCTCTGCATGTTCCCTGCCCCACATCGCTCTCTGGCTGCTGCCTGCCGCTGTGCCCTGTGCGCCCCATGCCAGTCGCAGCGTCGTGCAGTCTCTGCTGCAAATCAAGCTCTCAGCCCCACGTGACTCCACACCGGGGGAGGCTGCTGCTGCCACTGCCACTGCCAATGGTAGCGATGCTGCTGCTGCTTCTGCCTCTGATTCTGGTGTTGGTGATGGTGCTGGCAGCAGTTCTGGTGCTGCTGGTGCTAGTGCTGGTGCTGCTGCTGATGGTGGTCATGCTGCTGCTGGTGCTGCTGTGGACACTGTGACAATCAGCTCTATCAACACTGAGTTAGAAGCAGGAGTCGGGCAGGGGGAGGAGGAGCGGAAGGGGAAGAGGTTGGAGCAAGTTCAAGTAATGGAAGGGAGGAAAGTGCATGGGGAGAGGGAGGTGCAAGCTGGTGGGGAAGACGAGGGGCAAGGGATGGGGGAGAGAGAGGGAGTGAGGAAGGCAGGGAGCAGTTGTACAGGTGGCACAGAGGAGAGCATTATGTGTGGTGGGGGTAGTGGTGTGGCTGAAGCTGGAGCGGAAAGGATGAGGGCAGACGGACAGGAGGGGGCGAGCAGAGAAGAGGGCGGAGAAGCAGGTGCGGACTACAGGGTAGTCGGTGCAAAGCAGAGGGTTTTCATGAGCGGCAGTGGGAAAGGTGTGGAGGGAGGAGTAGACAGAAGAGAGATGACGTGCGAAGAGGTGAGCCAAGGAGTGGGAGGAGAGGAGGCGCACGAAAAGGAGGAAATGATGGTGCAGGTGGAAAGTGGGCCTGGCAGTGGGGAGTCGCATGCAGGGCAGCTACAAGGGGTAGGAGTGGCCCACGAGGCCCGGGTTGAGGTCGGGTGCTAGTGTGCTGCGGCCCTTCCCCTCAACTCACGCTAATTATTCTCCCCAATATAGATTGGCTGGTCAAATAGTGGGCTGTGTATCGTTGACCATTGCCAGGTATGGTATGTGAGAACGGTTCTAGCACTAGGTACTGTGCTATGTACGGTAAAAGCAGCTGCCTGGTTGCTCTATCCGGATTTTTTACCTGCATGATAAGGGCTTAGTACGTGGTTCTTGCTACAAGTTTATTCAACTCCCAGTTCAGTCCAGCCAGTCAAGAAACCAGTGCAGGGCCCTCCTTCCCAGACCTTGGACTTGGCAAGCAAAGCAACTCCAACTTACACTACACTGGTTCATCCAATTGTTCCTTTTTGTCTCGTACGGTAATAAAAGCCTGACGCACAAGGTAACAGCAACAACAACGGCAATCTCTAGCATGTGCGCGTGAGGCGCGGCAGCGGCTACTGCACAGAGAGCACCTCGATGTCAAAGACGAGTGTGGAGTTGGGCATGATGCCCCACGCGGGGAAGCCGCCAGCCCCGTACGCATAGTCAGGCGTGCACTGCAGGCACGTGGGGCAGGGATGCATGGGGGGACACACACACATTCTCGGCACAAGCCTGGGGGAGTATCCTCAAAGGGTGGACTGGTAAATAGGAACGCACAGGTATGTGCAGGGGAGGTAAAACCCGTCCGGGGAGAAAGGAAAAAGGTAAACAGATACCGGGATCGGAAGCGAATCGGAAGCAAATCGAATCGGGTGTGAGGGGAAGGTGGAGTTTGTTCGAAGAGAAAAGGAGAGAGGAGCAATGGGACGGATAAGAAGGGAGGAGGGTGGAGAGGGAGGATGAAGCGGTTAGAGCGGAGGGATGGGGAGGGGGTGGCGTACAGTGATGCGAGCTTGCTCGCCCAGCTGCATGTTGATGACACTCTCGTCCCACCCTGGCACAGGGGACGGACGGGCATGCGGAGGCGCAGGAGGGCAGAGGGCACACAGGAGGACGCGGTTGAAGGAGGCTGGTGGCACGGAGAGGAATGGAAGGCGGGACGGAGCACCGGTGGAGAAGTGCGGGAAGCGAGGGGGAATGGAGGTCGCGCAGGAATGAGTGGTGTGCGTGCATGCGCGTGTGTGTACGTGTGTGTACGTGTGTGTACGTGCGTGCATGGCAGCAGCGGCGCTCACCCTTGATGACATTGCCCAGCCCCACTTGGAAGGTGAACGGCTGCTGCCCTGGGTCCTTGGTGCTGCCGTGCGCCATGCACCGCCGCGCGCGGGTGGCGCGCGCACAGCCAGCGTCACGAGCGTGGGGGGGAGAAGGGGAGTGCGTGCGGAGGAGAATGGGCAGAAGGGGATGGGAGAGGAGCAGAGGCACGGAGGGTTGAGCATGTCAGTGGCGTGAAGAGCAGCAAGGGCGAGGCACTGACAAAACAAGGGCGCAGGATAAGAGCAACTTATACTCTACGGAAGCAGCAAATCAAAGCATGCGGGGAGATCAGTCCCCACCCCACCCCGCCCCCCACGTCTCGCCCCCGCGTACCTCCAGAACTTCTGACTCAGATCGCGGTTCTTCCCTGCCGTACCGGCACCCCCCCGCGCGTCGCACGAGGAACGCGGCGAATACGCGAACGGGTGGACGCACGGGAAGGCGGAGGGTGCGGATCGCACGTGGACGACGGACGAGAATCGGGAGCCAGGAAGGCGATCGCAGGGAACGGAAAGAGAACAATAAGAAAAAAAACGGAGATTCGCGAAAAACAAATGGTGCGGAAACAATCAGGATCTGCATCGGGAGAGACGGGTGCGGAAGGTCGACTCGATGCGACGCGACATACGAGGGCAGCGCGGCGCGAGGAACGGGGCGCAGCGGCGAGGGGCGGCTCACCGTAGCCGGTGCAGTGCACGGTGACGGTCTGCCCCTTCCTGGGCGTGGGCCCCGATCCCGCGGCGAGCAGCTGCTTCTCGAACCCCATCGTCGCTGATAACGCCGCCGTCGCTGCTCTCGTCGTCGTGCTGGCGCGCGCCGGGTGGGCAAGGCACGGTGGCAGAGGCGGAGCGAGAAATGACGAAGCAGATTGGTGAGTGAGTGGCTAGGGTGGAACGGCAGTGGCAATTTGTGGAATGTGTTGCTCTAGCAGGGGTGGATGGAGCAGCCAGGGACAGAACACTCTGTACGCTGTTTTGGCACACTAGTGTACCCTTCATCAGTGAGTGGAACCCAATAATTAAGCCTGGCATATAATCATGTAATCATGCTACAATTGCTTCCCTTGGTTGGTAGCGCCATCTGCTCCCTGTCAACAGGACGGCCGCGCCACTACGCTGGCATCCACAAGTACCTCGCTGCTCAGCTGCTCTATACCTTCACTCGTCGCTACCGATTACTCGTGCAACCGCCTTTCTTCCTTCCGTGCGCTTTACTGCTGCTCTCCTCCTCCCACCGCCCACGTAATCGCATCCTCCTCGCCTTGCCTTTGCCCGCGCCGTTCCCCGCGGGCCGCGCAGCAACCCTCCCCCACCACACACGAGTCGGTCCCCGGCCATGCCCACCACGCCACCAGCGGGGGACTGCGCTATCGTCAGGCCGGGGGAGCATGTGGGGGATTGCCCTGCGCGTAATTACGTGCTGCGCGAGTGGCAGCATGCCGTCGTCTGTCAGCCTAATGACCTCGCTGCAGACGCTCTTTCTCCTCAACAACTCCCTCTCAGCCTTGCCACCCATAAGCCTCGCCTCGCTGTCGGCCCTGGGCCAGCTGGACCTTTCCAGAAACAACCTCACTGGCCCCATCCCCCCCTTCTGCGGCTCGCCCAGTTACACGCGGCTGCGCAGCCTGCGGTTCAGTGGCAACGAGCTGAGTGGGCGCGTGCCAGCGACGCTAGGCAGGTGCGAGCTGCTGGAGATCCTATTCCTGGACAACCGCCTCTCGGGCTCCCTCCCTGCCACCTTCCGCATGCTGCGCCGCCTGCGCCAGGTGCGCCTGGAGCGCAACAAGCTATGGGGCCCACTGCCGCTGGCGCTGCTGGAGAACATCACCGATATCTGGCTGGAAGGCAACGCCCTTTCTGGCCGCATACCGCCCGACCTCAGCTCGGCAAAGCGCCGCTTCATCTACTTCTCTGCGCCACACAACCGGTTCAGCGGACCACTGCCGGCGTGGCTGGGGCGGCTGGTGATGCTGGACTTGTCGTTCAACGCAGTCACGGGCGCCATCCCACGTGCCTTCATCGCCTCCACCGCTAACCTCTCTACAGACAATGCGCAGCTGCCCGCGCTTGTGCGCGTTGACCTGACCTCAGCAACAACCGCTTCTCGGGGATGATCCCTCAGTTTCTTGGTGCCACCCCTTCTGGTGACAGCGGTGCCACAAGCGCATGTACCGCGAGCATGGCGCAGCTGCTGCTGGGCGGCAACGAGCTGGCAGGGTCCATCCCTGACACCCTCTCCACGCTCACACAGATCGTCGCCCTCAATTTCTCCACCAACCGTCTGTCGGGCTCACTGCCCTGGGGCTTGGCGGGCCTGCAGCAGCTGTCGGTGCTGGACGCCTCCTGGAACGCCCTCACCGCCTCCATCCCTTCCACCCTCTCGTCCCTCCGCTCCCTCAGCCTCTCCTCCAACTTCCCCTCTGGTCCAATCCTTGCCGGCCCACTTTCTGCCCTCCCCGTGGCTTCCTATGCCAACAACTCCGCTCTCTGTGGCCTTCCCACCAACGTCTCCTGGTCCAGCAGCTGCAGTGGCAGGTATTGTGGCAGCGAGTGTGTGTGCGCTTGCCCTGGTGGCAGCAGCACTGTGTGTAGTGGGGAGGAGGAGGGAGGTGGAGAGGAGGAGGAGGCTCAACGGGTACTTGCTGATGGTGAAGCAGGCGCCAGTGAGAGTGACGGTGGAGGGGATAGTGGAGGGCACCAAGAGCTTCTGGGGAAGGGCGGCTTTGGCAGCGTCTACAAGTAAGCCTGGGGTCTACACCCCCTTACGGCTGAAAATAGTTCTTCTACAATTAAGTGTGCTACCACCTGGTTATGATTGCAAGCACAGCATGCAGATTCTTGCCACGTGATCGTTGCACTACCATGCATGCTACTCTTTCCCACATCACATCCTCCCTTCACTCTTGTCCCCCGTCCATGTGCCTCCCCCCCCCTGTGTGTGCCGTGCTGGACCCGCTGCTGGGGCCGTGTGCGCCCACCAGGGCAGTGGAGGCCGTGCTGAGACTGGCGTTGCGGTGCACGGCAGAGCAGAGCCAGAGGCGGCCCTCCATGCTGGATGCGTGGACGTACCTCACGAGTCGGCATGGTGTGGTGGCGCACATGCAAGACGAAGGTGGGGAGGGCTTGGATCTGTCACTGGAGCAGCAAGGCATGGCGTGGGATGCTGGGGGCGTTGGATCTGGGTCGACTTGTGTACTGCCTGGGAACAGAGCAGATGAGGAGGATAAGGGTGAGAAAGATAGTGACATGCACATGGGTGAGGTTGGAAGCTGTTGTGGGGCTAAAAAGGCATAGCTAGTGCAGCGAGATAAGGGTCAAGTAGAATTTTGGTACTGGGTTGGTTGTAGACAGAGGTGGAAGATACCTGAGACTTGTACCACATCAATCACATTGCACTACAAGTCAGCATAGCATATAGGACCAATTCTAATTCCCCTGAAACTGTTTTTCACAGGGTAGTGTGGTATTATTCCAACAAATCGCAAGGCGTCCCTCGTTATCCCACTGGTGGGCTAAACACTTTTCAGTAAAAACGTTTGTGAAAGCGGTTTCATCACGTCGTGCTCTAGTTGTTTTGCTTCCTGGAATATATCATTTTGGTATCTATTTCCGTCAACGTCATTTGGAAGTACCCGTCATTCGTAGAGAGCACCTGGAAAACGATGCACGTGCCTAACATGTCTCGCAGTGAGTGCACTTGGGCACATCACACCCGCAGCTACACAAGTCGTCAGCTGTCCGGATGGCGTCTGGTCTGGTCTGTCGGATGGCAGTCTGTTGCTGGGGGCCAGGCAATGGAAGTGACCGGGGGGTGGGGGGGAAGAGCGGCAGGGACAAGAGCAAAACAGGGTCAGGAGTGCTGCACAGAACCCCTGGAGGGGACAGGTTCTGTCGGAAATGGGAGGGGAACGTGGGGAGGGGGTGGGTTTTGTGCGAGCACTTGCCCGACAGCCCAACATGCCGCTCTCACCCGGTGGCTAGTCAGACTGGCGTTCGGTCTCAGAGACAAGCACATGCGTCTACTCTACACTGCCATGAGAATCCCGCGAAGTTTTTCAGTGAAGTTACCCTAGGCGAAGTTACCGTATGTCCAAACCCCCTCCTTGCATCAGCAAGTGTCAAGATGAGAGAGGCCACATTGCCACGATTTCCCTGAAATGCCCTGCTGCTAGAACCACCCCCCATTGCCGCTGTGGTTTGGTAACAGGCGCACTGAGAGCAGCATCGCAGAAGGGGAGGGAAGGTGCCGTTGCAATGCAGTGTGTTGGGGAGATGGCGTGCGAGGAGGAGAAAGAGTTTCTAGCTGGGGGAGGAGGGGGAGGGGGGAGGGTGAGGAGGAGGGTGAGGGGGAAGGGGGGACGGAGATGGGAGGCGAAAGGGGGGGTGGAAAACGCGGAATGGTCCTCCAGAACATGCTTCAGTGCCAGCAACGCACTGGCTGGGGAGAGGAGTGGGAGGGGGAATGAAAAAGGGAAGGCAATTGGGCTTTTGACCCCAAAGTGGAAGAAGTGGGATGATTCCCCAAAGCCCGCTTCAGCGCCAGCAGCGCGCTCGCTGGAGGAGGGGATGGGGACATGGGAAAGCGGGAGGAGGGGGCAAGGGGGAGGCGATTGGGCGAGGGGCCGTCCGACCACCTGCCTGCCTGCCAGGGAGAACGAGGGGAGGTCCTCCTCAGCCTGCGGCTGAAGGGAGGAGTGGGAGGGGGAGGGGGAAGGGGAGGGGAGGAAGACAGGAGGGGAAAGGGAAGATGGGAAACAGGGAATGGTCCCCCTTCCCATGTCAAACCCGCGTCCCACTCCGCCCTCACCCCTCGTGCATCTCTCGTGGCGGGCAGCATGGGTGGCAGCTCGCGTCTCGTCGGACGCGGCGGAGGGCGGTGCTGTGAGCATGGCACCACCATCGCCGCCTTGTGAGGCGCCTCAATAGACGCGAGCACCTCCGCCGGAACGGACGAGGCGCGCGCGGAGGTTCCTTGTCTGCCCGTCGGTTGGAGGTGCCTAGTCCGTGTTTTCGTTGGGAAGGAGAGGGCGAGAGCAGGTGCGGGCAGGAGAGCAGGGAGTGCAGCACACGGGGCAGCCGGGTTGGGGGTGGCAGCAACGCACGCAGGGGAGCAAATGGAGCATTCAAACAAAAAACGCAAAAATAATAATCATAAAAAAAAACTATTAGAGATGATAATCGGTATTCGATTTCTTGTACTACCGCAAACCACTGCGCCACCTCCGTTGCCCCATTGAATAAAGCCTCTCTCTGTCTCCCCCTCATCTGCGACCCCATTCCCCCCATCCCCCCTTTCCCCCCTCCCCCTCCCCCCTTCCACCTGGCCGCGCGCACCTGATGTGCGCGCTCTTCCTCTGGTGGCGGCGCGCAAGGACGGTGCGGCGCTTGAGCGCGGGCGTGGCGGCGTCGAAGACGATCAGCGGGCGGATGCAGGAAGAGCAGCTTGCACACGTGCCGCAGGAAGCCCGGCACGTGCGCGCCCGGAAGGAGCATGGTTAGAACAGGCGGCTGAGCACACAGGACACGCTCGATCATTCGCGTTTCTATTGACAAACTTTCATCGCGTTTCTACTAGTACGATCGTGACGCGAGCAAGCTGCATAAACATCGCTGCATCCGCTTCATGTGATTGACAGTCCTTGCTTGGATAAAAAGTAGGTCTCGTACATTACCGTATATCACCGTGACGCAACGATCTCGACTTTCTGCATTTTGTTTATAGTTTACTGCATTGCACCGCGACGCAACTATTTCAACTTCTGAGCCTATCAGCCTCCAACAAAGTGCCAGCGTAATCGGACGGCCCGCATGCCATATCAGCAATCACTTGCACTTTGTTCACCTTACCCCTCGGTTTTTCACGTTACTAAACGGTATATCGTTGTTGACCTCGGTCCTTCCCCTTCCATCCCAACCAAGGACCAGACTCTACCTTGGGGATTCCAGTTTCCCTAGCCGAGCCAGTTGCTTGAGAGCTTTCCCGTCTGTCATTTCCTATTTCATTGTGCAGGGTAACCTGTTTCGCTGACTTCCCACCTACTATTGTCTCAGCTTTTCATCTTCAGTCGCCTAGATCACCCGCGAAGAATCATAGAAAAGCGTCTTTCTCTCGTTCTTCCAAGGAGCAGACTAGAAATATTCGTGCTATTCAGAATACATACGTTCGAATTTGTTTCTGCCAGTCGCAACGTTTCCACCCGTTCGCGCGTTCCAGTGGGAGCGGCGAGTGGTGTGGCCGGTAGTGGACAGTAGCAATGGCTTGTCTCCTCATCATATCCGTCGCATCCGTTGCACCCGTCGCATCCGTTGCACCCGTCGCATCCGTCGCATCTGTCGCACCCGTCGCATACATGCATGGCATAGCCATTCCTGCGCTTATCCGCGTGCATTTCGTGCTGAACCGTGTCGTGCGCCCCGTGAATTTCGCCTGCGCTTTGGTGCTTTGCGTGCATGATGGTGTGCGTGCTTGTGTGTGTGCGAGCAGGTGGAGCACACATCCGACCCTGCCCAGGTACGCTCCTCGCACACGCCAACCGTACGGCACGCGCACGCAACGCGCTCGCCACACGCATGCCACGCGCATGCCACGCGCTCGCCACACGCATGCCACGCGCATGCCACGCGCTCGCCACACGCATGCCACGCGCACGCCACTCCTTGCCTGTGCATGCGCCATCTCACAGGTGTACACGTATAATGTACTGGCGTGTCGTATCTCTATGTCGTTTCCCCTCCCTCCTCCCCTCTCCTGCTCTCCTCCCCTCCCCTCCCCCCCCCTGCTCCCCGCCATGCAGGGGCTATCGGAGGTGCAGGTGGTGGTGAACCGGGGGCGGTATGGGGAGAACCGGCTGACGCCAGGGTACGTGATGCCGTGGTGGGTGCGCTACCTGCTGCAGTTCACCAACTTCTTCTCCCTGCTCCTCATTGTCGCCGCCGCCCTCTGCTTCCTCGCCTACGCCATCGACCCCGCCCATGACAAGGAGAACGTGAGCGCTGATGGCGCAAGGAAAGGGTCGGTATGGGAGGGAGGGGAATGGGACGGGAGGGTGAGGGAGAGGTGCGTGGTGGTGGGGTGACGGTGGGGTGGGTGGGAGGGAGGGAGGAGATGGGGTGGGGGAGCACGGAGGATGGGAAGACGCGCTGGCAATTTTTTCGGGCACCATACGGGCCTGTGTGCCTGTGCCTTGCCGCTACCACCATCACCCACGCTTGCGCGTTCATGCCGCAAAACACTCTGTTTTCAACGAATCCGATGCAAAGAGAATGCACACAGCACGACGACATAGCCGCCCTAAAGCCTCTCAGATGTATTCCCCCCCTCTCCCCTCCCCCCTCTCCCCCCATCCCCCACCTCTGCCCCACTCGGCTTGTCCCCCCGTTTCCTACCCATCCGGTAAAACCTCCATGACACCCTCTTCCTCTTCCTCTCCCCTTCCCCCTCTCTCCCCTCTCCCTCTCCCCATGCTTCCCCCTGCCCACCTCCCCCCCGTGCAGCTATACTTGGGCATAGTGCTGGTGGTGGTGGTGGTGGTAACGGCGTCCTTCACGTACTGGCAGGAGGCGCGCTCAGAGCACATCATGGACTCCTTCCGCCAGCTCATCCCCGCCACCTCCCGCGTCCTGCGCAACGGCCGTGTGCAGGTGAGCTCATGCACGCACGCACGCACCCACACTGCATGTTGAACTGCACCCCCTCCCCCTTTTAGTGATGCAGATGCATCCTCTTCCCTTTCTGCCCCCCACCACCCCCCCCTCCCCCTCCACCCTCCCTCCCCCCACCCCACCCCCCCCCGTTCCCTCCTCTTTCTCTCCTTATTCTCGAATCTGACTTTCTTTCTAAGTCCTGTGATTTTAGCGTTTCTCCCCGTCCGTGTATGAGACGCCCAAGCGCTACCCTGTGGCTGACCATCCGTTGAAGGCACACTCTGCCTAACGCTGCCATGCATTGCTGCTGCATCCCACTGTTATTACATGGACGACTGGCTTCATGGGTGTATGTGTGCATGACGGCATGGGTGCATGTGTGCATGGGTGCATGGGTGCATGTGTGCATGGGTGCATGTGTGCATGGGTGCATGGTGCATGTGTGCATGGTGCATGGGTGCGTGGTGCATGTGTGCATGGTGCATGGGTGCGTGGTGCATGTGTGCATGGTGCATGGGTGCGTGGTGCATGTGTGCATGGTGCATGGGTGCATGGGTGCATGTGTGCGTGCATGCATGAGAGCAGGTGGTGGATGCGAGTGAGTTGGTACCAGGGGACGTGGTGGAGCTGAGTGATGGCGACAAGGTCCCAGCGGACATACGCCTCATACACGCCACCGACCTCACTGTCGGTCACACCTCCGTGCCAGGGACCCGAGCCTTTTTGTGAACTTGCTCCTTAGGTCATCGCTCCCCAACCACCCTTTCAACAGTAGCCATGCAGGAACCACGCTGCCTACCTGTCCACCATTGCACGCACCTCCTCGTCGCATCCTCACCATACAATCACCTGTACATTCCCTTCACCTCTCCTCTCCATCACCCTCCCCTCGTCCCCTCTACCCCCTCACCGTCTCCCACCCGAACACCACCGCTTTTCCCAACCCTTACCCCCCACCTTTTCCTTTTTCCCACCCCATGCGTGCAAGGCAGGTGGACAACAGTGCGCTGACGGGCGAGTCAGCGGCGGTGGAGCGCGGGGCGGAGCTGGCAGTGGATGCGCAGGGCAAGCCCGTGACAGAGCCGCTGGAGGCAGCCAACCTCGTGTTCTACGCCACCATTGTGGCCAGCGCCCATGGCAAGGGCGTCGTCATTGGCACCGGGGATAACACTGCCATGGGGCAGATCGCAGGTGCGTGCTGTCCGTTGCCGCTGCAAACGCTATTATAGTCTTATCTTGTGCTGCGATTCCCCACCCCCCTTCCCACTTCTCGCCACGTGCTCTTAACTCCTGCATCTTTTTACTCGCCTCTCCCCTCCCCCTTCTCCGCTCTCCCCTCTCCCCGTGACGGGGCAGGTCTGTCGGTGCTGACACCCCCGGGGGACACGCCGCTAGCAGTGGAGTTGAAGCAGTTGGTGGGCATGATCAGCCTGATGGCCGTGGTGATGGGGCTCGTGTTCTTCGGCATCGCGCTGCTGCTGGGCGACCCCTTCCTGCACACCGTGGTGTTCGGCATTGGCGTCATTGTTGCCAACGTGCCTGAAGGGCTCATGGCTGCTGTCACGGTGCGGGGGAAGGGAGGAGGGAGCGATGAGGGGAAGGAGCGTGGGGGGGAGGGATTGGGGGAGGGAGGGAGAGATGGAGTGGCAGTGCGAGTGGGAGGGGTGGCATGCGGCGGGTGGCCATGTGCATGCTGAGGTCGTGATGTCATGACACGCCTCACATGGCATCAATGCGTGTACGCACCGCCAGTGCATCATGCATGAATAACGCACTGAATGGCATCCCACCCGTGTCGTGTTCCCTCTGCCGTGCGTGCTGCTCCATGCGTGTGCCACAGGTGTCCCTGGCGCTAGCAGCGAAGCGCATGCATGTGCGCAGTGTGCTGGTGAAGAACCTGCAGGCCGTGGAGACCCTTGGCTCCTGCACCGTCATTGCCTCTGATAAGACCGCCACCCTCACCCAGAACCGCATGACCGTCCGTGCGTGCCCCTTCCTCCCTCACTCCTCCTTCGCCCCTCATCCTGCTTCCCTCCTTCCTCTTTCTGCAATTCCTCCCTCTCTATCCTCTCTCTCCCTTCCTCTGCCCTTTTCGTTACCCTCCTTTGCTACCTCACCCCGTTTTCCAACCCCTCCCCCACCATGCACTGGCACGTGCCTATGAACTGCATATGTACACGTTTGTAAATGAGGAAGTTTCAACTGGTTCTGCTGTGATCTTCCCACTCCTCCTCCTGCCCCTCCTATCCTTCCGTCCTGAGCCCTTCACCCTCCTTCCCTCGTCCCCTCTGGTATATTTACTCCCTTCCTCTCCCTTTCCCCCCTCCCGCCTCGCCTTACTGCAGAGCACTGCTGGTACGACCTGCGGGTGTTTGATTGTCCGGTGGTGCGAAACCGGGTGGAGTGGGAGGAGGTGATGCGAGGGCCAGCAGCAGCGACAGCGTATGAGCCGCAGTCACCCACATTCCAGAAGCTGCAGCTCATCATCTCGCTCTGCAGCAACGCCGTCTTCCTCACAGGTCTGCTTTCTCATGACTCGCTTTCCCTTCTCACACGCCTCAGTACGGCACTGCGATGTTGTTGTTCTGCAGCAACTGTGCGGGGAAGTGTGTGTGCTTGTGCTTGTGTGTGCTTGTGCTTGTGCTTGTGTGTGCTTGTGCTTGTGTGTGCTTGTGCTTGTGCTTGTGTGTGCTTGTGCTTGTGTGTGCTTGTGATTGTGTGTGCTTGTGCTTGTGCTTGTGCTTGTGCTTGTGCTTGTGCTTGTGCTTGTGCTTGTGCTTGTGCTTGTGTGTGCCATTTCATCCACGCATGCACCTTCTCCCTCCTGCACTCCCACCCTCCCTTCCACTCAACTCCCAACCCCACTCCCTCTCCCCATCCCCGCTCCGCACTCCACCCCACCCACAGAGGGGCTGGTGATGGGCATAGAGATGCGGCGGCGCGAGTTTGACCTGCACGCGGCGCCGTGTGCAGGGGACGCATCAGAGCAGGGGCTGCTCAAGTTCGTGGAGCCGCTGCGGCCCGCCAAGGAGCTGAGGGACCTGTACGCCAAGCTGTTTGAGATCAAGTTCTCCTCCGCCACCAAGTGGCAGCTCTCCATCCACGTGTATGGCGCTGGAGGGGGAGGGGGATGGGGATGGGGAAGGTGGGGGGGAGGGGGGAGAGGAGGTTGGGGACGAGAGCGGGAAAGCCGTAGGCGGGGAAAGAGGTGGGACGGCAGAGACGGTGTTGGAGCGGTGCCCTGTTTGAGTTGACTATAAACCCCCTACCACTCCTGCCCCCATTCTTTATACCCTCCCCTCTCCTCCCCTCCCCTCCCTTCACCCATTCAACGCCACAGCCAGTCAGCGCAGAACCGGTTACCGCCGGTGCTGGTGATGAAGGGCGCACCAGAGACGGTGCTGGAGCGGTGCGCATACATCCTGGTGAACGGGCAGGTGTACGACCTCACCAGTGACAGCCGCAAGCACTTCCAGGAGGCGTACCAGGGATGGGCGGCTTTGGGGAGCGCGTGCTCGGCATGGCGTTCCGGGACCTTGACGGGTTCACCAACGAGTTTGCGGTGAGATTCGTGTGCTGCTGCTGTGGCTGCTGCTGCTGCGGTGGGTGCAGCTGCTGCTGTGCGGTGCTTTGTTTCTCAGTGCTCTCTTGCTCTGCTCTGCTGCTCATGCGCTGCCTAGCTCTGCTTCCACACGCTCGTTCACCCCAACCCCCTCCTGTCCATCCCTCCCCCCTTTCTCCCCGCCTTCCCTCTTCCTCCCTTCCCTTCTTCCCCTTCCCCTTCTCGTCTCACCCCCCCCCCGTCTCCTCTCGTGGCAGTTCACGCACAAGCCGCAGCCCAACTTCCCCACGGGCGGGCTGGCGTTCGTGGGCATGGTGAGCCTCATGGACCCGCCGCGCCCGGGCGTGCCCGAGGCCGTGGCACAGTGCCGGCGCGCCGCTGTGAAGGTCATCATGGTCACGGGCGACCACCCCATCACCGCCACCGCCATCGCCACCACGGTACATGCGAGAAACACAGGCGGATGGGGAAGGGGACGGGAGGGAAGGGGGAAGAGGGGGGAGAGGGACGGGAAATTTGTAAACGTGAGGCCTGGGGGGTTGTCAGGCATGGGGAAGAGGTGAAGGTGAAGGTAATCATGGTCACGGGAGACCAGCCCCTCCTCCTGCTCCATCACCACTTCACCTCATCCTCTCTCACTCTCTCCCTCACTCCCGCCCTTTCACTGTCTCGAACGGCCACCCTGTCTGCCCCGTCGCGCACGGGCAGGTGGGCATATTGGAGAGCAGCAAGGTGGAGGCGGGCAGTGCGGCGGTGGTGACGGGTGATGACATCAGGGCGTGGAGTGCACTCACCCCCAGGGAGGAGATTCTCAAATGGGACGAGGCCCTCTCGCACGACCAGGTGTGATTCTCAACCCCAGGGGGAGGTTCTCTTTCCCCCTTCTCTTCCGCCACGCCTTTCATTTCCTTAACGCATTCACTGCGCTACCTGCAAGCTCACTCTCATCGCGCTCTCCTATCCTGCTCCCCAAGCACTGCAACCAGCATGTCTTTTCACGCTCTTCTCCACCTTCCTTGCTCTCCTCCCTGACCCCACTCCGCACTGCTCTCCCATTCCCCCTCCTTCCCCCCGCTTTCCCCCTTTTCTCCCCTTCTTCCCCCCTTTCCCCCCTTTTCCCTCCTTCCCCCCCTTTTCCCGCCCTCCCCCCCCCCGCACCAGGTAATCTTTGCGCGGGTGTCCCCATCGCACAAGCTGCTGCTGGTGGAGCACTGCCAACGGCGGGGGGAGATAGTGGCAGTCACGGGGGACGGGGTCAACGACGCACCCGCACTCAAGAAGGCCGACATTGGTATTGCCATGGGCATTGCCGGGTGAGGACAAATGTCCCTCTCACTGCCCATTCCCTGTGTGTGTGTAATTTGCCGGATGGCTATCCGTGTGTGCGGGATCAATGCACTTGACTTGACTCCCTCCTTGGCCCAACCACTAACGCTCCTCCACTCATCTTCCCCAAACTCCCCCACCGTTCATCTCCCCCATCCAGCAAGGACGTGTCCAAGGAAGCGGCGGACATGATCCTCGTGGACGACAGCTTTACCTCTTTCTCCTCTGCCCTATTCCCTCTCACCCCCTCCCTCCCTCCCCTCACTGCACCCCCCGCCCCAGCAAGGACGTGTCCAAGGAAGCAGCGGACATGATCCTGATGGACGACAGCTTTGCGTCCATAGTGAGCGGCGTGGAGGAGGGGCGGCTCATCTTTGACAACCTGAAGAAGACCATCTGCTACGCGCTCACCGTCAACGTGCCGCAGCTCATCCCCTACCTCGACAACGTGCTGCTCGGCGTGCCCCTCGCACTCTCCACCGTGCTCATGCTCGCCATCTGCCTCGGCACCGACATGCTGCCTGCTATCTCCCTGGCTTACGAGGAGAAGGTGACAAACGGGGGACGGGAGGACGGGAGGACAGGAGGACAGGAGGGGACAAGAGGGGATGGAACGCGAGAGAGGGAAAGAGACTGACGGGGTGTGGATGTCTTATGAGAGACTGATGAGGAGTTGACGGCTTCGGATGTCTCAAAACCCCCGTGGCCCCTCTCTCCCTCTCTTCCCCCCGGTCCCCCGCTCCCCCTTTCATCCAGGAGTCGGACATCATGGACCGGCCGCCAAGGAACCCCAGGCGGGACCGCCTGGTGAGCTGGCGGCTGATCAGCCATGCGTATCTGCTCATCGGCGCCGTGCAGACGCTCGCTGGCTTCCTCGCCTACCTCGCTGTCTTCAACGACTATGGCTTCCGCCCCAATGTACCCATGCTCGCTGCCTGCCTGCCTGCCTGTCAGGATGCTGATTCACCAGCATGATCTCCGCGTGACTGCTCACTGCTCACTGGTGACAATCCCACATTGTAACAGACGTGTTTTAGCTGCTCCACCAGTCACGAATCTTTCTCTCACCAACCTCCCTCCCCGCCTCAACTTCTGTCATCTCCCCGCCCCTTCTCCCCCCGACCACTTCTCCTTACCCACCCTCCTCACCACAGATGCTGCAGCGAATCGGGTTTGACTTCGCGCGCAACCCCATCATCTGCACGTTCGACCGGGACAACGAGCCCTACGACTGCGGGTACGGCTGCGGCCCGCCCAACTACTCCCTCGCCATGCCCGACACGTCCTCGCCGCCCGCGGCACAGCCCTACTGCTACCAGGGCTGCCCCATGCCCAACAGCAACGTGACGCCAGTGGTGGTGGATCCGTTCAGTGAGATGGGCGCGGCGGGGTTCAAGGGGCAGCACTTCTGCGCGCTCACCTGCAACACATCGGCTTCTGCCTTTCCGGGGGGTGTGCTGCCGTCGCAGTGCTCCAGCCCGTCGCTCTCCTCCAATGTGAGTGCTTCTCATGCGCCGCAGCGCAGACTCAGTCTCTGCGCGTGGAACTGCGGTTGCTGCGTCGCTACTTTGCTGCTTCCGTGTGCGTTGCTATGTCCTGCTTCCCTGTCACTCTGCCCAAGCCTCCACATGCTTGCCCGCGTTTCTCCAATTCCCTCTCCTATTTTTCCCTACACTCATCCCTCCCCTCCTCGTGACCCGTGCTCCCCTCGAGTTCTCTCCCAACCCAACCATCTTGTCCCACTCCCCATCTCCCCCCCTTCTCAGGTGGGGTTCCCAGGGCGGCAGCAGCTGGGAAAGCCGCTGGGGCCGTACAACGGGTGGTACTGGTGGGCGGGGCGAAAGCAATTGCAGCCCAACACGCAGTACCAGGTGGAGGTGTTGCGCTATGCCCAGTCCGCCTACTTTGTCGCTGTCATCGTCACCCAGTGGGCCAACCTGCTCGTGTGCAAGACCCGCCGCCTCTCGCTCTTCCAGCAGGTCGGTGCTGCCAATGCAGGTGCGGTGCTCCTCGGCGTGTTTCACCAGAGCCATGGATCTTTCCGTTCTCTTTCTACGTATGCCCTCTGCCGACGCCTGACTCTCTGCAACGCCTGACTCTCTCCAGGGCATGCGCAACCACGTGCTGACCTTCTCGCTGTTCTTTGAGACGCTGGTGGCAGCAGCGCTGCTGTACTGGCCGTTCCTGCAGGAGGTGTTTGACACGCGGCCCCTCAATGTGCTCTACTGGTTCATCGGCGTGCCCTTTGCCCTCACCATCCTCGCCATTGGAGAGCTCCGCAAATGGCTCATTCGCAAGTTCCCAGGTCTGTATTCTCGCTCCTCATCCTTTTCGCCCCTCTCATCCTTTTCGCCCCTCTCATCCACCTGCCCCTCTCCTCCTCTCACCTCTCACCCTTGCCTTTTCAGCTGTTCAAGTCTGTTTGTTTCTTCTTCAGCTGTTCAGGTTCTTAAAGAGATTTTGAGATGCTTCAAAAATTGCGACCTGAATCTGATATGCTGGTGTGGTGTGCTCTCATTGTGCCTGTGGCCTGGTGCATGCAGGAGGATGGATGGACAGATGGACCAACTGGTAATGCTACGCTCTGTTCGTCACAGACTCAAGTGTCCCATCCCAGCCACCTCGCTCTTTATGCCATATCTCAACCTACAGTACTACCTCACAGTCTGTGCTCCTCTTGAAACTGCCGCCCCTCCAGATCACCCTTATTAGCCTTGCTTGGTTCTCATCTACTGTAATAATTGCTTACAGTGTCTTCTCGCCTGGCCACCTGGCACCAGGGCTCTCGCTAGGATTCTGGCCTGTCTGACAGTATGTATAACTTTTTTTTTTTCCGTCTCACGCTCAGATAAGGATTTTTTTTGTAGTCTGATCTCTAAGATGAAACATTAAAGCCCGGGGTCAGCATGGTAATTTATCAAGTTATGTGGGTTTGAAATAGTGTTGGCGAAACCTTGAAAAACAATAATTTCGGCAAAGTCAGTGTAGCGAGAAAAATATTGATTGACGAGGGGGAGAGGGGTCTCGCCAAACGTGAAGCGATGGTGAACGATACTGTGCAGCTTTGACGGATTTGCAAGCAGTGTGGGGCGACTGGAAGGAGTGTCGCAAGGATTGTTCTTCAGCCAATCAGGTTCAAGTAGTGGAGAAGGTCCACGCACAATGCGACTACTAGCAAAAGCGAAAACGGGAAGCACCAACACCAGGGCCTCAGATTGGTTTTGAGCTAGGCTGAACCAATCAGAGTTGGTACAAAAATTTATGCTAAAAAACAGAAAAATCTGCCATTATATGCCAGTTTACACTACAAATCACATATTTTTTCCTGTTTTTTCACAGAAAAATGCTGAATAATCAGCCACAGTTCTAAAAAAGGTCTGAAATCTCAGCCTTTTTTACCCAAATCAGCCTTTTTTCGCTGACTTCTGAGGCCCTGACCAGCACGAGTGAGGAGAAAGAACACCACGATCATTCAAGCTAACTACTTCGTGTGAAATAACCGCAGGAGCTAAAAACAAGGGAACGTGCAAACGAAGGTGACATGCCAGAAAACGTACATGCTGAGTCGCAGGAATGAGCGTTGAGAAGAGCGCGACACAGCGCGATATGGCCTCTGGCACATCGATGTCAAAACATATGCATATTAGTATCTAGGCTATATTGGGGCTAGCCTTAGGGGGTACAGAAACATTCTCGACACTCTAATCTTGTACCCCAACCTTGACCTAATGACACACAACTTCATGCCTAAGATTATAAGATGGTATCTAGAGCCTAGAGGTCTCTAGGACCTAAGATAAGGGCCCACCGTTACCACGTTACCTCACCTGCCTTGCCTGCTGCCCGCGCGCGCCTCGGCTGCACGCGCGCGGCCCCCTTTTTTTTCTTTCCCGCGCGCGCCGCTTGAGCAGCCCGCACGCTCTTCGTTTAGGCCCGTTTTAGGCCCATTTTCGGCCCCGCGCGCCACGTCAGCCGCCCGCGCAGCCTGCCGCCGACCCGCGCGTCGCGTAAGCCGCCCGCGCGCAGCTTGCTTAGGCCCTGCGCGCCTCGTCCGCCGCCCGCGTAGCCCGTTTTCGGCCCCGCGCGCTACGTCAGCCGCCCGCGCAGCCTGCCGCCGGCCCCACGCGTCACCTTCTCCGGTGACGGCGCGCTGCCCCCCGTTGCCCATCACGGCACCTGTGGGACCCACACGCTGCCCTGCACCAGCTACGCCGCCCCTGGAGCAACCGCCCCGGGCCCCTGAAGTAGCCGCCCCTGGACCCTCGAGCAGCCGCCCCTGGACCCAGAGCAGCCGCCCCTGGCCCCTGAAGCAGCCGCCCCTGGTGCAGCCGCCCCTGGACCCTCGAGCAGCCGCCCCTGGACCCAGAGCAGCCGCCCCTGGACCCAGAGCAGCCGCCCCTGGCCCCTGAAGCAGCCGCCCCTGGTGCAGCCACCCCTGGACCCTCGAGCAGCCGCCCCTGGACCCAGAGCAGCCGCCCCTGGCCCCTGAAGCAGCCGCCCCTGGTGCAGCCGCCCCTGGACCCTCGAGCAGCCGCCCCTGGACCCAGAGCAGCCGCCCCTGGCCCCCGAAGCAGCCGCCCCTGGTGCAGCCGCCCCTGGACCCTCGAGCAGCCGCCCCTGGACCCAGAGCAGCCGCCCCTGGCCCCTGCAGCAGCCGCCCCTGGCGCAGCCGCCCCTGGACTCCGTGCAGCCGCCCCTGGACCCCGCGACGCCGCCCCTGGACCCGCGACGCCGCCCCTGGTCCTCGTGCAGCCGCCCGCCGAGCGCCGGCCCTGCTCGCACGGCGAGCGCCTGCCCTTCCCGCCTGGTGAGCACTTGCCTTGTTAGCGCGCTGCCGCGCCATCTGCCTGCCTGCCAGCCTGCCTGCCTGCCTGCCTGCCTGTCTGCCTGCCTGCCTGCCTGCCAGCCTGCCTGCCTGCCGCGGCTGCCCTGCCCGCGCTGCTACTGCTGCTCCTTCTGTTACTACTGCTAGGCTACTGCTACTGCTACTGCTGCTACTGGCGGTGGCCAGATGCAGTTCCAGCGACATCCACGCGAGTCTCTCCTGCCCCAGCAGCTTCGTGAGTGGTATGCTAATTGGGGTTGTGGCGGTAGCCGTCGTAGCTGTCGCCCTGGAGCTGGTCAGTTGGGAGCGTCTGGCAGTGGCCAGCTGCAGCTGCAGCGGCGTCCACGCGAGACACTTACTTCCCAGCAGCTTCACGAGTGGTACGCTCAGAGTAGAGGGTATTTGAGTCCCGTTCGCTGCCCGTACGTCATTTGCACAGGTGATTGGGCTGGTCAGCCTTGCGGGACACCTGGTCACACACAGTCCCGCTACTTCGCCCGTCTGAGCGACGCCTGGCGTACCGAGTTTGGCGACGAGGCTGAGCTCCCCACCTGGCTGGAGCTGCTTAGGCAGAGGGTAGATGTATTTGCTCTTGACTATGATGCTATTCTCACTGCCATGTATGCATTGCCTACTAGTGCTGACGGTGCCTGTTACCTGTGCGTACCGCTTGACCCAGGTATAGAGCCTGCTGCTCTAGGTGCTGGTGAGGCTGCTGCCCTAGGTGCTGGTGAGGCTTCTGCTCCAGGTGCTGGTGAGTCTGCTCTCTCTGGTACTGCGCCTGCTGAGGCCTTTTACACCTTCACACTTGACTCCGGTGCTTCTCGCTCCTTCTTTCGCGACATCACCACCCTCACGCCGCTCAGTCGGCCGATTGCAGTCTCTCTGGCAGACCCCCCTGGGGGTCCAGTCCGTGCGACCTCCACCACTGTCCTCCCTTGTCCTGCTGTCCCGTCCGGCACACTGTCGGGTCTTTACCTCCCCTCGTTCTCTACGAACTTGGTGGCGGGTTCTGCGCTCCAGGACGCGGGTGTTCACCAGTTCACCCCTGCCTACGAGCGTGTGACACACTGCACGTGTGCTCAGACGGGTCGTCACCTGGCTACCTTCACTCGGCAGCCGGGGTCGGGCCTGTACACACTGACTACTGAGTCCCCTCAGGTAGCTGCGTCTCCGTCTGCGTCAGGTCAGTTGTCGGCCCCCTGCTCGTGTCGCGCCTTGTCGCACCAGACCCTCCTTTGGCACCACCGCCTTGGTCACCCCTCGGTACAGCGCCTTCGCAGCATGCACTGCCGTGTCCTTGTCTCTGGTCTTCCCAGGGTTCTCCCTCCCCTCCCACCATCGCCTGCTCCTCCCTGTCTTCCCTGTGTCGAGGGGCGGCAGCGCGCCGCTCCTCACTCCTCCTCGTTCTCTCCCATAGAGGCTCCCCTGCAGACTCTCCACCTGGACGTGTGGGGCCCAGCCCGCGTCCGTGGACAGGGCCACGAGCGGTACTTCCTGCTGTTCGTCGACGACTACACGCGTTACACCACGGTCTTCCCCTTGCGCACCAATGGTGAGGTCCCTGATGTTTTGATCCCTTGGATCCGCGCTGCTCGTCTCCAGCTCCGCGAGCGGTTCCAGTTTGACCTAATGACACACAACTTCATGCCTAAGATTATAAGAATCGATTGCCTCTGGCAGCACGTAGGTCGACAATTTCGGGGCATTGCGAACGTATATTGGGCTCGAAAGTGCCTATTACTTAGGGCAATGCCACGCTGGGGGCGTCCACAATACGCAGACCCTTAGGGTTACGCAATTTTACTCTGTCAGCCACCGGGCGCCCACAGGCGGGTAGCAGGGCGCGAAATACAGAGACGACCATCCCCCTCACCGGTTTACGCACAGCTCACGCCACTGGTTGTCTAGTAGCGCGTCAACTCGCAAACGTCCAGTTCGCGCACTATTCTGGTCGACAAGCAGCGTGGAGAGGGCGCTGGAACGAGGCACCACCACGCCAGGACAGGTACACGTGCTCCGCGCCCCTGCACTCTGCACTCTGCACCCTCCGCCCCCTGCGCTATGCGCCCTGCGATCTGCGCCCTATTCTCTGCGCCCTATGCACTGCGCCCCATGCTCTGCGCCCTATGCCCTGCGCCCTATGATCTGGTTCCTATTCCCCTTCTCGCCAAACCTCCACCCGCCCCCGCCCCTTTCCAACCCCTATCCCTCATGGTTGTCCCCTTCCTCCCTTTCCCCCACCCGTTTTCTTCCTCCCACATGAGGCAGGGAGGAGGGCAGGAGAAAGGAATTCGAGGGTGGAGTGTCGTCCACTGCGGCATGTCTCAACCTCTCTCCCTCTCCCACTCTCCCCCTCCTCCTTCCTTTCTCTCTGCCCGCCGTGCCCTTCCCCTGTTCCTCCTCGCAGGGGGGGTGGCGCACAACATAGCGGAGTGCATGGCAGCACACCAGTTTGGAAAAACAGATGAACTATTCTTTATGGTCTACACTACACTACAATATTTCTACAAACTACAACATGAAAACTACTTCGCACTTCTCACTTCTACAGTTCAGTCAGACTCGCTGCCACTGTCATCATCACTACAGCTGTCTAGGCTATCAGATGGCACTGGAATCGGGTACTTCTCTTTTCCCTTGCGACTGAGCCAGGGGAACTCTGCATTTAGTCTGGCTGCTTCTGCAACTGCTGCTGCTTCTCGTGCTGCTGCATCTGCCGCTGCCACAGCAGCTGGTGCTACTACTGCTGCTGACTCTGCTGCTGCTTCCGACCTTTTTTTCGTGTGCTTGCTCTCCCTCTCCACTCCAGCCAGCAGCACATCATTTGCATGCCTCCTCTTCTTAGATTTACGCCACCTCGCCACCAACTCGGGCCACTCCATGT